CTTAGCTAAAGGTGCGAAGGTAATGTTGACCATGAATTTATGGGTATCTGTTGGTCTTTGCGATGGGGCAACCGGAACAGTCATAGATATTATCTATGAAATTAATCATTAGCCACCAGAGTTACCAATAGCTGTAGGTGTAAAGTTTGATGATTGATGGCCCTTCTATCACTGAAACACAACAATCGTGTGTACCCATATGTCCAATTACTGTATCTGCTCAGTCACTAGATTGCTTTCACGAGAGGCAACAGGTACCCTCAGAATTGCATATGCATTAACAATCCATAAGAGCCAAGGACTTAAAATGACCAAAGTATGGATAGATATTGGTAGAGAGAAACCCTCGTGTATCTTATGAGTCAAAACCATTTCATCATGTGTTATTGTGCCAATGACATTTGAAAGGTTGACGAGCTTGAAATCATCTATAGCCTCACAATTTAGGCTGGATGAATAGCAGAGATTAGATCATTTGGTGGAGCTGACACATTCCACTCTTAATTAGGCATGAAATTATGATCTAGGAATACAGAGAGAGTGTTCACCTCCCTTATAATTTATTCCAATTCTTTCTATTGATGTTTACCCTTTACATTCCATACACACACACATATATATACAGGTACAGATATTTTGTTGGTCTTAACTAGTTTTCCTTTTTTATATCTTATCTCATTTTATATGTTAATTTCACACATGATAACATGCACTGATTAAATTACTAACAATTTGAAAATATCAATATATACAGGTTATATAGTATTTTTCGCTTTGATATCGAATGTTTTTGTTTTAGGTCATTAGGTTTTACAAAAGCATCACCAGCATTGTGCAAGGTAAGTTTTTTTTAACTGTAGCTTGATCAAAACTGAGGCAAGTGTTTGGGAGAATTCGAAAGCAGTTCAGTAAAAACGCAAGTGCTGTCGAGGATTTTCACCTACTAGAGAATTCTTACAATCTTTGATAAGGTTTTCTTCAGGCTATGAGGGTACAGAGAAAATATTTTCGTCTTTCATGAAATAATTAAAAATATGATCTTTGAGGCATAATCAACTTTATCTTGCCTCATGAAGTTACAGGTTCTCACAACGTGCAACAACCAAACTTCATTTTCATGACTTTGTAGTTCTATGACCAGGCTGTACACCATACCCACCCACACCTGTTCGAATAGTGATACAGATGAAAATAACAAAACAAACAAGCGAAATTTTTAAGTTTTAAGTTTTAAGTCCACAACTAACGGTATTAGTTCCTTCGTAAAAGCGACTTGCGAAAAAATAATAAGTTCAAGGTGAAAACATTAAAATTTAGAGAAAGTTCAAAAGTTACGATCTTAATCTTCATAAGAGTTCTCTGTTTACTGCGGCTCTTCTTCGAGGTCTGGTGATAGTAATTACTGTATTACTTAATTGCTCTGGACCATAAGGTGCTGTTAACGCGTCTACATTCGATATCACTACAATGGGAATCAAGTACTTTATACTTCTCTACAACAAACCCTCGAGCCTGCTACGCGCACGACTGCTGCTCTAATTCTGCCGTCATTCCTGGCAATAACTCTTTTACGAGCGCCAGTTTCCAAAGAACCCTCTTCGTCGAATCATTTTGGAGCAACACTACGCCACGAACCAGAAATTTCAGCGTCTCCCTTTTTCCAAGAGATTACAGCGTGTCTCACGTAAGCTGATCAAGTAATCCTTCCTCCATGTTTCCGTGAACTAATGTAGCAACTGCTTCTGGTGCCTTGATCTCCGCGTCAACGATTCGTGCGTACTAACAACTTCAAAATTCCGTTGATCAGGTGTGAGGGTGCCAGCACAAAGCTGATTCCGTCCGTGTCGTCACAAACATACGTTAGGAATCTCGCGTTGACGATGCTTTCCACTTCTATTCTTGACAGAATTAAGTGAGATTCCGTTTGTAGTCTTATTGTAAGATCATCTTCTTTGATGAAAGGTTTTCTTGTTTCTCTGTACAATTGTCAGTTTCAAATGGACTTCAGATCGATTAATAGCTTCTTGTACAATATACGAATTCGTTTTCCATTTCCTCAAGTTAAGTCCTCCCCTCTGCATAATAGATTTGGACCTTGCGTACAGCTCCAACGCCTTTTTTTCGTCTCGAATACCCGAAGGAATGTTTGAACGTGTATCTCTTCCTCCGAAGATACATGTTAAACGTAAACACTGTAAAATGAAGAGAGCCAAACTGACCCCAAAAGCCCAAAACTGGTCAGACAGGTACCATTTAGACCCCTCCAAGCTCTGAATTGGCCAAAATGAATACTACTTTGGAACTTTTCATCAACTTTTCTTCTAAGAACCAAGCAGGATCTACCGATTTGGCTCTAACAAGGTGCAATGCTTGACACGACTGATAATGACTGTTCAAGGACAGCATTGCACATGTTACGTGGAAGTGCCATCACAACTTCAACGACATAGGACGTAAGGAATCGGGAATGTTAGAGGGTATACCGGTAAAAGTAGATCTTTAACTCGGACGAAACTACAGTAGACTATCGGTTGATTTTACCCAACTTTTATGCTGTGAACTTTTTAACTTCTTTTGCTTGTGCGTCTTAGCATGCTCCTTCTGCATATCACGTTAGTCGAACCTAGACCGTGAGTTATAGCAGCGAATTCATCACTGAACAGGTATTTTGTTGGCTACAATGGCATGGATTTTCTCCTGAGACTTAAGAAAGATAGGTAAGCGAAAGAAATTTGCCTCACAACACATTTTTTTGCAACTTAACATACACAAACTTGAGCGCTCCGTTAATCTTTGTGCGTATCCTATCTCGCAGAAAAGGACGGTTTCGATGGCCAAGATATCCTTGCTATTGCCCAAGAAGCAGACAAACTAAGGAACTATATCCCTATTACAAAAGAGCGTCTAAAGTTCAAGAGATTGATTGCAATGAAAGCTAAACCTAGAGATGATACGAGTTATTTATCGGTACCATAATTTATTTTCCCCGGCAGAGAATTTGACGCATGCGTGGTTCGCCTCTTCTCCTGAGCTTAGTTGAGTCTCAACGGTTGCACAATAAGGTCATGGGTTCTCATTTGGCGCCGAGAGATAGCGATGACGATAGACAGCTTTTCAGCTGTGGCGCGCATGCAAAACATGATGTGATAGCCAAGGCTCACATTAAGGTTGGAACCCATACAAAAATGGAAAGAAAATGGAGAGATTCGTAGAGAGAGTCAGAAAGAAAAGAGCATCCATGAACAACAACAACAAAAACATACACTGGTTACGAGCCAAGCGAGAAGAAGGGATTAAAATTTAGGCAAACTTAGATTGACAGATGAGCGATGTCGGTTGATAAATTATCAAATTATTTATCTTTCTGTTTACACAAGCTGATTTGGTGCAGCTGAAGCGCTGACATTAGACAGAGACTCAGGGGAAATTATCACAACATCAAAAAAGCAAGGAAAAGTGGTTCCAGTTATCTTGCGGTTGGCGCTGCGAGAGTCTGCGCAACGGAAGACTCCTAAAGTTACGTTAGAAGTCTATTTCATGAGAAAAGAGAGGCAAAATTATTTCAGTTCCCTTATGCTTTCTCATTTTAGCCAGTAATTAAAAAATGTCATCCTGTGCTTCATATTCCTAAATGCTTCAAAAGACAAAGACTTTTCTTTTCGCCAAAAATATCTTAAATTTAAATAATTCCCTTTGAAAACCAGCTTTTTGTCTATTTTCATTTGGTCTGTTGTTAATTATGACAACGCTATTACTGGAAAGAATCATAGCTTGCTCGTTCTTAATTCTGTTACGAGTTTTAGCTCTAAAATGTGTCTTGCATTGCAATCGAAAGTTTAAGCTTACAGAGCTTTAGAAACAGATTACAATTAAATTAAATTTATGGGATTTTCCTTAATTTTCACATTTGGTACCCACCAAATTGGTATATTAATTAGGTAGAGACAGGTGCCTCTATCATTAAACAAAATAAATAGATAAGAGCGAGAAAGTGTTCCCTTGGAAAAAAGGAAATTGGAAATTTCTCACACGATCGTGTAGTAGCGAATTTTCGGTGTAATCATACTATTTGAATCCAAATAGTTAAATATCAATTTTAATGACAAACCCTAAAACTTGCCATTCAGATGACCGATACCTCTGTAACAATGAATGTAGGCATCGAAATAGGTATACAGGATAAACTTCAAAGCGAACAAAAACAGAAGGATTTCCACTTTATTTCTTTACTGAACAATTTAGATCGCTCCACATTGGTTGATTCGGAAGCAAGCTTTGGCTGACACAAAACGAGAGCAAACTCACCACCTGAATTTCAGAAACTCCGTTGTCGCCTTTTGCACGGAACCAGGGAACAGGACTGTAAAAACGAAAAATCTTAGCAAGAAGAAAAGTATCAAAGGGCAGGTAGTGCAAGCATTTAAGATACAAGATTTAAAATTCCTGACCATTTTTCCGCTTTTTTAGATTTTCATTTAACCGATGTAGTTAATTCCAAGGGCAGAAAAGCATTTTTCTCTGCTTTGGGCATCAAGTTTACTTCGAAAATCATCAAGAGATGATCGGAGAACCCCTTGATTTTCCTTTCTTAATTTCTGACCAGTAGGGATATTTTATCACGATGAAGCTCCTACGAAGCCACTGGGTAATATTCTTCCACTCATTCGAAAACAAATTGAATTTATCCATAAATCTACCATTTCAGTGGTATTCTCACATGAACTCGAATGAATCGAAGGCTCGAAGAAATGACTCCTCCTTTTCTTGAACGGCTCCTCGGTTAAGGTTCCGTGAAAGCAAAAAATTAAGAGATTTTCATTTGCCTTTATTTCCTTACTTAGACGATTATCATGAAAGCTGTATTTTTCCTCTAAGTCTCACACCTAATCTACCGGCACAAGTAAAGACCTATCTCGATATCAACCCAAACAAGGGAGTTTCAAGCGCTTCGTCTATCCCCAAGCACGGAAGGATAAAATCGCTACACAGCATCAGCCAGAATGAACAATTCGTCGATGGTGGATAGCCGTTACAGTGCACCAGTAAGTCAGGCTGTCATCATTGCTGACATCTCCCTCTTGACCACTAGTTTTCTCGCAGGGACGTTTGGAAATGGACGCGTATGTATTCTCTATTGGAAAAACAAGGGTCCGCCTAAAGCTCCACAAGTACTGTTTGCCAATCTTTCAGTGATTGGATTTCTTTCTTCAATAGTTTGCATCTTTGGTTGGTTACTCCTGGTTGTGATGAACTATATTGTTAAATTTACGGTGCCGGTAGTGTTATGTTTCTTGATCGTTCCGTTTGCATTTGCCTTAGTAATACTAAATGCTATCTGTTTAACGCTCATGGCAATCAGTCGACAGGATTGTGTCCTACGTCCCTTTAATCAACGTATAACCCAACAGAATGTTAAGAAGGTTATTTTTTTTTCATGGTTTCTTGTTTTAGCTCTGACCTTAGCTTTTCTCTTCTTTGAAATATTTGCAAAGGAGTCAGTCTGCCACAATTTTAAACCGTACGATCTTCTAAACAAACTGTCAAGCAGTAACAGTTTCATTCTGTACTTTATAGCTACTTCTACGAGTTTTAATGTTGCTGCTCTTCTAACCATCGTAATAACTTTTCTTCGTACTGTGAGGAAATTACGCTCATCGATAATCCCTCCCTCAGGAAGTGTTCAAAATCGCACAGAGATGCTAATAAGAAAGTTCACTTACAGGGTATCCGCTGTGTTTGCAATATGTTGGTTAATCGGAATGATTCCCAACGTGTTGTTTCGATTTGGAGAATTTCAATTTGACAGAATCAAGGAGGCACATGCCTTGATGGTGACAGTTTCTAAATTTATGTATGCCCTTAATCCATATTTGCATCAAAGGATGTTGAATGTTCGCAACACAGTGATTCGTTAAAGAAATATTGAGATATCGTTGACATCGTCGATAACTCCTCCAGAGGGAGAGACCAACCTCTTGTAGTTATGTTAAGCTGTAAAACTAAATCCAAAAAGACTACAATAGCAAGCTTGATGAAATAATAAACACAAAGAGCCAATAACAACATGGATGTTTAATGACACACGGATAAACAAGAGTGCTTTGAGTGAGTGACAAGTTGGAGCGAGTTTTGTAGTTCAGTTACACGAAGAAAATCTAGAGAGTTTGAAAAACTATCAAGCGTCTTTGGTCGGTCGTGTGTTACGATGAGAGAATCAGACGGTTACTCAGAAATAGGTTTTTTTAATTTATGTGAGAGTATAAAACCTTGTCACTCCGTATTATTGAATTTTTAACACTCTATAGTTGCAAGGTATAGGTTATAAAGACTACTTTATCTGCCACATTCTGTTAATGGTTACATCATTGAGCCTTGAGAAAAAGAGATTTGACGTACACTCGGCGATCTTTACCCCAATAAAATTTTACTGACAGGTTATGAGTACTTCTCATAATGAACTCCTTTGCAGATGATGATGAAGGTTCTCTTTTATCGATGTTAACTATTTTCCATGACAACAAAGCGCGAAGCCCCACAGGGTAAAACAGACCACCATTAACAGAATGGGAAATTTAACCTTTCCTTTACTTATCGCGTACCCCTCATGTTTAATTTCTAAAATCTTCTTCAAGCCAATCAACCGAACAAAAACAACGACAACAAAATCGGGTCAGTAAAAATTTATAATGCTTGTGAAACGCGTTACTACGTGGGCTCGAAGAGAAAGAGAAAGAGAAAATTACGCAGAAAACAACGGAAACCTGACTTGAATTTCGCTTCCATTGCTTCTGGACAAGAATTTTGTCCCATTTCCAAACCTATATTACAAGATTAGTCGTGTGTATCGTAAGAGCGTTTGCTATTTAAGTACGTATGTTCCATCTCCATGCACTTGTTTTAATATCTAGCCTTTTGGTAGTTTCGCTCAGTTTTATGCTAGTAATGTTTTCGCACGTTTTCGCGACCTTGTGAGACGTGGCTCACGATACTTTAGAACGCTATACAATTTACTCGCTTGGTTATTAGTTCGTGTTGTAGTTCCTTTTTAAACGGTTTTCATCTATCCTTTCCAAGATATAGTTGGTTTTTAGGTCTTAGCATAACGTCTCTTTACCGGAATGTTTAAAATCTTGGAAATTAGCTTCGCATCTGGCTTACAAATTTCATATTTCAGTTTAAGATAAGTTCTTGGATACACTGTAAAATCAAGAGAGGCAAATTGACCCCTCAAAGGTCGTTTTGAACTATTTAAGCCAAAACTGGTCGGACAAGTTCTTTAGCTAGTGCGTCTTAATGTTCATTTTGCGTATAACATTAGTCAAACCTAGACCGGGTGCGTCGGACACAATAATGAATTATAGCGGCGAATTCATCACTAAAGAGCTTATTTCTTGGCTCCAGTGGTATGGATTTTCTACGGAGACTTAAGAAAGAATAGGTAAGCGAAAAAAATTTGCTTAACAATACATTTTATTGCAGCCTCATATACACAAACTTGACCTCTTCATTGATCTTTGCAAGTATGTTATCTTGCAGAAAGGACGGTTTCGACGGCCAAGATCTCCTTGCCATTGCCTAAGATGCAGACGAGCTAAGTTACTACTTCCCTATTACAAGAGAGCGTTTAAACTGAAAGAAATTGATTGCAAGGAACGCTGAACCAAGAGATGAAACGAGTTATTCGTAAGTATGATAATTAATTTTCCCGCTTCACTTTTTTGTTCTTATCACATTTTGACGTCTTCTGTGATCTATTACTGAGCAGACGCACGGCAACTTGGAATCACGTCACGGCTTATCGCTGAAATCCAGTGCGATCTTCTTTCTTCGGATAGTTTCTGTGCCTCTTCGCCTTGATTTGTGACCACAGAAGGCACCCTTGCAAAGTACAACCCTTTATCTCGTCCACTTTTGCTGCCACAACCAACGATCAGACACAAAACCATGTTCCACGCGAAGGACGCAACTAGTTTGTTTACAATTGAGGTACACCAATATGGCGGCGTAGCAACGGTAGTCAAGGAATTGGTCACGTGAGTGAAAACGATCTATTTGTTAAATATATATATGCATGTCTGTATCATCTGAGTAAAATGAAATAAGAACGTGACCAACTATAATGGCAGACTAACCGGCAATTTTGATTGGCTACAAGCTGTTTTGGACCTTGGCTTGTTTTTAATATGGTTTGTAAAATTTGTTTTTAATGCAGAGAGGAGCTGATTCAGCAATCAGAGATTATGTCCAGCCACAAATTGTTGGAGACATTTATGACATTGATCTCCTTTATATAGCAACAGGGGAAAGAGTAATTTGTCAGCTCTCAAAAGAAAAAATACTTTGATGCTGTCATTGGGGTAAGTTACTTGGCTCATTTTACATTTCAATGTTTCCTATAATCGGTCAAAGGCAATTTTGATTTTTTTAGAGCAAGCATTGCTTGAAATTGGACGCGGGCAGACTCTTGTCACTATTTCCTCCTTTTTCAATAACCTGGCAAATGCCAGAAAAGAGCTCTCTACTCCTTAAGTGGTTTCACATTTGAATCAGCTACTGTATTTATGGGTGGAATCCCACCCATCGTTTCCGCGCCAGTCTCAGAAGAGTATTGCGTTACTTCCGATTCTTTCCAAATTTAGTATGTATGACGTTAAAATGTTAAACGAATCATGTAGCGAGTTTGGTGACACTCACTTGACAGTAGGACATGGCTTTATCATCCAAGCGTGCTCAAGTGTGACTTATCCCCGCTGAAATGGTTCCGAGAAGATCTTTGGTGATGAAAGGACAAGAAAGTGATCTGAATCGGTAGCCAGAGAGGTAATATAGGCCATCGCGAAATGGTCGCCATCGAACATGTGACTAGCGACTAAATAAAGGTATGACTAACTTTTACTATTTTTATCATCGAATTACAGGTCGCCATGTCTGTATTTAGTCACAAGTGAACATGTCAGTCGCCAGTGAATAAGTAGTATTGAAATGCGAAGTTATTCGCCCCAGTTTGCTCTTTTGTTGATTTTTCGCGCAGTTCTTCAAATTTGATCAAAAATTTATTATTAGGACTCTAGGAGACAGTAATTTGCGTTAAGACCATGTTTTAGCGATGGGATGCGATGCCATACAATATATTTGCCAAAGTGAAATTGGACGCGTAGTTCGATCTCTGTAATGTGTTGCCAGGAAATGCCTTTTTTCGGTTGCGTGCGATTCGTGGGCGATTTGGCGATTTAGTAAAGTATCGCTTTTTTATTCGGTCAATTCTGAGTAAGGAACGGAATATAAGCGTTGTATAATTTAAGTTTTTAGCAAGGAAGAAGTTGACGGTTACGAGGCCGGAGGAGGTTGGCGCCCACGGCTATTGGTGATTGAAACATTTTCAACCGGCGAAATTAAGAATAACAAATGCGTATACCAAAGAACAACGTGAATTTGTTTAGTAAATCATTCCATCAATGTTGAGGATAATTGTCACTGAAAACTATATTTTTTATGTTTGTGGAGGCCTGGAAGATTCTGTGGTGCTGGTTTTCCTGCTCCTCGAGTTCGTGGTGTTCATGCTACTCCAGGTCGTGTTCGTGGTCCAGCTGCCCAAAGGGGCTCACGCTCGTGCTTCTGCTTGCGTTCGTGCTCAAGTTGATCCTGGGACCCCTTCAAATCCTACAATGATCCAGGCCAACTGGGATCCATTTTGAGCGACCGCAACTCAGGAGCACCACAAATGAGGAAGTAACCTTTAACCTCTCTTTTACAACTGGAAATGATAAATAATATAGTTACGCTTACCAATACCTATGCTGGGGAGCATATATTTTCTGGGTTCCATCAAAGTTATACAAGCCCTTATGGTAGTTGGCGAGAGACCACAACCGATGAGATCAAGCGGCTGATTGCTCTTCTTATTTATATAAGGCTTGTCAAGATTGGTGACTTGACAAATATTGGAGCATAAGGACCCTAAATCGTTGTCTATGGGTAAGAGCAATCATGTCCAGAACCAGATTCAAAGTACAAATGGCCATGTTGCATGTGGCAGATCTGGCTAAAGAAGATAGATCCCATAAGTTGCGTAAAGTTGAGTCATTTTTGATTATTTTAAATCTAAGTGTCATGCCTTGTACCAGCCAAGACAACATTGAGCTATTGATGAGCATATGGTGAAGTCTCACCACAGGTCTGGGATATGTTTGCGGACAGTTCTAAAGGTTACACCATAGACTTCAATGTCTCTATTGGTAAAGCCGCAGAGCAGGAAACTAGTACATTTGGTTTATGTTAGGATGTATTTATGAAACTTATACGGCCTTTTCTAAGTCAAGGTTACCACTTATTTGCTGATAACTTTTATCCATCGGTCAAATTGTTTAAAGATTTGTTTGATCAGGGAGTCCTTGCCACTGGCACCATCAGGGAAACCAGGACAGACTTTCCAGCTGCATTCAAAAACAGTGAGGAATGGGCTGAAAAGAGAGAAAAGAATGGCATGCATCAGCACTTCAGTGCATGGACAACAAAGTAGTTTCAGTTTTAACAACTATAGATAAAGGTGAAAATCATGGTCTGGTCAACAGGAGACAAAAGACAGCTGGTGTTTGGAAAACAAGGGAAGTTTTGCAGCCTGATGCGTTATTTAACTGCAACAAGTTTATGAATAAGGTTGACCAATCTGATTAAATTTTAACAATGTGCAAAGAATCTTTGAAGCACTGAGGGAAGGTTAGCAATGAAGAAATTAGTAAATGGAATGATGCACCTGATGTAAAAATAGATACGAATGTTCGTGTTGAAAATCTCGAAGAATGGTTGACAAAAAGAAAAACGGAAGCAGAAACTCATGAGCGAGAAGATAAAATTCAGTTTGAAGTAAAACTTCTGGAGACAAGGATGACTTTTCTCCTGAAGTAATACATAAAGTAAAAATACTTAAAATATTTCACATAAAATAAAAGACTCAAGACTTTGTGACTACGGACATCACCAATTATGGGGAAAAAAAATTGGAAAACTAGACTTTACTGGCAAGGACACACAGGTAAAAATTGTCAAATTCATTATTTACCGTAAACTTATCTGCATTTTCTTATGTACAGTGTACTTGAAGATTTTGCTGCTTTAACTCAACTACCTGTATATGACTATGATACTGAGTTAAGATTGAATGTGAAATTATTCAACTAAGGATAAATTTGAACCACAGCATATACAAGCATAAACCAGAATTGAATAATTTTATTTTTTCTCCTCATCTTTACAGACAAGAATTGGGAGACACCTGCCTGAGGCTGGCACAGCTCTCCCGCAAAAACAGTTCTTTCTATCCAGGCAGTCTGTTCAGGCAAGATGCAAACACCCAACTGTCCTCCCTTCTGCTGATAACAAGGGTCCATCTTAAACAGTGGGAACACAAACAAGGTCAGAGACATACCAAGGAGCCAAAGAAATACACGGGGCTGACTTAAATGATAATACTCCAGGACACATAGGTCTTATTGGTACTGCTGAGAGAAGATGCCCTACAAAGATACTAGTTGACTTCATGTCTAAAAGTAAGAAGTTTTCCAAAAAGGTTTTTCCTGAACTTTATGAGAATGCTGCAAAAACATTTGAAACTTTAGACATAAACATGCTCAGAGGTGTTTGTGTCATCTTTTCAAAGGGGTTATGTGTAAGAAAAAGTACAGATCTGTCTACAGATCTCTTTCAATGACCACCAATCCTAATAAAAAAAAAATTACAACAACCCGCATTTAAGTGATGTCATGCCTCTTGCCTTGATTGTTCCCTATAACAAGCTCGTCAAGTTTCTCAATGAAGTTGGCATAGGGACCTTAAAGAGTGTTAGGGAGAGCTTTGTTCTGATTTGGAGCCTCAGGATCAGGTTGAAGGCTGTTACAGAAATTTAACAGAATGTCTTGTTAGATTAGCATCTTTTTATCTGACCACATTGAAAGCAGAAGATTTTGATTGGTTCAGGGAACTAAACACTTTCCAAGTAGCCATTGGTGGAGATGGCCCCCTTTGGAAAATTTGACCAGCCTTGTGCCTGGCTCATAAGTTTTCTAAATGTTGGCCACAGGTTTCTAAGTAATGAGGACATCTTTTTGATCCTTGTTAGTAACTGTTCAGAACAAAGTACTGCAGCTAAAAGGTACATTGCAATGATTGCTAAGGAAATGGAGCAAATAGAGAAAGGCTCAGTTCATGTTAATAATACTGTCATTAAATTTACCTTTTGAGAATTCCCCAATGAGATAAAAATGTTGGCTTTTTTAACTGGGGAGCTCCTGAACAGTGCAAAGTATTTTCAATATTTGCTGACATTTCACCTGATAACTTGTGTGATGTAAACAAGTCATTTGGCTCAGAACCTCATAATGATTTCAGGCCATGGGGAATATCATAACAGACTATCTGTTTCTAATAAAGTTGGTGACTTCAAGGGTAAATTAAGCAAGACTCAGCTTTCAACAATAAACGCAGCAAAGTAACAGCATTTATTGCATCTCATATTAATAGGCATGAGTTTGAACCTCTCATTGATTCATTGACAGGGCACATGTAGATCCTCTAAATTTAAAGAATAATGCCTGTCAGCATATTTACAAGATAATGCAACATGAAGCTATCCAAAAGTCTGTCCTTGGAAGTAATGTCACAAATATGAGTGGGGTACCCTGTGATTCTTCATTTTCAAAGTTTGTACAGGCACTTAAATCTAAATGATTCAATAAAACCAAAGCAGATGGGAAAGACTTTGAGTGTAGATTTACAGGCAGAGATTCCAGGATGTATTTGCATAATGTTTATGCACCTAGTTGAGTCTTTGGAGTCACCTGCAGGTACTGTAAGGCAAACCTTCAGACTGCACACCTTTATATTTGTGAGCTTGCAACTAAGAAATGCAGTGTCTTTATTCGGTGGAATGACTATCCATGATGATGAAATTAAAGAGCTGACTTCTTACTGCACCAAATATTTCAGGGCTTATAGTTTGTTTCTTAGGACTGTAAAACCAACTACATAGACAATAGGTCACATTGTATACATAGCATACTAAACAAGTAGTTTCTGATATATTGGTTAAATTTTGAAGTGTTGTTACTTTGGGTTATCTTAGGTTCTCTTGCCTTTGGCAAATGGGGTAGTATTATGCAGCCTTGGCAGGAAAAGGGAAAAAAGTTCTGAACCAGCTTAAGGTCCTGACCAAAGCCTTCACTTAACAATGCTGCCCACCCAGCAAAATGGTAAATATTCATGAACAGAAAAAAATAGGGATGTATTCGGCAACTCAACATGCAAAGCAAGCAGGATGGGAGAATAGTGTCTGTTCTCTGAACTAATCAGATCCCAGGAGTGAATGTGTACAACAAAATGTGTAGAATAACATGCTCATACGCCCATACGCCCATACGCCCATATCTGAGCTGTACTATGGGGATTTAAGTATTCTCCTCTCTTGAGGTTAGTGAGTTTGCACAGTTGTATGTTCTTTGAAGGAAGCACTAAGAGCTACTAGACTCCACTGGTGATTTCTTTCCAGTTCTTTTCAAAAACTTCTATATTTGCATGTGCTGCTTATCTGTTGGTGTCTATAGTAATTTAACTCAATTGTCCATTATCAACCAAAGCACAAGATTATTGAAGTGGGAGGAGATTTCAACAATGAATTGAGTTAATAACTTCAATTTTACTTTCCCCTTCTTACCTTGATCACACGATTAAGGTGAACTCTAAGAATACCAAAATTGGTCACTGTGGCCTGATGTAGTGACAGTGACATTTATATCATGTGACCTTTGCTGCCCTGTGCTTGAGAGAGTCTGCCATCTTGCCAATAGAATTTTTGTGTTCCTGGAATCTCGTGTGTTTTCTTCTCTAGCGAAGCTACTACATGTGGAAGTCAAATTCATGCACAGAATTCATCAGAGAAATTTAGGACAGTCACTGGTTCATGATGTGGGTGTTTCAAAAAGAGTCCTTAAGGGAAAGGTAAGTGAATCCACTTTGCTCTGAGTGTTTGATTGAAAAGAATCTCTCTTTAATAACGAATACATGTTATACCTTACTTAATCATTGTTTTAGAATGCATATTTCATCAAGTGGAAGGGCTACTTGAGCCTACAAAACTCTTGGGAGCCAGAGGAGAATTTAAACGCCTTTGCCTTGAGGTAAGATCTTATGAGTGACTAACCGCTTTATAATTAAACAAAAAAACAAAAAAAAAGGAGGAACCATTACATTGGTTTTCTCTGTTGATATTCTGTGCTTGTATGTAATCATTTGCTATCTAATGTAAAAATCATAATACCATCTTTTAAGATGAATGTTATTTCCCAGCCCTTAGGTCATTCAACAACCAAGGCTCACACAGCAGGAGATTGCTGATGTCAGTGAGGGTCTCCACATTAGAGCAGTTAAAATTAAAGTCTCAATTACCCACTGTCATTGCTTTTAACCACACTTATTTTAACTTTTTGATCAAAGATAAGGGATGAAAAAGCAATGACAGCACGTACATCTTCCTTGAAAAACAGGATTTTATAAGATGCCACTTTCCTAATGGGTGGCACAGGCTAATAGGTAGTGTAGGGGATTGACTTTCCTGTGAAGGTCAGACTGTTTTTTTGTCATGGAGTCCAAGGACTTATACCTTGACAGGGGAGTCAATTACACCTTGCCCACAATATAAGCCAAAGAAATTGAGTGTTTCCTTTTTGTAGAACAGCATGTAGCCTGACATGAGACAAATTAAAGAAACCAAGACTGGATTTGATTCTATTTGGCATTGTGTATTTATTACAAAATAGAAAATCTCTGTTTTTGTAGTAGTTCATTACATATTCTTATATTGATTTAAATTTTTCATATTTACAACCAAGAAATACACACAGTGTGCAGGCTGTTTTACAATTTGTTTAGTAAGTAGAAAGGACATGAGAGTAGACCTTCACTTCCTTGAATGCCAGCTTTAAGAGAACTTTTTTTAAATCCAAAGAACAAAAAATCAATGGTTTTGAAGTATTTGAGATTGCTATCCCATTCACTGTTGTTTTTGTTCTATTTTTTCAATACTGATTTTTCTCCACTGTTCAGTGCTGTGGTGGTCTACTGAAACTACCGTAGTTTTTTATCTTTATGAACTTTGCACCAGACACAAGCATAGAATGAGGTGGCACCTTTAAGTCCCAACATGATTAAAATGAATTTATAATCTCCCCCCAAAAGAATTCAAGTGTTATTTCTTTCCCATTGATTGTGATTTTGTTTATGGAATTTAGATCATTTATATCTGAAAAAAAATCAGCAAATGACTCTCTCAGTATTTCATACTTTTCTGAATCCTTCAGAATGGCAATTGTACAATTTTCCCCTTGCAGACATTAAATCACTATAATTTTGCAACAGGGCAAAAGAAAGAATGATAACGCTTGTATTGAGAGTCATCCTTGCCCCATCCCCTGATATTTTAACCTTTACACTTTCATTTTCAAAATCAAATTCTGGATTTTGGTTAATTAAATCTTGCACTCTTTCCTTGAGAAGTTCTTGAATGAAACTTCAGCACCCTCAGCTCTCCCAGGTGTGGATATAATATGGTTCATGTCATGCCATTCCTTGATTAGATATGATTTTAGAAGATCATCATTAATCATGGAGAGCTCATGATAAAACAAGTCTCCTACAAAAAATTTGTCTAAAAGAAATAAAATTTGATCCAATTTTTCCTTTTCCTCTTTTAAAAGGGAGTCAAGCCCTGTAGCAGTGTTTTCTTGTTGCTCATCACTGACCATTTTTGCATTGTGTTTGCTTCCAGTCTTGACTTCTTTCATGGCAATAAACTCAACTTCTAGTCCAACGGACTTAGCAGACCACAGTGCTCTCTGAGCTCTTGTCATAAAGTCTTCGAAGTCCTTGACTTTTTCTTTACCTCAGAAATGTCCTTTCCCCAGTAGTCTTGCAGAGTTCTCTGCTGGCATTCAATGTAATCAATTAATTCTTTATTTGAAGTCTCAACTTGTTCTACATCATTTTAAGTGTCCTTATCTCAGCTTGCATTTCATGAAACATCTTTCTCTTTTCTTCCTCCAAATTTTCCTAGTTTGATATCCACCCTTCTATTTCTTCATGCGGGGAAGAGTTAAATTCCCTTAGTTGTTCGCGATGAATACTACAAATCTTCAACTTTTCGGGGATCAGAGAGAATACCACATTCATCCAAAAAAGTGGCACAAAATGAGAGATAAGAGACCCCTGTTCGTAGCACGATGCTCGCAATCTACCAACAGTCTTCTTTCTCGGATGTGCCGGGTCGAAGTTAGGCAATTTCAGCCAATTTACTGTGTTTGTATGGAGTGCAATTTGACTCTTATGTGGGATTTGCGTAATTTGTTGGGGATCAAAGACGAAACGGGTGAACCTCGAAATTTCGTCCAAAGCAATAACTCACTAACACGATAACACACCGATGCTCGCATGTACGAAAATTATCTTCATTTGGTTTATACAGCGACTGGACAGCGCGCGCAAATGCCGCAAAACACGTGGGTGGTACAGAATTCAGTCTCTATTTCCAGCTCGTGAGAAATTTTGGCAGAAAGCTTCAAGTGCGACAGAATGACAAGGATAATGCTGTTAAGTAACAAGGCATAACACTGAACATTATACCTTACCTTAGTGAGCCTGTCTTCGTGCACTCCTTCCAAAAATCCAAGATGGCGCCAAACGTTTCACCTCAAAAGCTTTATTCTTTTAGTATCCAACCGAAAGCGTCTGCTAGAAAAGAATCAACCATATTCACTTCAGCCATGAGACATGCTTTGAAAGCTGCGAATTGAGCTAGGATACAGGAGTGATTACTGAGAATTTAACGTCACACGAAGTCCCAAAAATTTAAACTTACCGTGAATCGGATGCTTCACCTCCTTCGCTGATAAATTGGTTTTAAGTTTATAACGATTGGTTCAAATGATGACCAGATTACACAAGAATGTATCTCTCGATGCAACCGCCTCGGTTGGCGAGAAATGGATACGTTTTTAGTCGCTTCTGGTCAATTTCTCTGCAGGCTTCCTCCCAAGTGTGTTGGTTCCTCGAACGCGCATTAACAGCAGATTGATCACGCGAAAACGAGGTGCTACCAAGAGACCCCTTGTTCGTTCCAGTCTCTCTCACACTCACCACGTACCCAGGCTGCCACGTACCCATAAACTCTGGGAATTAGTCTTTGTTCCAAAATGTGGTGTGTTCCTCGTGTTCTACCAATACTCATAGCTTTTCTTTTTTTTCTAATCAATACTGATAGAAAGACTGAAAATTGAAATTCTTTTATGAAGTGTGTGACAAAATAATCTTACTCTTATCAGGATGCAAAATTAGTTTGTTAAAAGCTTGAACAAGGAAAAACAAAGGAAAGTTATTATTCATTAGTTGCTAAGGGAGGAACCAATGTTGGAAAAGAAACTTTTGGCTTTGGCAAACAACTTTGCATGCATTTTAATATTTGACATATTTTTTTGAAGACTTTAATTTAAAATTACATTGTTTTGTTTGAGGTGAGAGCAACAAAATAAATAAAAGAAAAAAAAAACACTGAAAAAAGTTGGCTCTTGAAGGTCTACTGTATCCCTTTTAAGTCACAGAGCCTTACGAGTGCAGAACTGAATGGCTTACAGCCAACACACTAGTCCCACACCTGTCAGTTTTTTGTTAAAATCTGTGTGAGGGACATGTGAACTTGTGAACTCATGGACACGCTGTGCAGAAAACAATTGTTTGTAGGCAATGACCATGATATGCGTCAGGTCAAGTATAAGTTGGCAAAGTTAACTTTATATCTAATTCTTACTCTCCTAAGAATTGAAAATAGTTAAAATTACAATTGAAAGGTTATTTTAGTTGCAACTCACCTATTTATTGTTTGGTCATGGAAGAAGAGGAGAGGGAGCATAGGGTCTGGTTGTATCAAATTGAATCTACTTGATACCCCCTTTAAGGCTCTTCTGTATTCTAATGACTGTCACTTATTGGCAGTCAATTGACTGTAGTTCCCCCTTCACACTGTGTTAACAATGAACGATCCCCTTCCATTCCCCCTGAAAACCATGTGATCAAATAAAATTCAGATCAACCAGAATGCCTTTGCTGATCAACTATCCACACATTTTTCTCAATTGAAAATTCTGGACATTCATTGCAACTTGTGAATAAAAATCTTTACATCGCACTTTTTACTAAGTAATCTATATTAACTGAACTTTAGTGCTAGACACACTTTAACAACACGGTTATTCAATTTTGGGTGCAAAAGCATGGTCAAATACTCTACTTGTCTGTCTCAAATCATGTGTGAACCAACAGAAGCAAGTGACTATTTATAAGAATTATTATTGATAACTTTTACTTCTTTAGTTGTTGTTTCATCTGTAATTCAAAATTACAAACCAAAGTGATTATAACCCAACAACTCACTATGCACAACCATTAACCCTTTAACCCTTAAGAGAGACTGGCATCTAACTTCTCCACACCAGATCACCCCTGAATAAGACATCATAGTCGTGAGAATAAGGGAAATGATCAAAAACTAAACAAGTTCTTGATTGTTAAAGAAATTCTCCTTTTCAAAACCTTAGAGAATGTGTAGAAAATTATGGAGAAAATGCATACTGATGTTAGGGTGTAAAGAGTTAATTTAGAGACCTGAAAGACTCCAAGGTGAGCCTCTTCTTTCAAAGGGGTGGATAATGCCATGCAGAGGTTTTCTGGTCACTTTGCCAGCATGTCAACTCATCCACAACCAACTTGCCAACACCATTAGTCAACTTGCCAACATACAGGTCAAACTGCTGACATACCAAGTAAAGCCTAAACCTCAATCGTTCAATCCAGAATTGATAATCAGTCAGAATAAAATCAATGACTTCTTAGAACAAACAGCAAATTTTAACTTCAATAAATGTATTTTATGCCTGTTATCTTGAGTTATAAGAAAGGTTAAGTGACAAAATACTGAGTTGAAGGAAGTTTCCCATGAGTTGGCAAGTGGTGTTCGCCATAAAAAGTTGGCAACAGCCACAGCTATTAGTGCTGTTTGCTGCAGAACATTGCATTGCAAATGACTATAACATCACCAACTGGCCAACAGTCTATTTCACAAAACATCCCAATTTTCAGATTAACCTTCAACAACAAGGAAAAGGCAGTAAATAGTTACAGATTATTAATTCTTTCATTTCTTTTGCTCATGTAGATCTCATGTTCTGGGGTAACATGACTAACAAAATCAAACAACAAATATTGCAATAGAAAATAAAAAACATTTGATTGCTACCACTATCATGTCACAAAGGTTTTTGAAACCATTTTTAAATGTGCTCTTGTTAAAATGTCCTCACAATGACATAGAGAATGGTGGTGAACAACAGCAGTGCAGACAGTTTTAAATCAATTCATAATAAATTCAGGATTAACATACAAGGCAGGATTGTTGAGGACAAACTGATAAGCATTAAAACTGGATAACCTTTGTGTGTGGTTCTAATAACTCAACCATATCAGGTCTGGAAGTGAAATTTCACTCCTAAATACTAGCTAAATGATTAAAACCATTTGAACACTAAAAGCTGCTGGTCTACAATGAGTGTGTAAAAACCCAAATCCTCTTACTCAAATCTTTAACTTAAGCCCAGAGTTGTGTTTAAGTCATTGCCACTCCCACAAAATCTGCAGACTTGAACTGCACTGCAGACAGTTTTGTACTTGCTATAGTGAAACTCCATTTGCAATCTGTCCATTTTTAGCAATGTCCTTTTGATCCACTGAGTATCTGTACAGTTTAAGGTCATATTTGCAGTCGGTAAGTTTATTTGCGATCAACAAAGTTTGATTTTTCATTCTTTAGGAGGTCTAAAACCAAATCCGAATGCATAAAATCAAGTTGCCTTCTCTAAAAGCAATGCTTGTTTAAAAGCAATGCTCAGTGAAAAGACAATGAAACAGCTATTGCTTGGTTGGGTTAAGTTAAGTATTTTCAAGACACTAAAACTCTATATGAGGGTTATGCCCTAAATGTACAATATACTCTAAATTAATAGCTTCAATTTTTAACTACTGAGTGACATTAAAAGAACAGGTGCTATATAAATAACCTACAATGTTTTGTTATTAGTAACAGACTCTTCTTCTGCTTATCAAGCAAGAAGTTACACTTTCATCCACTAAATGTAGAGATGCATGAATCAAACATTAAACTACTCCGTAGATACTCATGCAATAATCTACCCTCAAGATCTATCTTAAGGTGGGTATAAAAAAATTATAAGGCAACAATTATAGTACATGTAGCTAGAGTGTATACACACACCAAAGCTGCTCTCTTCAATAATTAATGTTTATGATTGGAACAAAGCCAGGTCAATCCATCATATAAGCCATCACCAGATGTAGCACATGACGGCTGGACATACCAATTTCTGTCTCTTAGCTTGGTTAGGTGTAATCTTTCTTGAACTTCATGAGGTTTGATAGCTGTGAGCAAAATGCATTAAAGTAAGTTTTAAGCCTTTGACACCTTAGAGTGACAGGATCTAATTTCTACTTACAATATCATACCTGAATCACACATAAAGGTCCCAAGAATAGGGAAATGATCACTAAAGAAGCTTTTGATTGTTAAATAAGTTATTATTTTTAGCACCTTAACAAATATGCAGAGTATGCTTAACAGTATGGAGAATATGCCTCCTGCTGTTAGGGTGTAAAGAGTTAATGGTGGTTTGGTGCATCAACAATTCAAAGAACCTTTCTCATTCTCATGAACTTCTACCTCTTTTTTGCAAAATGCACAACAAGGAATTTATTATGGTCTTAGCTAAGTTTGAGTAATCCCATTACTAGTTGGCTGAATGATGTATAACATTATTAAAGGGGGGATGTTATATGTTAGTCACTTCTGGGAGTTTAAGGGTTAAGAAAAGACAAGCCACTCACCATCTGGCAAGTCTTGTTTGTTTGCAAATATTAAAATTAGGGCATCCTTCATCTCCCTGTCATTGACTATCCGGTGAAGTTCTGTTCTTGCCTCATCAATGCGGTCTAAGTCTGCACAATCCACTACAAATATCAAGCCCTGGGTACCATTATAATAGTGGCGCCATAGGGGCCGGATCTTGTCTTGTCCACCAACATCCTGAAATAAATTGTTTAATGCTCAAGATTGCTGGTTTTTAATAACAGTGCAACTTTTGCTATTTGAATCAATCATTAAAAAAAAGTAATTAATAACTAGAAATGAGCTTTGAATTCTAACTTGAGGATATGGTAGACCTTTGCAAGTGTCCTTTGTGCAAAAAATTGTTGATGCACTATTTGAAGTGTGACTACCATAAACAGTATGTAAATGAGCCCTTGTCTGTTAAGGTGAAATATTTTTGCCCTTCTCATAAAATGTTTTCAATTTTTTCTCTCACAGCCCTCATTTCTTTTGTCTTTTATCAAAGGACTCTTCTCCTTTTACATTTCCCCATTGACAGTCTAGTCTGGGACATGGAAATTGAAATAAAGTTTACCATGTGCAATTGAGATCATGAGATGTTTCTGCAATTAAAAGTTAAGAAACAGGATGTTTTGCAGCCAAAAAAAATCTTGGGAAGTCATTTATATTCACAGGTTATAATTGGTTATTCACACTTGGGCAGGATTAGGAAATTAGTTTGCAAATATATTTGTGAATAACTTGCACAGGTTTCAACATTTTACAAAACTTTTTTTTTTGAAATTGTAGTTAAAAAAAATAATAATATAATAATGATAACAATTGGCCCTTGAAGGTCTACCATGTCTATATAGATGGAGCCAAACAGGTTAGAGCCAATATGATGTAAAATGACAAATTATATCAATGGCTAACAAAGATGGTTCTAGGATTTGCAAAGAAATGTTTGGATTTGAAACTGAACTGCTGTTAACCTATTAACTCTTAAGATCTCATTGGTAATTCTCCTTACAGTCTGCTATATAGTTCGTGTGATGTTAGTCTGGAGAATTTGGTATTGGATCGACATACAATCCCCTAATTCAGATTCTTACTTATTCTCATTACTTGCCTGCTTGATATTGTATTGATATTGTAAGGAGAAATTCTGTCTTAGTCACTCATGGGAGTTAAAGGATTAACAATTATCTCACTGCCTACACGTCTTCCTCTCTGAGGACCCTGAATGTGCTTACCTCAGTACACTAACATAACACTTACCCACACATTGAATTTGACATTCTTGTACGAAACAGTTTCCACATTAAAACCTACTGTTGGTATAGTTGTTACTGACTGCCCAAGCTTAAGTTTGTATAAAATTGCTGGTAAAATGTTAAGGATAGGTATCCTGTATCAGTAATACTTATGTACCGCTACTGTTAGTTTTGACTGAAAAGAAAACCAATGGTCATGCCTGTATAAAGAATTTGTACAAAGAACAACCTGCCACAAGATTTGTCAGTAAGGAAAGTTTCAAGGTTTTGTTTTAAGCTTCTTTTATCTTTAACTCATGCTAAATACTTCCTCAGATAATGCTGAAAGAGCAAACAGTCTGCTTTTAGCCAATTGCACCCTTGGAGATGAAGTTTAATAATGAAGTTTCTTGTAATTAGTGTATTGTGAGATAACATGGTTAATCACAGGTTAAAGCAGCCCTGACTAGTAAACTTTGATGACCTGAAACACACTGAAAATGATTTTTATTCTATATCCTTTATCATTTTATGTTTTTTAAAATTATTTTTAACATGCAGCTCAGGGAAATAAATGAAATATCATCTGATAACCAAATCAATTTACAAATAACAATTTAAAAATGAAAATATAACAGTGACGAAAGGATACTGGTTTTTCCGGCAGCATCAAGACCTAACATCAAAATTCTCATCTCCTTGTTACCAAATATTTTTGATAATAGCTTCCCCATGTTGACACTTAGGCAAAGCCTGTAAATGGAAATGAAACACAAGCATTTTTAGTTTTTGAACATTCAATCCATTTTCCTGTGTACGTCCTGTTTTTTATTCCAAATCCCAGAAGTAGTGAATAAAGTACAACTTTTCAGCTGCTGCATAGGATTAGTGGTAATTACCAAAACAATTAACAACAAAAATTACCATGTGTACTGCTGGCTTTAGTATAGGTAGACACAGAGCCAAGAAAAATTACAGATAAATACCACACCTGCTTTCAGAAGTTGAAGAAATTACCCAAGTTGCACAGTAAAGAGGGCAATTTCTGCAACTCCTGATAACACAAACAATATTAATCCTAACTTTTACAAGAAAACATATGATTACTCGTTTGTAATATAAGGCACAAATTTTTCTCTTATCAGAAGGTCAAATGTGTGTGCTGTTACACAATATTGTAAGAAGCCATCTCAGTTTTCAGTTGGAATCAATGAATGTAAAACAAGCAAATCAACTATATGAAATTGCATTTTTATACAGCGATGCCATAGATAAAACCAGCCCTGCTAAAATATTTGCCATCAATTAAATTGTAATAAAATTAGGCAAAGTTAAGCATTTTTAATGTTTTCAATTTAAATATATGTTTGCACCTTGGCAATTACTGAAATGAATGAAAAATCCCCCCTGTCTCAGCCAGTCAGCACTAAGTAATTTTGCCTGATATGTTATAAATATTGGATATGATGCATGAGGCATTCCTCTACATACGGCAAATGTAATAAAACCTATGCCAAATGGTTGTGATTATTTTAAGGATGCAAGAATATTCCAGCAATAATCTAATACAATTGATGCACACAGGTAGTAAGAGGTGAGTGATCAAATATTCTGGAATTATTAAACCCAGCATATATTTTGAAGTGATTCTCCTCCACTAAACAGGTAGTACTAGCATGAAATTATCATTTCAAGCCCTGTATACTACACACTATGCATTCAATATTCATGAAAAAAACATTCCATGTCATCATATCAGCACTGTTACAATTCAGCTAAGTTTTGTGATTACACATAGCCAAAGTGCAAGGCTGATTTTGAACTAAATAGCTACTTCTAAAAGCCAGAACTCGGTGTTTATTACAGTAAATACTGTTCACATAACATGACAAATATCGATCATCGGGGAAAAGAACGAGGTTGAAATCAGAACAGTTCTTTTTGCTTCAGCAAAACGTAAACCAGTCAATTAAAATTCTTAACTTCATTTTGAAAACGTAGGAAAAATACGAAGGAAGGACGGGAAATATATTATCAAGTACACAAATAAAATGGAAACAATATCAAACGCTGCCACAGACAGAGTGAAAATAACTACTGTAAATGATCGAAGTAATGTCTTCTCTGAAGCAAACATCCTCGATTTTAAGCTTCAGAGAAACGAGTAGTACTGTATGGAAAAGAGAAATTCCAAATTAAAAAAAAACAATACAATACAATACACGGTTTGAATACTAAAATCTTACCACACAAAGCAAATAAACGTACAATCAAGAGCTTCCAGATTTCAAGAACGAAATGTAGGCGTTTGTAAGTTGATACAGCGAACATGACTCTACATTTGACTAAAAACCGACAACAGAACAAAAGTGAAGAACAATACCCTACCTGGAGGCTCAATTGGCAAATAAGGGTTAGAACTCGGCGAAACTATGGCTTTGTGGCTTTCAAAATATCGTTATTGCATTGTTAGATGCTCCGCCATTTTCAGAATAAGAAACACACCTTGGCTGATAGCATCCTAGGACCCAGCCTCTTTCAAAGGAGTACCCAGAGGGACTATGGGTAATAATGTCTGGGTCACGAATGGGCATCGATAAAATTTCATAACCCGTGCTAACTAATGAGACCGAAACTCCACCATTAAGAACTTACTCTTTGACACATCTATTTATTTTTATTGATCTATTTAGTTTTGTTTTTTCGAGGGGGAAGTGGTGGGGGTTGGGGACCGCTGGTCTCGTACCCAGGTCTTTTACAGCCAAGCGGTTGTAAGAATTTTCTTGGTTACACGGTTGGATTTGGGGGACACCAGTTGACTTTATTTCTACAGGCCTGTAACAAGTTGGCCATAAACCACTACTTTTTCGACTACGGTTTAACTTTTAAGCTATAGATCATTTAATTATAAAACAAGCAGCATCTGAATGCTCACATCAGGGGACCAGTCAGTAATCAAAATGATTACTGACTGGTTCTTTCAAACTTATTTCAGTTATCAGATGTCCGTTAAGAAATGTAAAGTGATCCAAAAATTGTTTTGGATTTTTAATCAACGAAAAATCACTGGGTTTGTGATAAATTCTGTCCTTGCGATCTTATGGTATACACAAGCTTGCAAAATGTTGGTCCACTTAAAAACCAAATAATTTTCATGAGGTGTTTGGTGGGAACTGGGAGAACATTCCTGACTGCAGGGAAACTAGTCTATCAGTCAGACAGTGAACATTGCAATATCTAGGTTGATTTTATCTCATTTTTGCCTTAAAAGGGTATGAATTCTATTTTGTTCAACTTAAGAGCACAAACCCTTTAACAAAACACAAAAGGATAATATTGAACTACTCCTTACTATTCATACTCCCAACAAGTTCCAGCAATACAAAGTTTAAATTCAGGATAATCATTCTCCCTGATCAGAATATGCCCAATTTCAGTCCTTAGAAATTCACCGGTAAACATAGTGGTTCTGCCTAGTGGCTTGAGCAGATGGCCATTGTTTGATGCTGTTTCAAATTGGCATAAATACAGCCCAATTTAAGCTTTTCACCATTTAAAAATCACTTGTGATCCTTGTAACCTGATTGACTGTCATCTGTGAAATTCATTCACAAATCCCAACATTGTTTGCCCTACATCGTCGTTACCTTTTTCCCAGCCAATGAGGGGGCTTAACTAAGATAAAAAAACCAATCACTTGTATAAGGACACCAAGCAAATATCAGGAAAATGAATGACAACTTTTGCAACTTTCTAAAACCTAGCAACAACCTACTTGATCAACATAACATTGTACCGACTAATAAATCTTGTATCAGAGTGACGGAATTTTGTTTTTTTGAAATGGATATAGTAGTAATTGAACTTCATGTCATGCAAGTTTGATTTGAAATCATACTTGTAATTTCAAATCAACCCAGTGCTGCACACCTGTTTGATTTTGAGATCATGATTTCGGACCAAATCACACTCTGCTAAGTTGAACTAACATTATTAATTTGACCTATGATGAATGAAGGAACAAGTGTGTAAAAAATCTCCTTTAATTACAAACACCAACCCTAAACAAGGGTCTTCTTTCTCAACTGGGAGCTGCTGTAAACACACCAGGACATCCCAGTGACCATTGAACAAAGGTAACTTCCTTAATTCAAATACTTATTTTATTTTGTATCAATTACTGTCTGATTAAAAATCAGAAAATCCAATGTAACTGTCAATTTTTACTTACTATCATGCAGAAGAAAAAATTCATCATGACATTCACAACTGCACCATAACAGAAACTCTGCCTATACAAAAATCACTGAACTAAGGTGCCTAATTTGTCTCCCTCATTAAGCAGATCAAATCCATTATGGTGCAAAAACAAAGAAAAACAAATGACAAATGATGGAAATATTTGACCTTCCACAGCTATCTTCTGCTAGTGTTGTAACAAAAAAACTACCAAAAATTATTCTTTTCCCAGCATTCAATTAATAATATGAAGTGAAAAAGCAAACAAGGCCATAGTAGCAGATAAGTGGAAAATTAGAGAGGTTTGGGTCAGGCCAAAAGTTTTTGGGCTGACCCAAAATTACTATCTCATTACTCCACTCCTCCACTACTTTTGTGCTCTTTACTATTAAGCGTCATTTACTGACTGAATTCCAGGAACAGGCTACCAAAAGAAAAAGTAGTACTGGTGAGTCCTCAAATTAGTCCTCACTAAAGTTCAGGATGTCAAGAATGATTAATAATGAATATTAACATCATGTGAATAACATAATTAGACAATACAGTAACTTAACAACATTTACCTCTGAAAATCATTATTTTCCTTAAGATTTTACAATGTGTCCACATTGTTTCTTAAAATTATTCCAGAATCCAGTTTGGGTTCTTCTTGAATTTCATTTTCTTAACAAAGAGCTTTCCTATTTAACTATAACATTAAAGTGTTTATAGGGAAAATACTTTAAAAGAATCAGTAAAGGCTGAGGGTGGTTACAGCTTGATGCCTTCACTAGTATTCAAATGTTGTTCTAGAAAGCAAAGCTTGCTTCACCCTTTGATTCCAAAAGCAAATTCAGTGATATCAGAAACAATAAATAATATACTTGGACAGTATTCTGAGGCCACCTTCTGTTCACCAAATACTTAAGCTGCACTACAATAATAATAATGACAAAAAGAATAACAAATAGCTGTTTACTGACTCTCTTACTCCTCAGTTAATTATCATATGCCTCAAACTGGTCCCAATACAGAAGAGAATAGCAAACCATTCCTTGCTACATTACTGTAGTACACTGTGTAATATACACAGCAGTATGTCAGTCAAATGTCAAGCTTCATTTAAAGTTTTAATTCTAACTGGTTCTGCCTCCCTGAATTCACTTTGTGTAGTGTTTCAGATATGGAACAGTTTTAAAAGAACTCAAGAATTAATTTTTAATTATTGTGAAAATATTGACCATCATATTGGTATGCATTATGTTCGGTGGTTAGAACTTAGCCATTGTAATCCTTGATAGAGACCATCGCCAGTTGTTGCGCATGATGGCTGCACATGCCAGTTCCTATCTCGGATTCTTGTCAGACCCAGTTTTTCTTGTACTTCATGAGGTTTCATTGCTGAAATAAGAGATTACACATGGGAGTGAGAGAAGAAAAAAACACTCACCTAAGTAATACATAACTAGCATTGTACTGTGGGTTTGGGACTGAGCCCTGACTATGGAAAAAAGATAATTCAGAAAGAGAAACTGCCTTTCTTCATCCAGGAGTGTATATGACTGACAATAGCCCATGGGTTTGGGATTGAGCCCTCACTATAGAGAGGAGACATGCTGCCTTTCTCCATTCAGGAGTGTACACAAAAACAGAAGATCGTGAGTCTAGGAGTGAGACCTGATTATTGCAAGAATGAATGTTGACTGAGACAATTCTCTTCATTTACACCCAAGAGTATGTGTGGATGGTCATAAAATGTGAAAGTGGTGCATTAAAAGGGTCAGGGAGTCCCCTAGGATATAATGGCATCCACTGCTTCAATAGCATGCCATGTAGGATGGCCTGTTGTATTTTGCTTTAAGAATACTGTATTTTGTTTATGACCATAAAAAGAGCTTCTGTTTCAACAACAATCAGCAGTATCTTCTGAATCCTGAATTTAAATGATTTTATAGGACATTTCTCTCAAAGAAGTTGTGTGGTACTATGACAGTAGGGGTAGTATAACATGATAATTTTGTTTTATTTTGTCCTTACAAAAATGACAGAGAGACAGCTCTAAAAAGCTATGTCTTTAAATGCAGTCCTAAAGACAACCTTCGCAACTTAACTCACCATCTGGTAGATCTTGTTTGTTAGCAAATATTAAAATAATAGCCTCCTTCATGAGTCTGTCATTTATGATTCTATGGAGTTCTTGCCTGGCCTCATCAATTCTCTCACGGTCAGCACAGTCAACTACAAATATTAAGCCCTGTGTACCAGCATAGTAGTGCCGCCACAAAGGACGGATTTTGTCTTGTCCACCAACATCCTGAAGTGAAAGGATTAAAATGTTCTTTACTTACAATACACATACAATAACTTGCAGTTTCAAATTTGTATGAAATATCATTACAACCACTGAACCAGACAGAGGCAGTTCAATGGTTCCTAAATTATATTAAATTATAGATCACCCAACTCAGCTACAGTAAATTCTTCAACAGACATATTATCTATGTATGGCTTGACCACAAGTAACATACATTACAAGCAAAATGTTGCACAAATGCACACAATTGAAAAGCAAGCTAAGAATATTGTAGTCTTAAGGAGCAAAAAAAACAAATTATACATCCATCACTAATATGTTGGTTTGTACTTGTAGTCTAATATATCTTGAACTAAAACGACAACAAAAAAAAAATTTTGTTGAACATACAGACCAAAATATGTTGGGAGATAAAATTCACTTAACTACCTGATCATAGCATGTAATCAAATGGGTATGTATCAGCTGTGCACAACATAACTTTCAATAACATTGAAAATTAAGTGCTCCAAACACCAACGATTAACAGCTACACAATTTTACACTTACCCAAACATTGAACTTTACATTCTTGTAGGATACTGTCTCTACATTGAACCCAACTGTTGGTATTGTTGTCACAGATTGTCCAAGTTTAAGTTTGTATAATACAGCTGTATTTAGTTAAGGAATACCAAAACATGGAAGAACAATAATAAAAAAAAAACCAAAGAATAACAATAATATTTTGCTAACAAAGTCATAGTATCCTGTTCAAACAATGATAAACAATATCCTCAAATTCTGGAATGTTGGTGGTTTGGTTTGCACAGGTAAAATATCTTTACTCTTTGACGGTTTTTGTTATAGTTTCTAGACCAGTGAAGTACAAAATGTAGAAAATAAAATCCTTCATTGCCAAAAAGTTGAAGGAATGGGAAAAGCTGCTATGAGCAAATCTGCATCATAGCATGTAACATGTTTTCATGATGCATAAATCAGTTACAGACAGAAGATATGGTGCACATCCCAGATCATTTTTTTTTTGGCAACAAATAATTTCTTGAACTGAAGTACCTTAATTTTAAATATTTATGCAGTACTTAAACTCTGCAATTGTTGAAAAATGTCAAAATTAAAGACCCTAAAAAAAATGTTTCAACAAAAATTAACCACCACTTGACTTTGTCTGTTCCACATTCATGTGGTTAAGTTCCCGCAAAAATAAGCAACAGTAAGGTTGTTATGAAAAATTCTACCCAAATAGCAACAACCTGATACCACAAAAGAACTCTCGTTTGGCCTCTTTTAAAAATTTGGCAAAACACTTAACTGCACCATACACATACAGATACTCTGTACATGACAAGTTGTCAAGACCTTATCTAAACAAGGGAAATTCAAATTAAAAATAAAATTGATGAATGAGTAAAAAGTATTAATTTTTTTTCTCAGCATGCCTTTTTAGATCTTTTGCTCTGGATCTAAAAGGTTAACTTGCAACTGCATCTTACTCTCATGCCAGCTATTTCCAGTGTAACCAATCTCAATCTAGCTAAAACAATTACTTGTTTTTGCAATGTGCAGAAGTCAAATAAAGAAAGAATTAAGAGTCTGGTAGCACAACTGTCCTGCACTGGCTATCTTCATATACCATTACTTACATGACAGGCCAAATTAAACATACATTTTGATTACTTCTTTGTTATGATCTATTGGAGGACAGAGGCATAGCTTATGTTACCATTAACAACATTTTAGTTTTAATCAAATAACACAAATAGATTCTATGTTGCCGAGGGTATGTTCAGTAAAAGATCACAGATAATGTGAAAATGTGGTGAGAAAATCAGTGACACACTCAGCTGTGCTTAGTGAGCAAATTTTTAGTCAGTGCCACATTTTGACCCTACTGTAAAAACAATAGCCTCCATTTGGCACAAAGATAGGCACAGGTATTTTTTGCAGATATTACTAGCTCTGAGAGCTTAACTTGAAGAAACTGTGGACTTTGAGAAAGATAATGTCCAAGGACAAATATACAACCATACTTTTATGCTAAATGGAGGCTATTGTGTTTATCATTCTTTAAATATCTTTGCAACATGCAAGAAAAATGTCTGCAAACAGCTTTCTGTTTGATGTATGAGGTCTTTATTTTTCAGTGTTTCCTACCTTCTGCAATGTCGTGAACAAAAAAAAAAATGTCTCTTCTTCTGTACCAATGGCTAAATGCTCTTTAATCTTGAATTAAATTTGATACAAACTCTTTAGTGGTAGGAGACACAAGCTTTGACAATCAGGGGAAATCACTGGGGGTTCATCCTCAGATAATCCCCAGTTTTAGCTAGGGTGTATGATCATGTCATGCATTTAGACCAACTGCACATGAGAAAAAATATTTAATGCTTTATAATATGAAATAGATGAAAGACAATATGGAATCCATTTGTTAAACAAAACATACAAAGTCATGTAACATTAATTACAGCTCTCTGGTAGGATACTTGTCTTCCCGGCAGCATCAAGACCGAGCATTAAGATTCTCATTTCCCTGTTACCAAATATTTTTGATAATAATTTCCCCATGTTGACACTTCGGCAAAGCCTAAAAATGCAAAGAAAACAATAAAGTAACCAAGAGCACAGACTAAAGTAAAACTATGGTGCTATTTCCAAATAACTTTCTATTGAGAAAAAGCAGCTGAAGTAGTCATTAAAATTGTTAATGAAAACTCAAAACTTTTTGTTGCGATCTAAATCACACGCGACTACATCGTGAGACAAACGAAAAAACTTAGGTTTTATAGTCGTTAAAAGTTACAACAAAGAAAACGATGAACGGAAAGTTATCCTCAAATCACCAGCCAGTGATTGAAATAAAAGAAGGTTGGATTTATTGCCACAAAAACTATCACGGTTAACTGAGGTTATCTTTCGGACTATCGTACGGTCATAATAAGGAGCTAACACAAAAACATGCAATTTATATCTACATTAATTATTTAATAAAAAAAACCCTGAAATACTCTCTGAATTTATATGTTTTTAAATCGTTACCTTTGAAATTCTAGAATTAATGGTTATTACAAAATAAGTTTGCGAGCTTGCCAAAATACGCTAATGCAAATAGCTGCGGAAGCTAACAAAAGACAAAATCTTGATAAGTAGGTTCATACGCATACAAAGTACGATTACTGGAGAAACTATTCCAAAAATGAAAATGTTTCAAGTATTTCGTGGCAATAGTGGTAATCTGCTGAAAGAATTTTATCAACGTTGACAATATCAACTCCATTTAAGTGTGACGTAAAAGCGTTCAGGTCCCTGGCTTGAAGTATCATGCGTGAGACAATTTCTATAAATGGCGAAATTAAAGGAAACGATTGAAAAACCTAATGACGTTATTCAATTTCAAATTCTGAGCATAACTGGAAAATTAAGCGTAAAAATTAGTGCCACATTAAAGACCAACAGATCATTATAAAACAAAAGCCCATGTACTGATGTTAAAAACAACATCGACCGGTTTAGACCTTGCCGTCAGCATGCATATCGCTGTAGAGAAATTCGAGGAGAGAAAATTGCTTCTTAAGGAAATAGGATCATTAAATCAGTTATAACACTTACAAGACGACAGGGATTTCTTCATCCGCAGAATAAACTTACAATAAACTTTAAACCAGACTACGCTGGAGATTACTGAATATTTCGGGAACATTTCATAATACTCTCCTTACCGATTAGGTAGCGGGAACTTGGTAGCCCCACACCTTAAATATCTTCAGTTTTCTCCCACGACACAGACTTTAAATGTCTTGAAAAATTCCCATCCGATTAACCCGTTATAATAAATGAAGATGAATTTACGATTTGCGGCGTATTGCTTGTTTTGTATGCCTCACCGAGAGGGCGTGCCGACAGGTAAAGCACAACATGGCTGCCAAGCTCGATAATCTCCGAAGAGTAGCTGCGTGGCTACCAAGCTATTCGCCGATCTGTTATCGAGAAAAACCCGAAATACGAGAATAGTCCAGGAGAAGACCAGAATGACCGACACCAACGAGGTGCAGCGCGCCAAGCGGGTCAAACTAACGGATGAGAATGGCCTGGATAACAACAGCATTCAAAGTTTTCGTGGTTTCCAGCTCATCAAGGTCCTGAACGAAAATGCCAGAAGTAAAACTGTCGCCGTTCATGGTGGGTCGATCTTTTTCACTAAGCATGCAAAATTACCAGAATTTAGTTAACTGTCAGGTAACATAAAGAATATCACCTGTTGACCTTTTCACTATACGCCAGATGAACTTAGGCTTATGATAAACCGGAATGTGATGACAGTTCCCGTTGGTGTATTTTTCTAACGTCCGTATTAATAATTAAAAAGGATGACATGTGCTTCACTTTGTAATATTGTTATATCTCGATCTTTCCTTGATCAGGTTATTGTCATTAGTGATGCTGAAGGCACCACGTGTAGTCTGATTTGATCTTGAATCTTGCGAGTGTTCAACAATTAGACGAGGGTTATTGCAGAGTCCCATTAATATTTGTTTATCAGGAATACGTTTACAGACAGAATTAGATGAAACAAAGGTCTGATACTTATCTATTCGCAAACACGAACCACGTGGAGTCCAATTTAATCTTGAATCTTGCGAGTGATCGAGAATGCATGATAGGCATTTCAGAGCCCAATTTGTTTGTCATGAGTAAGAATACAGGCAGAATCAGATGAGACAAAGACCTGGTACCAATTAATCAAAACTAGGTGAAAATTTGAGAAACTATATACCTATCAGACATATAGATTCCTCTGCTCAATAACAGTATCTGGGCAACTGCCCACCTACCCCTCCCCTTACCCAACATTCACCCTAACTTGTTATCAATTGACTGTTGTTGGGTTAGGGGAGGGGTAGGTGGGCAGTTGCCCAGATACTGATATTGATCCGATTCCTCTCACCAGTTATTCTGTAGCATTGTACTTTGACAGTGTAATCAGACACCTGAAATTGAACAGTTAGATCTCACTGAGTATAGTCAAATCTCTCTTAAGCAGACACCCACTGGAATTGAGAAAAGTGTCCATTGGTAGAACTGTCTGCTTGCCAAAAATTATTTCTGAAATTGAGACTGAAGAAAAATATGGTGGAAGTTGGCTTACCAGAGAGTGTTATGTTGGACTCTTATTAATTTAAAAAAAATGGACAAGTTGCTTTCCCACAGACAAAAAAGGGGAATTGAGAGGAGTATCTGTAAGTAGAACTGTCCACCTACAAGGGTGTCGTCTCGGAGGGTTGACTGTTTACACAAATAGATCCACCAATCAATCATTTACTGTAACCACAGAAACAAACTTACCATCTAAGCTGGGAATGTCCCAAAATGAAGGATTTTGTTTCACGGTTTTCAAATTTTTCAAGTTTTTCATTTTGAGAATGCTCAAAAGCTGTTTTTAAATGTGTTTATTGCACTCATGTCAAATATTGTAATTAATTAATAAGTATTAAAGTAACAGAATTACAAGCCATCAGCCCTTCTTTCACGCATTTAAATGTCTTCAAAATTGCAATGGTTATAATTAATTGGTATTGGTAACAGGAATTGTGTTGTCCCATTCAATCAGTAATTGTACTTGTAATTCACAATTTAGTCTCCTGTTTTGATCATCAGATTTTGTCAATCACTGTTATGAGTAAAAACGGAATTGGATTCTGCTTTATCCTAACACTGTTAGAAGTGTCACATCAAAAAAAAACTCCCTTCCTCCTCTCTTTCTAAGGATTTTTAAAAAATGTGTAACTGATATTCATGTTATTTACAGGAAAGTTTGGAGAATCAGAATCTGATGCTGTGGTTCTTTTGGAGAAGACACCTTTTTCAGAAGATACCTTACCACAAATGTTGTCTGCAGAAACTAGCGTTAAGATGGAATTTAACAATGATATCTACAACCAGTGTACATGCCAACCACAATCACGTTTCAATACGTTGAAGGGAACAATAATCTACCCAGCTACAGCTAAACATCTTGATAAATTTTCATCCCGAAATGTGCATTTTGTTCAAGAAACTCCAGATGTTTATAAATCAATTACTCTTCCATTTATTGAGGAAAAATCTTTCAGTATTCAGGTATGTGTGATGTTTTTCGGTTTAATTGCTCTGCGATATTTTTGACTCTTTGGTTTTAATTACCAGAGCCTCCACAAATTATGGAAAATCAGCAAAAACATCAAAAACAACAACAATTTTACTTTACTTTAATTTTTTATATGTTATCTAAATAAGGAACTCAGACTGTAGCTGGTCACCCAAACTAACTGTTGGGTGAACAGCAATGAAAGTTACTTAATAAGTAGTGAAAATCAAAGCCTGAGAAAAAAATTTCAGGGATGAACCCATGACCTCTGTGATACCGCTGCAATGCTCAACCAACTGAGCCAACAAGCCAATTGGGAGCTGGTAATTTTTTTGTTATGTAATAAACTGGCGTTAAGTGATGAATGAATGATGGACAGTGATTATACAAATATCATACACGTATATTTGAACTGTGGATTAATCAGTGAAGATGAGAGTGATCTTTGCTGTAATGAACAGTAATAACCAGTATGGAGCATAAAGCCTGAAAAAAAATTTATTCTTTAATTAAGGAAATAGCCAAATACAAAAGTTTTCTTATATTTGTATTATGTACTATTCTGGGATTAACAATTAGCTTGGATTTGTATAGATATTTTGTTAAAAACTGTGTTTTCAATACTTTTTCTGTTTCTGTCTTATTTTGTAAATGCTAATTTTTTTACAATTTAATCACTCAATTCTTCAAACTATCTCACAAATGCATCCCCAACTTACTAAACATCAACTTACCTACATCAACCAAACTTACATTACTCTAAGAAAACAAAGATATTTATTACTACAATGGTTAATTGCATCTTATAGTTGTGTTAAACTGTTTATAGTACTGACCTAAAACATTTGATATTAAAATTTTGTTTCAGTGGGTGTACAACATTCTTGAAAAAAAGGCTGAAGTGGAACGTGTTGTATTTGAAGATAATGACCCAGAAACTGGCTTTGTTTTGTTGCCAGACTTGAAGTGGGATCAGAAACAGATTGAAAACCTGTACCTGGTGGCTATTGGCCGTAGACGAGGGATTAAATCACTCAGAGATCTTGATAGATCCCACCTACCACTACTGAGGAATATATTGTTGAAAGGACAGGTAACCTAACCTTAACCCTCTCACCCTCAGAAATGATAAACATGTAACTTCTCCCAAAAATGTCCATACTTTATCCAACAAACAGGTAATAAGAATACAAAAAATAATCAGGCAGAAGATGGTATCTTGATCTAACACCAAATTCTCATGATTAATAAACAAGATAATGTGTGGTAGCAAGAGGGGAGAATTAATAATCAGATCTTGGGAGTTAAATGGTTAAATTCAGTCTGAAGATTTTTACTGTTGCTCTTTTTGGTTTGGTGTGATACTTAAACAGTTTTTGTTTTGTTTGTCTCTTTTTTTCTTTTAATGAAGAATGTGTGAATCATTTTGAGCAAACAAATGACTTTATTTCATCCAAGAATCATAATAGAGAGGATTTTAATATTTTAATATTCACATAAATTTCAAATTCTTGAGAAAAAATTTTAAAGACATGTTTTTGGCATGACTCATGCTGTCAGCAGTTCATTGTGTTGCATCTGTTGACTTTGTTTTTGCATGTTACGTAGGCATTAGGCTATTATTTTAAATCTAATCACAATATTTGAAATTAGTACCATTACAGTAATTTAAGTCAACAATGAGGTGCACAAATATAATACTTTGAATATTAATCAATGTGAAAAATAATTATAATATAAATATAGAACTTTAATATAAATTACAGTTATGTTGCATCTGTGCATTCAGCTCAGATAGCAAGTAGCTAATATACAATGTCCCCTTTAGTATCAGGCGTTAAGTAGTTTTGGCAATGAGTAGTTTTAAGTCTATAAAGTTCACCTAGGTTTAAAAATGAGCTATTTACATAGCACAAATATGTTTTAAGAGAATCCTTTGCATTCTACCAGCTGGCGCATTCTCTGCACAGCTTAATATTTTTATTAACCCTTTACACCCTAAAATCAGTATGCCAATTCTCCATACTGCTCTTCATACATTTCCTAACGTGCTGACAAGGAGAATTTGTTTAGCAACCAAAAGCTTCTTCTGTTGGTTATTTGATCATTTCCTTTATTCTCATGACCCTAACGTGTGATTCAGGGGTGATCACAGGGAGAAATTTGGTGCTAGTCATTCTTAGGGTTTATAGGGTTAATGCAGAATCCTTTCAGGCCTAATGATCCAACATTTGAAAACTAGTTTGAATAGACAAATCAACTCCTATGTTGGAAAACTCTTCATGTCTTCACATCAGGAATTACCCAAGGAGATGATTAAAAATAATGGATCAATATCAGTATCTGGACAACTGCCCACCTACCCCTCCCCTAACTCAACAACAGTCAACTGATAACAATTTAGGGTTAATGTTGGGTTAGGGGAGGGGTAGGTGGGTAGTTACCCAGATACTGATATTGATCCAAAATAATTATGCAGTTTAGGGGACAGTGCTTATTTACCCTGAAGATGACATAGCATCTAAAAAATTTAATTTTTTTACTTTTTCAATATATTTTTGCCTTGTAAGTAGCTCATTTTTTAACCCTTTAACTCCCAAGATCTCATTAGTAATTTCTCCTTTCTGTCTGCCATACAATCCATATGATGTAGTTTGGAGAATTTGGAATTGGATCAACTAATAATCCCCTAGTTGATATTTTTCTTAATTCTCATTACTTGTCTGCTTGATATTATACTGATAGTGTAAGGAGAAATTCTGTCTTGGTCACTAGTGGGACTTAAAGAGTTAAGTAGTTTTATATTAATAGTATTTTTCTCTTTCTTCTAGGAAGCCATATGGGATAAGTATGGTGTTGGTAAAGACCAAATTCAGGTTTATGTTCATTACCAGCCCTCTTATTATCATTTTCATGTACATTTTACTCATATCAACTATGATGCTCCTGGCTGCTGTCTTGGTAAAGCTCATCTTCTGCATGATGTGATTGATAATATAGAGAACATTGATTCCAATTATTACTCCAAGAGGACATTGTTGTGTCTTTTTAAAGAGAATGATAAACTTCTTCATAGGATTCAGCAAGCAAATCATGGTGAAAACCCAGCAGGTGCAAAGGTCTAATGAGGACAAATAACCACAGACTTGTTAGAACTTATTTTAACTGATATATGATAGCTTGGTCTGAGCAGACTAGCCTGGAATGGAGGTGAAGACGAATAAAATTGAAAGGTGTTTTGTTATGGTCTCTCTACATATTTCCAGAGGAAAATGTGATTTCTTATAGTTGCAGCATCAATGCAAATATATCAAACTATGCTTTCGTAGTCTGTCAATATTTCCGTATAATCTTTATGACGAACAAGTCTCAATAGTACGCTAAGAATTAAGTCGGACGTACAAACATCAGTTTGATCATACTATATGGTTGGGCTTTCTTGTATAGATATAATGCTTTTTCTGATTCATAAATTGTTTTTTTAAAGCAGCTTCAAGTTAGAGCAGTCCTACCAACAACGACCAGTATGCTATTCTCACCTTTCCTTACCGGTAATATAAAAAACCCCTTCCGCCATAAAGATATTTATTTATCCATTTATGGATTATTTATTAAGCTATTTATTTATTTATAAGTTAGATTGGCCACTCATTCAAGGCAAGGTATCCAACCCTTGATGGTGTCGTGTATGAATATCCTTGCACAGTTAGTGTCCGAATAATGCAAAGCTCCACTACAGTTGAAGGAAGATGAAAGTAGGGTTGCCCACATCGTTTGGGAGAAATCCTCTCTCAGTCAACAATTTCATAACTATGTTATGTCAACAAGTTCATTACTATTTTGTTTACTATACATACAGAACGGTTCCTCTGACACAGGTTCTGAGGAAGGCAAACATTTCTACTCCATTACAATAACATACGCTCAAGACTGCTCAGGGAAACATTACCCCGGAGAAAAAGGCGGTAGAAAAGCGCGAGACTGGGGAGGAGAGGGCTGGGGTGGTAGCTGACATTGTTATGTTTCCAGCCATCACGTAGGGTTAACTGATTCAAACATTTGTGCTATTATTTGTGGGGTAGGGGTGGAGATTCCTCCTTTGACGAATCTGTCTACTCTGCATATCATTTGCAAAAGCATGTGGTCTAAGTCCTCAAGGTCTGCCCAACACAGCACCATTCGTCAGCCTCTTGAGAACCTGAAGGCTTCGAGCAGCTGACTTCGACGAAAAAGAGGGACTACTCGTTCATAAATTAGCGGTGTAATAACTGCTCAGGATGCTATCCTATAAAAGATACCGCTAAATTAACAATAAACGGAAAGGTACAGAACAAAGTTTAAAGTTGAGACAACTTTAAAAACATCCATTTCATAGTTCTGAGTCGTTTAATGCATGGCGACCATAAAATTTATGTACAAAATAGTAATAATTACGATTTTTATCGACTACCGACGCGAACGACCATTCAATGTGCTTAAATAAAAACTTGTAAAAGTACAAACGTATGAGTAACTACGGCAACGTGCCACCATGTTCAATAGCCTGTTTTAACTACAGGAATACCAGCTTCCTTTGCCAAACGCGTTTCCTCGGCACAACTCGAACATAACGTAATATGAAACGAATACAGAAAAGCAAAGTTGCGTCCTACTATGGAATGTTGCTGAGTGGGTAAAGTTGTAAACCAAACTTTGCTAGGTACTCTAAGTACTTTCTTTTCGGGCGAGGTCCGTCGTACGAGTCAAAAGAAAAAAATCGGGAGAAGAACTATTGCTGTTGGTGCGCCGCGCGGAACTCTGGGAGTGAGGCGGTAAAAAAAAGTGGCGTCCTTACTTTTCGTGCGTCTCACTCCCAGAGTTTCGCGCGGCTCGCTGGCATTTTTTTTTTTCTTCTTCAATGAGTTATTTTTGACTCGCGCGAATGCCTCACCGAGAAGTAGGGACTGCTCAGAGTGTACACTCCACAAATAGCAATTACAATCAACTGCAGTCGTTGTCAACCGTTTTGAACGAGTTGTACTGAATTGAACACGTCCTATTTTCTTTTCTCACATAAGCTTCACATTCATTCCTCACAGTTTATGCAACTGTATGGAAAACAAGACAGGCGTAAAAAATGGGAAAATCAGAAAACAATTGGGTATTTGTATGTAACGTCATAAATATTTACAAAATATTTCCTGCTAAAAAATGACAATATCGTGATGCTGGCTATACTATTAATCCTATATTACTCATTTCACTACAATGAGACGTGATTCAAATAAGTTAATATTGATGCTAAGAAAAAATGTTGATAATTTTTTACATACATGGTATGATAAGACGTCATTCCATTGCACATTAAAAAAATTCCAATTCAAATTCTTTTAAATACGAGTTATTTACAGTGCACATTAACGACGATATATGCTTTAAAACTAATTATCTCACAGGTAAGACACGGTTCAATATATTGTATGGCTTCTTTGAAAAGCTAACAATATGAAATAAATAAAATTCAAAGTTTCTTCATATTGACATATCTCGGTCGCGGTGGTTTCGCTGCCAATCCATGCACTGGCTATGTGAGGCAACAGGATTTCTTCTTGCTTTTCTCGTCCCCTTCTTTCAATGTCAACCCATTGCTTTGTTCCACTTCTGTATCCTCAATTTTCCTTAGCAATCTAGGACGAATAAACGAAAACAACCAAATGTAATTCTAAACAAACGATTGTTGCTAAACAGTATCAGGTTGGCGTTTCAGGCAAAGGTTTGTAAGTTTGCAGAACTTGGCATTTGATTTACGTCATGAAAAACTGGATCATTAGATAACGTAATTCAAGAGTCTTCATAGGCTTAGCCATTAGGCGCATGAAAGCAAAGTTTAACCGGAAGTGTTTTTGTACATTGTAACATTCCGTTTGTTCTTACAAAACAAAGTTTGGCACAATTATCTATGTTTTTGGGCGTTTTAAATAGCCATCAATTATCTTTTATATAATAAGCTCAGTTATGCACGCATTCTGATTGGTTCTCACTTATGATCCATCGGAGGACAGACGTATAGATGACGTCATCATTGAAACTTTTTAAATTCTTTATTTTATAAAACAAATAGATTTCAAGTTGCCGTGCGTCTGTTCAGTAATAGATCACAGAGGACGTCAAAATGTGGTAAGAACATCAGTGACACACTCGGCTGCGCCTCGTGTGCCATTTTTTTGTTCTTACCATATTTTGACGTCATCTGTGATCTATTACTGAACAGACGCACGACAACTTGGAATCTATTTGTTAAATATTCAACGCGCGTTCATGGAATGATAGTTCATATACTCAACTATACAGTCAGTTAAACAAAGTCACCGACTTTGGTTGATGTGAAAAGTCAGTTGACTAGTTTTTTGACCAAGCAGCGAAGTTTTTCTTACCTTCCCAGCTCAATACAAGCATCTGTTATATTCTTGTTTTCTTTTGAACTTGTTTCGGTGAACAGAGCACCATATTCCTGTTAACATAGAAAAGAACACAGTCATTTAATTTAAGTGAAAGTAGAAGACGTTTTTTCGCTTTTCGTTTTGTTTTGTTATGTTTTGCTTTGTTTTTTTTCCCCAGTGATTTCACTCTTGCTGCAGTGTTAAAGGAGTAACGCGTTAGCAGCGATAAGTGCTCTAACGAAACCGTTGGCTAATTTCACTGCAGCATGAAAATCATCTGCAGGCCATTGATATAGGTCACCAGACAGAAACGTTTACCGATACAGCTTGGTAACCCATACCCTATAGAGACCTCAATTTCGATAACTCACTCTTGCTAATTTCTCCCCATTTTCCTCTGTTATAACGGTCTTTCCTTCAGCAATATACGACTGGCGCAAATCAGTCTTGTTACCACACAGCATGATGGGAATCGGTTTGGATGTGCTTTCCTGAAATGATTTAAAATCAGTTTAATGGGAAAATTAAGATAAGCGACGAAGCCATTTATGGGCAATAACCAGTTAGGGAATATTTACCTCTATAGCTTCCACCCAATCACGAACATTAATGAAGGATGTTTCACAAGTGACGTCATAGAGCAATAACACACCGTCAGCTTTGCGGAAGTAAGACTTGGCGATACTTCGGAACCTATAATAATGATAATAATAGTAAAATACATATTTCAAGAGCAGGCCTCCATCACTCTAGGTGGTTTTCAGGGGGTCCTCCGACGAAAGAGAACACCAAAAATTTATAGAATTAAACAACAGTTTAAATAAACTAGAACTTAGATAAATTAGCAGAGAGATATTTCAAAACTGCCTTTTATGGTATTTAAGTTCCTACTGAAGCTTAAATATGGCAGAGGTCTTTCAATTCGTCTGAACTAAACTGAGACAAATCTGTGAGCAAGGCACAGGTTTTTTAAGATTCCTTTGGCCGAGAAGCCCAATGGAAACCCAATAGAAGCCCAATCGACGCATAAACCGCATCCTTAGTCAGAAGAACATTTTAGCAGCCACAGTCGACCGGAGTTTGACATGTTACGTATCACGTAAAGGAAATTCGCTAGATTAGCCTCGATTCCACTTCACTGATGGACACCAATCGTGCAAGAATTTTGAGCCGGATGCGGACACCTTAAAACACGTTACGTCCAAAAAATTACCTTTCTTGGCCAGCAGTATCCCATAATTGAAATGCAATGGTTTTGTCATCCACAACCAGCGTTTTCATCTGAAAATCCACGCCTGAAGTAAGGGAACACAGAGCCTTCATGAATATCCACTTCACTATAAAAATTACCGACCATCACAGAAAAACACGTTATTTAGGAGGTTTGTTTTGCTTTGGCTGAACGAATGTAAACCACTACAGCTTTTCCACGGCATCTGACCGCGTGCACGCTATACCTGAGCGTGTTTAAACAGTCTCGTGTAAACAAACCGCAGTCGAAATCGAGTTACATACCGAGCGTGGAATTCAGCGCGCTGTGGAATCTGTTCCTACAGAGTCTGAGTATGAAGCTTGATTTGCCAACTGCCGCGTCTCCCGCTAAAACCAGTTTATACATGCGCTCTGGAACATTACTCTCTGCTACTGATGCCTTCAACAGAAAAAGATAAACCACTGGATGAAACACTGAACACTATCATAGGAGATAACTATCAAAAAAATAATCGACGATCAAAAAAATTCCCATAAAATTTAGTGTAAAGGTATTCACGCACATTTCTTGTTGTACTTAATTATTTGGTCTAAGACGTACCACCCATTACTCGGGCATTTGCTAAGCCCATGGGAGGGGAGTAGGGCGGGGAGGAAAGGGGTGACAAGAATTCAAACTAGTCATCTATCGCGTCATGTGAGGATATGTGATACTTGCGAGACTCAGACATCTGATACGTAAAATGAGGTTCTAATGTGATATGTGGTACTAACGTGATATGTGGTAATAACGTGATATCAGTACTAATGTGATATGTGGTACTAACGTGATATGTGGTAATAACGTGATAGCAGTACTAATGTGATATGCGGTACTTACGTCATATAAGTACTAACGTGATATGTGGGAGTTGAGTGATATCAGTACAAAATGTGACATGTGCTATTTGCGTGATATGCGATATATACGTGATATGTGGTACTAATGATGTTCGATACCAACGTGATATGAGGCACTAAATTAAATGCGATATGTGGTACCCACGTGAGATGCCATACTAATGTGATATGTGGTACGAACGTGATATGCAAGACTGATGTGATATGTGGCACTAATGTGCTGTTATGTACTTACATGCAGTGGCGTATTTGAGGATGCCTCAGACAAAGAGTCTGAACCAACAGCTGCACCCCTCTCCCCCTCGGGCGCTTCTGCTTCCGTCTCACTATCATCTTCAGACTCTGTATTAGCTCTTGCCATGGCAACTAACTGAGCTAATTCCTCGTCTCCTACGTCATCTTCATCAATGTCTTCATCATCTTCTTCGATTACACTTTTAAACTGTATAATGATAGTAATATTATTTATCACAACAATGACGATAAAGTAATAATAATAGTATCAATGATAAAGGCAATAATGAAAATAACAAAAATAATAATAAAAGTGAAGGACTACTTTTCGTTCAAGGCTTAGCTGTTTGATGTCAATTTTAGTGTTTAATCAAGCAAGTGAATGACAATTAATCAGGGTGCAGTTACACGGGTTAAATCAATGTTATTCAAATTATTTTTATTGTTCCAATGATCACGATTAACTCTTCGCCTTCAAGTTCTGTTCATTTTTCCTGTTTGATCAGGGTTTTTTTACATCATGTACTGTAGGGTGTTTTGTAAAGCCATAACATCAATTGTCATGCTTTTCGCTGCAACAACTGCAGCTAGTTTGGAACTCAGTTTTTTTTTTCATTATTGATGTGAAAAGCAAAATTACGTGCAGTTAATAGGTGTTATGTTTGGCAGTGCCAAATTAAGACACATGCATTTAAAGCATAATTAAAACTTCTTCGACCTCTGGTTATCATATGCTGTTAAGTCCCGCCAGCAGTGGATTGTGGGGCGTATCATGTCCTATGGTCTCGGAAAGCTGGCCGCGAGTGGACAACACGAAAATTAAACATCAAAATCTACTGGTGTTTGAAAAGTAATCCTCTTTAATAACGATTTACGGTGGCTGCTGACAGCAAGAATTTTACAAGTAGTCAAAAGCAAATGCCCATAGTATTAGCTTTTTTCACCTGAGCTTCAAGTTCTGCGCTGAATGTATCAGGCTTGCTGTTATCAGATTCAGGAAGAGAGTCCGTCTGTTGAACGATCAACAACCAGCAGGTCTGTTAGGTTTATCATTATAATTATTTTAAATCAACTATCAGAAGAGATTGATGAAGTTTCATTTACACTGCACCTTTAAAAAAACTAACATGATTTATCATAAACAGCAATAAAATACGTCTCTGGGTCATTCACGCATAAACTGAAAACATCAAGTGCACTAAGTGAACAAAGAGTGATTATAGCTTTTATAATTTTATCATTGAACTTAGCCTTCACTGACTTAAAAGTTTTGGTTTAAACCATTTTATCGTTTTCATAACACGGGGTTTAAGTTCAATCTAAGTTACAGTGGGTTTCAATTCAAGCTTAGTTCGAGTACGAATGGTTAAGTTTTATAAATCACACCAATTTAACTCCTTAAATACTGAGACGCGAACTTTTAATATAAAAGGATCAGAGTTTACTCTTTCACTCGTGACCATTCATCTAGCAACTAAAAAAAGGTTGAATTCAAAATTTTTATATTCCGAGTAAAAGTTCAATCTGTGTTTCTCAGAAAGTCTTGTTTGAGCACTTAACTTTTCTAGCTCTTTGGTTTAACAGTCGCTTATTTACATGAAGTTTCATCTTGAAAACAGCGGAGGATGCCATTCTGTCTCAGTTAAAGCTTAGATTTAAAATACCCTCATAATTTTTCATACGTTATTATATACTTATTATGGGTTTAGGCTACGTGTCCAAAGTTTAGGCTCGAGAAAATATATTTATGTTCGACAGCCACTGTTTTATTTTAAGAGGAGGGCTCTCTTTTATCTTTTAAATTTAAATGTTTAAGTTGAAAAGTTTATCTTTTTAAATTTTTTACCTTGGTTCTGTTGCGTTTTATTACCAGCGAATTTCTCCTTTTTAAGCTAGAGCCTCCGGCAAAGTCACCCGGGATCGGCGTACTTTCATCCTCAGGCGTTTCGGCGATCTTTTTGTCGTGGAATATCCTTTGCCTCAGGGAAGGCTTTCTTACTAACTGACTTAAATCATCATGAAAAATTGTTTGATTATCAGTATTGAAGTTCTGTATGACAGGTTCGTGAGAAGCAGCAATAACATTTACTTTATAGTCATCATTTTTTAGCTCCGCCACACTTTCCCTACTGGCGCGCAAAACGTTAAGCTTTTCAGAGAGCTGCCAAAGGCCTATCCCTTGTCCTAGGTTTACTCTTTCGTCGCTTTGCCAGCGTGAAGTGGGTAGTGATCGTGTACGCTCTCCAATAAAATCGTTTCTTTTCTTCACTTGTTCCATACTGTTCCATTTACCAGCTCGAGCTATTGGCGGCCAGGCCGATCGGTCGCCTTTACTGTTTGACTGATTGAATAACTGTTCAAGACTTTTATGTCTACAAGGTTTTCTCGTAAGACTATTTCGAACAAACGGAGAGTGTGTGATATTGTTTGCGTTTGTTTCAACGTTTGCCGTCAGGTGTTCTTGTTGCTGTTGTTCATGTTGGTGTAGTGTTGGTTGGGCGGGGACTGGGTCGCTCTCTGAGTCACTTTCCCACATTACATCACTAGTGGGTTCCTTAAGTACCACGTGACGCTCATGCGGGGTGGCCGTCAGTTTGGATAACTTAGGAGCCTCTTCAAAATGCCGAGCGTTTACCTGGACGTTTAATTACAAGGGACTTTACTATTACGTTTAATTTAAAACTCAAGCAACTTAATTTCTGCTAAATCTGTTTAAGCCAAGCATAAGTCAGTGCAGTTTTAAATCTCCTCCCTTGATGAAATCCTAAATTTATCTATTGTTATCTATTTGTTTATATAAGTATTATGAATTTATTCTCATATTTGATTTTGATTTATTTATTTAGTCATTGTTATTCGTTTAATTGGTTTATGCACGAATCATCATTCAAAGTACAGCAATAGGAATAATTTTTTACACTATTTTTACGGTTCGATGAAGGGGTTGCTCTAAAGACGAACAAATTGCAGCCATCGTCGTGATAAAGGGGGCAATATCCTGAGCTGTATCAACTCGTCCCACCAGTTTGCTTGGAGGAACATTCTGATTAGCACCCTGCCTTCCCTGTAACAATTCTCCCACAAACTCCGAATTTACTCATGCAAATACCGTTCATGTAACTATCCGCCTAATTGTCTAGCAGTGAAGTGAACTTAAGTACTGTCAAACTGATTGTCCAAGCGTGACAGGAGTTGCTCAGTTGCAGATATGAAACGCTAAATACCGTCATGGTGTTCACGTCAGACTCGGGTTCGTATCCAGACAACTCGCCAGGTTCTTCAGCTTCAGCGCCATCGGCAACATCATCCTCCGATTTTGGTCCCTGCAGACTAAACATCGGAGCAACACGAGGATCAACTTACATAGGCAACACAAAAGGATTAAATACGCATGGGCCAAACACCAGAATCAACTTTCCATGGGCGAAAGACGACGATAAACTACACATGGGTACAACATCACGATCAAATACAGCTAGGCATTACACCAGGATAAACTATACAGTGACAACAGTAACAATCGATCCCCTACTTAATCAACTCAGTTAAAAGTTGATTTAGTATGAAAGAAAAATTCCTGACCAGCATAACGGCATACTAAAACAATACTGCCGTTCCTAAACGAAGGTCGTCAGGCAGATAACTACACCTAAAGTAACAAGAACACTCACTGGTTGGGAGTAATACTGCGACTGGAAATGGAGCCATAATCACTATGAATGCTGGGATTCCTATGACATTTCTCACCACTTCTTCGCGCCTGATATCAAAAAAATATGCTTTAACCTCACCACACCTGAGCACTTTGAAACTGTACTAACGCAAACTGGTGAGACTTTTTACTGCAATAATCTGATATTCATTTCTAAGGTCTGCAAATTTTTTATTCCACTGATGCACTCAGTACAAACATGGAGCCAAAAATGTTACAGTTCTCTTGTTAGTTTATTTAATTTTATTTGACCAACTCACCTGAGATCGCACTATATCACCTAACATTAGACTTAAATACTGAAGAAAATAAACGTGTTACTAGATGTAGCCAGTTACCTTAGATAACTTTAATGACCTTCTTCCTGTCAACGCCTACAACCAAAATTAATTTGTTGGCAAAATCAAAAGTCATGTACTGAAGACCTTATTAAGCACATACATTTATCAGGAAATGCTACAGCTTCATTTGGCAATCTGTGAGCTTCATCAATTTTTTAAAAAGTTCTAAGTAAGGCGCACCAAGCTCGGAAAACGTCAACGAAGAGAAAATTAATCCCCACTTTCACCCGTGCGCTTTACCCCTCTCATTTTAAACTGCCTAATAATATCAAAGGCAATGCATTTACGTTGTTATAATTGTTGTTAAAGCTATCTTCAGCTATATCAATATGCCGGACTTCTAAATTTTATTCAATAAGTCGTGAAGTCGTAATATTTCCAAAACAAAATTATAAACATTTTAAATCAGGAATCAGTTCTAAAAACAGATAGCAGAGACGCACACCTCAAGAGCTGCACGCAAGTCATCATTGCTGTCACATAGTCTTTTATTGGTTTCCCTATTAGAGATAAAACATAGGACAGCATATGAGATCGGGGTCTTAGCCTGCTGAAGAGGGCACACAAATTGAATTGACAGGACTTCGATTCTTTGACTGACTTTTGTTCCTTATTGATGCTGTTTTTGTCGATTGTTGCTGAAACTGACATTATTACTGTTGCTGCCTCATTGCATCACCAGTACATCATTGAAGATCAAATGATTTTCAGATCATTTTTTCAAAAGTCCTTCTCAGACTTTATAAAGTGGATAATTCATCTCACTATAAGAATTTTTCTGGACCTGTTTTCACATGTAACACCCTCTAGACTTCATAGGAGTAAGAGATTAGAGCTTGTAGCTTTAACCCACCGACTTGGCATGAAAGAAACGAGTTAAGCTATAAAATTAGCTTACTGTAAAATATCCAGCTGCTTGGAGAATGATTTCCTCTCAGATGACCTCAATGAATTGTATGCTTCATCCTCATCTTCTAAGTCTCTATGAAAATTCTATAACAAGTAATGATGTTAAAGAAAACTTTAAGTTATTAACTCCATCATGAAGGCCACCATTAAACAATTGCCCTTATACTTCGCCATACTTTGTGTCTATCACTGTCAGTTTGATGGGAATAGAGGTGAAAGAAAGGAACTTTGGAAATTGGTTAACCTCTTCATTTATCAGTTTATTATGTTTCATAGGAACGGTTGTTCCATAGCACACTGTCTCTTTCAGGGGATCAAACGAGAGCAAACATTATTGTTTATTTCTAATCTCATAGGTGATCGCTTAGTATTTTTAGGGTCACTTCATTTTAATTCAATCATTGTTAGTAGTTATGTGTGTCGGACCAAAGTCAGTATCTGATCAACTGCGCACCTACCCCTCCCCTAACCCAACATTAACCTTCACTTCTTATCAGTTGACTATTGTTGAGTTAAGGGAGGGGTTGGTGTGCAGTTCCTAAGATATTGACATTAATCCAATGCGTCATACCGTTTCTGTGTCTTGTGTTGTTGTACTGTCAGTATCAGATGTCTCGCTTGCAGCGAAATGTCGTAAACGGAGATCAAGGGCTGCTGGCATTTTCTTATTTGTTGTGATCGACTTTGATTTTCGTGGAGTGTCGGTTGTGCATGTTACAGTTGGTGAGAAAGTAACTGAGGTATTCCTCCGCAGTCTGTTGTAAGTCACCCCACCCTTACTTGAATTTCTATTTTCCTTGGTCCCTCGTGTAACATTCTCTCTTTTATCCTCAGAGTCTGAGTTATGTTCCGTTGCCCTTAATCTACTTTGAGCATCAACAACATTTCGTCCTTTTTTACTTTCTTTTACAATGGAAACAGGTTTTTCCTGTGGTTTGCTCACTCTGCCATCAGCTCTTTTTTTTGAATAATTCTTCCCTTTTCTTGTGTCACTCTTTTTCAGTGATGAATCTTTTAAGTCGCTCTGTCCAAGAGACTTATCATCTTTTTTTAGGACATTATCTTTGGCATCACGTTTCCTCAAAAAGTTATCCTTTAAGTCCTCACTTGGTCTGCTATTCTCCTTGTTTCTGGTATTTTTGGACAGTTTCCCGAAGTACTTTCCAAATCGTGACCCAAACCTTGAGCTATTTCTGTTTCTCAGTAGTTTGTCCGTGTCTCTAGGAACGTCAGATTGTTCACTGTCCAAGTCTGATGTCAAGCGTGTATTGTCTGTAGTTTTATGAGTTTTATCCTGTTTAGTTTAAATTTAACTTAGGTTAATATTTAATTTAATATTTACGTAGTCGTTGTTTTATCAAAGTAAATTTGTTATACTGAATATACACAACCATGCGCGAAAGAATTCTCCATTCTTCTTTCTGTTTTCTCTTTTTTTCAAACAGAATTTTTTTGATGTTGCCAATCTTAACGTGACCTCCGATGCATGTTTTGGACTTTTGGACTTTGTATGGTAGTTCAGTCAATACACAGGTCGTGTATATATCATTTCTTAATATTTACAGATAGTTTTTGTTGCCTACCATAGAACAAAACCCCAAAATGACAGGTTCATCAAGCAAGGACTTGTCTTCAAGTGAAACATGATCATCCACTTCACATGATTGCCTTGCAGGAGGTAACAAGTGATGTACCTGGCCGGTTTCCCGGCTGTTAAGTATGCCTGCATTGTTGTTATAGTCTAACTGCTGTGTGGATTTAGTTTCTTCTTCAGGAATATCTTCAGGAACCTACAAGTTTTCCGCCTTCCATAAGTTTATAAATTACCAGAATTTAACTCATACTTAATAGATCAATGAAGAGCCTTTCATTTAAAAAAGTTTATGTTAAGTTTAAGCAAATGGCCATTTATCAATTAATTCACGTATTCATTCATTCATTCATTTATTTATAAGTCTGTTTATCTATTCATTTAGGATTCATTGGTTTATTCACTCATACAACTCTTATTATGTTTTTTCATTTTCTTACACCTGAATTTTAATGCTCGTTGTACTTCACCTTTCTGTTTTAGTTAAGTTCATAACTTGAACTAAATTCAATGATTAACCAACCCACATGCAATTTACACACAGTGTTCAAGTTTACCCACTGAAACATCAATATTTAGACTGTATCTTTTTTGTAAATGTACGTGTTTACAATATTTATTAACCATTCATCATGGCCATTCCTGGACTACATCAAAGTATCATTCTATTAATTCAGAATTTACTTCCCTAAATAGCTTTAACTCAAGGAATATTATAATTAGAAAGTTTTTCTTGTGTTCAAACTCAGTTTCCCTGAGGTCTGAGTTTATAATGGGCAATTTAAAGGTACAAGATAAAGATCTGGAAATAGAACATCCATGTGCTCTCTTTTCTTTTCTGTATTAATTATAATTATGTTCCAACTTACTGTGAGCTGCTGAACCTGCATTAACTCAGTCATTAGTGAGCTTTCACCAGCAAGAGAATCATCATCAACCTCACAGCTTTGCTGACTGGGCAGCAAAGCAGTAGATCCCCGCCGAGAATTACTGATGCTGTTAGGTAAAGATGATGCTACATTTTGTGACGGAGTACTTTGCACAGATTTTCCATCCACACTGTCTGCTCCAAAGTCCTCTGCAAATCCTGAAGAACACCTGCTTTAAATATGATCAAAACCTAAATTTTGTTTTGCAACTGAAGCTTATATACCAAATATGTCCCTAAAGTGTAGAAATACCCTTTTAAGAGGGGTTAATATTTATCTTATTGTAGGTTTTTGCCATGTTCTTAAGTTATAATCATTTTTGAGCCAAAAAAAACTTCCAAAAGTTCACATTAAAATCGAAAACCCTCATTTAAGACCCAGATATTGACTGAATGTATAGGTAAGTAAAACGGAAAACCTCTTAACAGAGAGCTGAATAGTGTGAAAAAGTATTTAATATTATCTTTTATAAAAAATCAAAGATTCTGACTAATTATTGCCAATCCCCCACATACAGTGTCTACAGAATACAGTCATTTAGGCTTAAAATTACACATTCAACAAACCAGGTATCTTCCATTAACACATGAGTTTGTCATTACCTGTGACTGGGTGATTTGTTGTTTTTCCATGTTGTGCTTGATGTAGGAGAGTACAATGTTGATATTGAATGCCTCTTGCTCGGTGATGGGCTTCTTTTGTCGCTATTTTTTCTTGCCTGTAGAAGACAAACAAAGAAAGGAGATGAGAATAATGATTCTAACAAAGGTGCAAAATGTATAGGGTATGTTGACAACAAATTTTTGATGAATACATAACAAAATCCAAACATTACATTTGGTAAGCAGCCTGACAGTTCAATAAACTTATGAAGGTGAGTAAATTGAGGAAGGAAAGAATATTCATTCTGAGACACAATCATCATACTGATTACAGCTACATTTGCATGAAAGTCAATCCCTGAGCAACTACTCACCCACCCCTCCCCTAAACCAGCAGGAGTCAACTGATGATGAGTTAGAGCCAATGTTAGGTTGGGGGAGGGGTAGGTGGGCAGTTGCACAGATTCTCACATTGATCCCTACCAACCATACAATCTTTGGAACCTCAAATAGTTTCAGGTTTGCTCATTAATACATTTTTAATAATTGTTAATAATAAGAACCTTTTTAATTAATAGTTTCAACCAATGGTTTAATTATCCAAAATTAAAAAAAAAATACCTCCAAAGCTGCCCTCAAGTCATCATTTGTATCATGAAGTTTTTTGTTTGCCTCACTGCAGGAATAAAAGGAAAATTGGTTTGATTACATTCTTCATAAAAATAAAAGTGTCCACATTCAATCTAAACCACTTAAAGCAATATTCTTAGTTGAAAATTAAACTGTTTAGTTAAACAATTCACTATGTCCTTATAAGGTTGTAAGAAAATCTTCTTTCAAATTTATTCTGGTTATTCGTTTTATTTTACCCTCCCATAACTTGACATGATTTATTTAGTGGGTACCACAGCTAATGGACAAATTAACTTACTGTAATAACTGAAGCTGCCTTGTCAAACTTTCTTGTTCTTGTACACATTCCATCACAGTTCTCTTCTCCCTGGCAAAATCAAGCAATACTTCAATCAAACTACAACAAATAGCCCCATGTTAAAACTTCTATGAGGTTACTGTTAACTTTTGAGAAAATGAAAACACATTGTTTACACACTCAGCAGACAAGACTCCTTCCAAGAATTGTGTAAAGGTTTTGACAGAGGTGGGTGGCTTCACATGTACATGTACTACTAGAGGTGACTAATTATTTATCTTATTAAAAAATCAGAGGAACAGCCTTGCAGAATGGCCCGCTAAACAAAGTAAGAAGGAATTTTGGAAGATTTTTGGCAGTCACCAGTTACTTTTGACAATCCTGATGTTGTACCAGTTTCTGCAGCCTTTCATTAGTTTCCATAACTTACGCAGTAAGCTGTGATTCCTGTTCTTCATAATCATTTCTTAGCTGGGCAAGTTCACTTCGCAGGATAGCTAAGTTAGTCTGAGCATCTGTTAACTGACTTCGCAGGAACCTTATTTCCTGAATAATAAATAAATGGTCTTTTTAATATTCACACAAACTTTTCTGGTACCCCATTCATACTAACATTTTAATGGTGACTAAAATGGTTTCATTGTACACCATTTGTTGGTTTTTAAGAAGCTCACACAAGAAAAAAGTGCCAACATAGTCAAAACGTTTTCACTGTTTGTTGTTGTTGTTGTTGTTTTAAAATAAAAGAATGCAATTCAAAATATAAATATTGTCAATTTGCTAAACACTCTTTTACCCTATTCATGTGTGAAACATTCAAATGTGTTCAAACATATTGGAATCTATTGGAGGTTTCAAAAAAATTTAGAATTTAACAATCTGAAGTAACTATTATCATTACTTGAACTTTATCATCTACTTCCTCCTTGATCTTTTGCTCCTCAGGTTCCTTTTTCTTCAGCTTTCCTTCAAGCTGAAAATAAATCAAACTTGGGGTTAGCTTATGAAAACAAATTTATATGAACTTTTCAATTACATCAAATTTTCAATGCACACTACTGCATATATTATCGGATAAACCAGTTAGCAATCATTATTTTTGTACCTTTTGTACTCTGGCTGTTAAAGTTTGTATCTCTTTATTTTTATTTTCCAGTTGCCAGACAATATCCAGGTTGGACCTCTCTTGTTTGCTTTTTTCCTGCAAGATAATTTAAAAACTGATTGGCAAAGTTTAATTATCAGCTGAGGATAGAAAATACAGGGAATAGTTTAACCAAACCTAAATTCCCTAACTGTTAGTGACTAACTATTGGTAACCAGATGTGAATATGAAAGCGATCTTCGGAGTAATGAACACTACTTAGGCAGTAGTGAAAATAAGGTAACCCATTTTCACTACTGCTCAAGTAGCATTCATTACTGCGAAGATTGCTTTCATATTCACGTCTTTATCCACAGTTCAAATATATGACTTTCATATATTCACAGTCAATTATTGGTAACTAGGTTTAAAACAGAATTATTTCTGGCAAAAGTTTGCTGGCCACTGGAACACCTTACTGAAATAATCTAGTAATGTATTATAATAAAGAACCAAAAAAAAATATTGATATTTGTCATTCTTGCGAATAAATGAATTGGTACAATCAGTTGCACTAGTGGATAATTATCTAATGTAAATATTAATTAATTATTTGCTAACCTCCTTTCTGATGCGGGACTCCAGTCTTTGCATCTGTTGTTCAAGCTCATTATCAAGTTGGTCCATATGTTCTGAGTGTTTTTCACATGTCCTACAAAGTCAAGCATAGACTTCACTACTTCATGGATTAGAGTGTGACATTAAATAAATTTGACATCCTAAGTGATCTTCATCAGTCTATCAAGCTGGTGCCATTTCCATTCAACAAGGGAAAGTGCATGGCTACATTTAAAATTCAGTAGCTGGCATTAGTTCACCAATTTTTGTGGCAAAAATTAAAAAAAGCAAAAAAATGAGGCAAAACAAGAAACTTGGAGAAAGCACAACTCTCAAGTCCCAATGCCAGAACCTGCTTTTATAATTTTCACACTAAAATGGGTTTGTGAACCTTGAGGCCAAAAACAAAAGAAAATTTAGAAGAAAAATAACTACAATCTGCTGTACCTCTTGAGGGCCTCTTCCAGTCGTTGATTCTCAGAGGAATAATGTTTGACATCTCTAACAACACTGAACAGAAAACTTTCCAGTAAAGCTACGAGCTGTGGTGATTCACTTGAGTTATGCAGGTAGTGGAACAAATCAGACACATACTCTTGGCTAGAGAAAAAAATAAAACAAGTTATTACAGCATAACAAAGACTAATGAATTTTTTTCTTTGGCTGAAAAATCATATATGATTAATGCCCTTCAATATTAATCTATTTTTTTCTCAGCATTGTAATCACCAGGTTCAGGTAAACCTCTTATACAACAATATACATACAAACATTTCTTCCATGTAGTGGGGTCAGGGAAAAGGAGGATTGATCAGTTTAGAAAAATAGATTCCATGTTGTTGCACATCTGTTTGAACAGTGATAGATCACAGAGGAATCTACTTGTTTTGCATGAAAAAAGGCAAAATGTTGTCACTGGTAACATCATCAAAGTGACTGTCCTCCAGTAGATCATAAGTACGATTGTTCTTTTTGGGAATATGAAACAAAAACACCCTAATTTAAAAATATTATGATGACATTATTCTAAAATCCAGAACTGAGTTCAATGGATTTTCAGGTTTATTTAACCCTTTAACTCCAAGAAGTGATCACCATGCAACTTCTCCCTAAAATATTCACACAATATCCAGCAAACTGGCAATGAGAATACTCAAACTTATCAGGTAGAAGTTATCTTGATCTAACACCAAATTCTGGTAGCTAGTATACAAGGAAATACGTTGCAGTCACAGGGGAGAATTAACAATCAGATCTTGGGAGTTAAAGGGTTAAACCTCAGTCTATTAGCGACTGACTTTTCTTTCCAAGATCAGTGAGGTGTCCACAGATGGTCAGCAGCTTATACAAATAATAAATGGCAAAATGGCGTCAAAGCAGCGAGAAAGCGACCAGCTACAGTGATCAGTGGACTCTTACTTCACAATAAGGCTACGTGAGTGAAATTCTATATGTATATATAACATATATTTTTCAAATGATTTTCAAAGTTATATAGAATGTCATCTTCGGATGATAGGAATCTATCTTGTAACTGCTCTTGAGGTACGCAACACAATAAATTCCTCGATGGAATAATTGTGCGATGCAGGTTATAACTAACAACTTTGTAAATAACTACTGCCACAAACTTGAAGTCTTCGATGATCGCAAAGTTGTAGATAAGAATTTGTTGACTTTATATAAAGCACGCTGTGTTCGCCATAAAACTATTAAAAACAGATTATATAATTTGTCGGATCGCCGCCAAATTAAAGCTAGCCATGAAGGATCCATACAGCTACCGCAAGCTATTATCAGCACCATAAGCGCAGTGTTAAAAAGGCTTTCGAGCCTCAATATTCGTAAATACATTGTTCATATAGTCTTGTGATTACCTGTTATTGAGCGAAATCCTCACCAACGTATTGGAAATTCTAGAACCCAATCTTCTTACCGAGCTACATTGCACGGAGTCGCATGCTAATACCAATACTAATCGTGTTCTCTCATGCTTAACTTAGCGCAAATTATTTTGAATGCTTCAAGAATATCAGTTTAAAACTCAATATTCCAACTAATGTACAGAAATCTTAATCTACCTCCCAATATTCACGGATTTTTGACCGTGGTTATAAAGTATATAAACCATATGGTTACTTTCACGAGAATTGGAATCGATGGTGACTTTGGAATATTTTTGATAGCAACAAGATCGAGTTTGTTAACAACAAACGTGACTTCATTTACCTCATTAGTGATTGCTCAAACATCAGTTGGATTTCTTCCATAGTAAACAAGATCTATCGAAAATTTTACGAACTTCAAGTGTAAAGTCGACCATGCTTCGAAAACAAGGAAGCAAATGAGCAGTAGTTTTAGGTTAAAAATTAACTATTGAGACATGTTTTGATTGCGAGCTACATTAAATTATCCAGACATTCGAACGCTTCCCCATTTATGGTCCCCGAACGAACACTGCTTTGTCAAAGCATCAGTAAGACTTTGAAACGGTTAAAATGTTACTTTTACTGATAAATCGTTTAGAAAACCAATCAAGAAGGCAATAACCAATATTTACCCTGACAAGAGCTCCCTGACTCCCAGGGCGTCCAGCAGTTTGTCGAACTTTTTTCTTTCTTTCTCCGCGGTGGAAAGTTCCTCAACGTCCGCCTCGAACAACGAGCACACGCGTTTAAAGCCTTTGGAAAAATCTAGTAAACTTATCTTGTTGTCTTTGTCCGCATCAAGCTCATTGAACAAGTCCTCAATTTCTTGCTTTGTCAAATTCAACTCCGCACAACAACATGCTAGTTCAGACTTCTCGATGAAGCCATTTTTGTTTAAGTCCCAAGATCTAAAAATGTCCTTGACTGTGTGCTCAATATCGTCAGTCACTTCTGAATCCATTTTACTTCATTGTTAAAAAAAAAATCTTGAATAAAACTGTAAGATTTGAGTTGGTCGCATTTGGCTAAAGGCGTCGTGAATAAAAATTTTTTTCCCTAATATGATGCGTAGATAGTTTTGCATAAGAATTAAAATGCAACAGGTTGGTGGTTAATTACTGAAGCACAGACAAAGCAATTATGAATATGACTTCGTTGCATGTATTGTTCCGAGGGTCAAGGATCCTTGGGTACGTGAACGTCAATGAACACCCACAACAGGCTAACCTCACATGTGGCAAATTACGTCAGGTTACAGCGATAATGGAACTGTTTAGTCGGCAGAATCGGCTGCTTTTCAATCCACCGCGAACTTAGCCGTGAGCTTTTGTGCCGATTTAGCGGCAAATTTCTATAAGCCACGTATTGTATCCGAACAAATCATCCGTAAAGTTGAATGTTTGTTAATGTCGACAGAAAGTTACCGGCAAATTCTGTCATGCCGAAGATACAAATTAATTATTGATGTAGTGATGCGCTAAATCGCTGTCAGAATAAGTTTGAATGATCGCAGAAATTAATACATTATAACAATTATCGATATTGACTTATTGAAGTCAACCATTCAAAATCTTACTAAAAAATTACGAGGTTAATTGGTAAATTTACGTAATAACACTCTAGTTCAGACGCAGTTTCCGCATTCTGTGGGAGAAATATTTCTTAAGACGATGTTTCTAATGATATTCTCATCTGTACTTGATGGTTTCATCTCAATAGAAAAAATATCACAATATATCATTATAGAAGACTTGACCGATCAGCTGAGCAATTTTTGGCGGGCTGTGGCGGGATTAGCTGAATAGTCCTCCAAGGTAGTTAATACCTGTGGGACTATTCGACTTTAATTGTTTTTTTTCTAATGTTGCGTAACGCTAGGATGAAAATAATCCTTGGATAACAATAAAAATAGCTATTTACCTCTCTCGCAATATCGGTTTTTTACAGAGTACACCTGTTATGGAATTCGTAACTGGCTAATGCTAACCAAGTCCAGAGAACCTGAATTATTTTCCGAGTCAAAAAATCCCGTAGTGAAAAAGAAATAGCTCTTATATCAGCCCAGGTACAGTTACATTCGCTCTTTGATAAGCAGTAGAGAACATTATCCAGTTACGATTACACTAAAAGAAGTTGAATGTGACTGTACGCTCTACAAGTGTGTGTCCATTTAACTGTGAGATCATGCTTTGGAAGATTGATGTTTTTTTTTCTGGTCTTAAAATAGTAATTGAGAATGTATTTTAAACTTGCCAATCACGAACTATATATTCCGTTAAGTGTTTTCGGTACGAAACTAAATTTGGCCTTAATCAAGTTAAAACGTGTGGGGAGATATTATTTCATATGTTACATCCACTCATCAATGTTGATCAACTGGCCGAAGAATGTGAGTGAATAGATAATAGAAAGTCAAGAATTCTCTTCTGGTCTCCAGGGTCAGAATGTTTTTGTAGAGAGAAGTCATGACCTCTCTTCAGTATTTTGAGAATTGCGAATGGAAACGTTCCATGGTAGTAGAAAGTGGAAAAAGTTATTGGTATTTAAGCTCTTGAAATGTTTTTGGTCTGTTCTGATAATTCATTGTGTAGTTCCAGGTTAAGACTTCAGTTGCATCATTTCGTGTCCTGTTCATGTATAGTGAAAGGCGTTTTGATTTTTAAATAAAGGATTTCCCTCAAAGTTCACTTAGCTCGTTTTATACTAAAGACAGTGCCTCAGTTTTCTTTGTCAATTCAATCTGTGCCGGAGAAGTCTATTCCGGATCAGTGGTAATTAGTACAGGTAATAACATGATTTCGAGTGCAATTTGGTGTTACCCCTTTAACCCCTGAGAGTGACCAGAGGCTAATTTCTCTCTGCTTTATCACCACTGAATCAAGCAGCAAGGTTATGAGAATATAGGAGATGACCACCCACCCAAGAAGCTCTTGATTGTTAAACAAATGCTCCCTGTCAGTATCAGTGGGAAATGTATAGATATTAGTATAGAGAATGTGCAGGTAATTTAGTGTTAACAACTGGGTTGAAAACGTAAATTAGCCACCGTAAAGGGTAAAAAAGCTGACGTTTCGAGCGTTAGCCCTTCGTCAGAGCGACGAAGCTATCGCTCTGACGAAGGGCTAACGCTCGAAACGTCAGCTTTTTTACCCTTTACGGTGGCTAATTTACGTTTTCAACCCAGTTGTTAACACTAAATTACCTGCTATACTCTCCCACCGACTCAGCACCACAGTTTCTTTAGAAACTTACCCCTTTAGAGAATATGCATACTGATCTTAGGGTGTAAAGGGTTTATAAGCACGAGTAAATTTTTCAAGGACAACAAAACTGCACGAGCCTATAGGGCAAGTGCAATTTGTAGTCTTTGAAAAATTTCCAACTGCTTACCTACACCAAATTGCACCAGAAATCATATTTTTACTTGTTAATAATTTACATAAGAAACTCATCACAGAAAGTCAAGACGAATGAAATTTTTGCAGCGCGCGCTATTTGTAATTTGCACTTGTGTTATAACTTTTCACTCTTTTTACAACTTTGCGCGCGTTTTACATGAAAATACACTCGCTTTCAGTCAGTCAGTCGCGCGTAATTTTTTCATGTATGTTATAAAGCACTTAATAATTCCTTCAGTAGAATTACGGACCTTCACTTTTCAACAGGTCATATGTTCCTGAGGGAGAAGGAAGCTTGATCGGTAATTTGGGTTCCTTTGTTGAATTATTTCAAACATAAGAAAACAATTTTTGGAGCTGCCTTATTGCACAAAGTAAGCAAAATATTTGTTGAGAAATGAACGTTGAATTGTTTTGTCTGACAAGGTAAGAGTCAGGCTAATCACTCGTGTATTAATCGTGATTTTGAACGAAAGTCTAATTCTGTTGCGACATCACCAGTGGCACGTCTATATCGGATTCCAAAATGAATAGGCAAGAAATTTTTTGATTTTAAACAACTTTTTCACGGGGAGAGAAATTTCAGTCATTCTAACTTATCATTCGCACTAAGAGCACACATCTTTGAAGCCTTTAAACTTTAAGAGTGACCAGCATCTATTTTCTCCTCACTGTGATACAGCTGAATCATTCATTAAGATCACGAGTTGAAGAAAAAAATGATCACCAATCAAGGAGGCTTTGATTGATGAACGAATTCTCCTTGTTAGAACCAAAGGAAATGTGTAGAGAAAAGTATGGAGAAGATGGATACTGATGTTGGGGTGTAAAACGGTTAAGACATTGCTGCTGATTATAGATGAAAAGGCATCGATTGTCTCTTGTGCGAGTGGGTGTTTCGTAATATAAAATATAAACTGATTTTATGGCGAGAAAAGAATGATTACGTTTCGTGAGTTAAAACTCCCAGCAACCAGCTGCCTGATGTGCAACCCAAAAACTGTCCCACCTCGACGTTTTTTTTTTATAGAAAACAAACTAACTTTGCCTTTTTTTAATTGCGTATTTGCTTATAGGCGGCGTTGTGTCATATGTGTTCGTTACGTAGTTGGCACCTGCTAAGATAAATTATTGAATTCAAGACTCTAGAGCTACACTGATACAATTCCTTTTTTATTTTTTTGAATCTATTTTGCCAGAATTTCCTTTTAACTTAGAGTATAAATTTTGAAGTGACACTATTATAAATAACGTACAAAACCGTAAAAATATTGCTTTAGCAAATGCTACAGCGCGACAATTACACATCAATTTTTTCATCAAGAGTACCTTCTTGTTATTATTCGAAAAATTGACACTTTATGAACTTTGTTTTCATTTGTCTCCTTGAAGAGAAAGAGAAAATTTTGATCTTTATAATGGCTCGGATCTGCAAGATAAATTCACTTTGATCGTTTGGCGTATGTCTGTTTAAGACTCTGGTTTTAATTGGTGCAACACTTTGTAATCAGCACCTTTGCATATAGACCGCCGGTTTATTTTTGAAAAGAGCATCCATCCAGTGAAATTTCCCTTTTAATTTAAAACTGAAGGTGACAGAAGAAAGATCTTCTCGCAGAGAATTTGTTAGAGAGAAATTTAGAGCCTTAGTTACATTCAGTTGAAGTAGTCGTTGAGAAACAGGATGACCTTGACGATAAAAATTGCAGATTAAGGTGCATTTTAACCCAAAGGTGTCCGATTATTTGAAGGTGCATTGTTCTAGTTGTCAACTTATGCTAGACCAAGAGGTATAAATGAGTTAAGGACACGTTGGGTATCAAGAAAAACGAACGTTTTTGTTTTTCTTGTTTCTTTTTGCGTAAACTAAAAAAAAAGTGTCTAGGTTATAACTAGCAAATACAAATTTTGTTGAACTAACACTGCTCCATGCGGGTTTTTTACCTCCTACCTGCGCTCAAAAATCGCCTTTTGGTTTTCGCATTCTTTCCAAAATAGAGTGTTTTCTTAGAAACCAGACTTTCGTATCGATTTGATTTTTATATTAAAATTTTAATGGAAAGAGTTCAGGTTTGAATAATTTCATGGAGATATGAAGTTGGAGGGATCTCTTCCAGCGGCGAAGACATCCGGAACATTGGTGACTTTCGAGTCGAGTTGAATTTTTCAATCTGTTTCCACGCTACAAAACTGTTGGGAAAACATCCATACTAATGGATCAACAAATAATATGGAGTGAAAGAGATTGAAAGGGAAATTATTACTTGTTGGTTGGCCCTTAGATATTACGATAGCTTAAACGAAACCCGAGCATCGAAAGTCAAGCTTCGAAAAACGAAAAGAACAACAGAGAGAGGAATATTTTTCCAATGATATGAAATTCAGAAACCAAGTGAAATTTATCCAATGTCATTTGAATAATGTTTGTTTTTTCGGGGGAGAGAGTATGAATAATAAATACATTCGACAGAGATAAAGTGAGGGCTAAAAATAATTTACAATTTTAGATCTTTCATATTTTCTAAAATGTACGATAGGTGTACCATTTGCGATCAAGATTCTGAGCGGTTTGAAGCTTCGTTGCAATTCTCTTTTTTAAAAGAAGTAGTTTTGATTCTCTTCTTTAATTAACGCGAAGTCCTAGATGTGTTTGGGGCTTCTGCTGTCCTAAAATTTGATTTTATAGGACGTGATATCCCGTGCTGATATTTTAGTGATCAATTTTTTGGCCATAAAACTCGTTATTTGTGCGTGTTATTCATTTTGTAAAAAAAATTGAAATATTCCCTGTTAGGAAACATCCCTTGCTCTCTGGCACTGAGACGATTAACTAAACTTATGAAATAAATTGTGTGGATCAGCAAAGTCAACTTAGAAGCGAATCAGCGTCAGAAGTTTAAAACGATAGTGTTATATTTGTTTCGTCGAAAATAATTTGTCGAAAATGTTGTTAACAAATTCAGTTGATATTCGTTTGTGACATTCCATGTTATATACGACCTGATTTGACTTTTACTAACAATATAAAAACAAGTTAACTTATCTAGACTAGATACATTCTGCAAATTAGAATTCAAGTACCTCACGCATGGGTTAAAAAGGTTGTGATAAATGCTGTAAAACTCACCTGCATGCAGAGTGTGGTTCATTTTGGTGTAAAAGAACAGAGAAGGACTACTGTCCTTGCGGGAAAAATCACGCAAATGCCAGTAATTTTGTAATTGAGACTGTTTTGCTGTTCAGCGCCAGATAAACTAGCAATATCATGGATAAATCGTATATAAATTGCTCAATTTTATTCTAGTATTAAGCTGCATCCTTCATGAGTTCTTGTCGATTTTTCAAAAGAATTAGCGAGTCGGGTGTTTTACCCCGCCTTGAGAACTGGATATCTCCATGAAAATTACTCAAGTTGCTTTTTAAGGTCTCAAGTGGATGCACGACTAATGGTTGTGTTCGCACGCGAGTCGAATCAAAAACTTCACGTAGATATTGTCGAAGAGTTGTCACTGTTATTCGAAGCGTGGCTTGGTGGTAAAAGCAAACGATTTGTACTTGATACTATACGTAATTAGCGAGTTTTAACGGGGTATTACAGAAATACAGTCGGTGAAATTAAAAAAAATCAATCATGCGTGAGTAGCGGGTTGATTTCTGGGTGTATATATTTCTTTCTGGCAATAACGTAAGTCAACGTAACTTTTTCTTCTCAGGCCTACGCAAGCTTCCTCACAATTTTCTATGAAGAATTCACTTACCCACTTAGTAGACTAAACTGCTGTCCCAGTCGGTCTGTCAAGTCCTCGTAGTCAACATCAACTGATGAAGATCGGTCAGATTTTCTCCTTTTTACGCCCGTCACCACAGACTTGAACTTTTTAAAATTTTCTGAGAATTCCTCGATGCTTATTCTTCCATCCTTGTCTGCATCAAGCCTATCAAAAACTTCCGCCAAATCGTGAGCGTCCAAATCGCAGACTGCGGCTAATTCCTCTCGGTCGATGTACCCGCTTCCATCTAAGTCTACCGCACCGAACAAGTCACGGGGTATCACATCCTCTAATTCAGCCATAACGCAAGATTATCCCATAGGCGCCTTCAAAGTTCCCAGTGTGGAGCGCTTTATCGCGAAAATTCTGTGTTATTTCAAACCTTGGTGGGTCATGTTTTTTTTCTCTTACCTACAGGCTGCGCGTTTTGCGGTAGAGTAATTATTCTAGTGAATCGTCACTTAGACACACACAGCTGTCGTGAGTGGTTCGTTTTTAGCCACCCGCTCGATCTTGGCGCGATTGTAAATTTCCTGTCGTGAGCAGCCAATCAGCGTACGTGATTTACAAAGAAAACAATATCGACCGGTTAAGCAGCGATGTGACTGGCAGAAATATTAATGGCATCATTACCGTATTGTATTTGAATATCGAATGTCAACTGTTTGCCATGGTTTGTCGGGGAAGTGCGACAACACTTCCATGTTTCCTTCGACAACCGACGGTGCAATGTTAATTCAAATTCACGGAAATATTAAAATTTATTCACTGTGCATTTGATCATCACTCAGTTGTTCATCTTAAGAAACTTTTGATATAAGCTGATAACGAAAATATTGACAATAAATCTATAGAAATAAATAGAAACTGTGGAGCTTTTATTTGACGGTTCATAAATATGACAGATCAATATTGATTGCGAAATAATTGCCCACTCAAAGCAGAAGTTCTCGAAGTATTACTTAAATATTATTTAATTTAAGGTTTTATTTTTGCCTAACTTAAGTGAATTATTTCACAAAAAAAAACTCTTCGAATGAGCCTTATTAAATCGATAAAAGAGCAATATCTCTGAAATTATCTAAACTGGCCTCTATGTTTCTTTAAACAGAGATGATTTTAATGCGTCCATATTTGAGGTGCACTCTATCATCAAACGACAGATCGTCCATCTCTATTTCACCCCCAAGAGGAAAACAAGGAAATATGCCTCATGCAATTCTTGGCTACCAAATTTTAAAATTATTAGTTAGTTTCTTGTATGAGCACAAACAGAACAATTGAATCAATTGCTGGCAATCAAGTGTGATCTGAATACAGAATATAAAAGTAAACGAAATTGAACACAAATTTGAATGCTTATCTGAAGAATAAGTGTTATTTTTCTTCTAACGAAGCGTTATTAATTTACAAAGGGAAAATGATATCACAGCAACGTTGGCCTCCATCAGCATGCATCTATGAAAGGTATAAACCTTATGTAACATATCTTTTTTCGGCTAGTATGAATAGTTTGGAAGCCTTTGATAACCTATACTGTCTTTATTTTCCATACGGACGTACGTTTAAGTTAGGGGAAAGTGTGCTATCTTTTTGTTTGAAGTAGTCATGTTCGTAGGGGTGATGGTTCCGCTCAATAAATATTCTTTCAAAAAATTTGATTCGTCACGTTGAGAGGTAAACTATCTCAGGAAACATATACTTTACAAGTCGTACATGCATTACATGTCGTCCATGGAGATACCAACAGTTCGTAAGAATGAAATTCGCATCTATGCGCTGACATGAAATATCCTTAATTTTTTAAAAACGTACCAATATTTGGTCGCCGTTTAATTCCAAAAAGTGTTTTCCAGTTGTGGGAGAGCGTGGAGAAAATTTTGGGAAGAGATGAGAATAAGCAACAAAGAGATCGTGGAACCTGGTTGATCAGCCACAGATTAGACTCATCTACTCGCCCTCCAAACTATGATTTCTGCGCGCCCTGTGCTAACTTGATTCAGAGAATTTTTTAAGCATTTTCCAAATGGCTAATGAAAGTGTCTTGATCAGTTACAAGTCAGTGAGCTGTGGTGCGGCGGAACGAAGGTAGCTTTTTTCCATCGGGTGATTCCTATCACCAGCTTGATGTGGGAAGTTGTGGGCAGGACACAAAGGTCACGTCTGGGTGATTCATTAACGACAACTTTTGTCATGTCCAAGCCTCTCAAATGATGGATGGTGTCAAGAGGGGGATGGAATGGGTGGGTAGTGCGTTCCTTCCTTCCTCTGTATCTCAAATAGCTCATGAGTCATCGTTTAGAAAACAATTACGGAGTTGGACTTATGGCACACAATTTCACAATTCAGACTAACAAAAATACAACCCTTTATCTAATGAAATATGAAATAAGAATATTTTGCCAAGCCGTCTGTTAGAGATTAACTTTTATGCAAATACCATACAAGGCTAAAGTTTATGATATTCAGCTGAAACATTGCATAAAAGTCTGATATGATTTATGAAACAGGATAGTTAAAATGAGACACAAGGTGACAGTTAAACCATACTATAAACACATTAACTTTAGTGCGGCTCAAGAAAAATGTTTCAAGCCATCCATTTAGTTTAGGTGCAAACGTCAATCCAGTTGAAATAAAGTGTTTTTTTTATTTTTATGGAAAGTTTAAACCGACACTTTGAGCCATATCTAATGATAATATTATTCCTTGATCTCGTGTTCGTGACTCTACCATCACAATAATGAATTAAAAACCGCGAATCCTCTCCGTAATATTTCCTCTTTAAGTTTGACAGATTTGTCCGAGAAGAAATCTACAAAAACTGAACTATAGGTAAATAGAATCTTATGGAAATCGAAGCAAGAGAACTAAATGGCACGGAACTTAAATTTCTATTTAGTAATTGACTACCCTCGATTAAGTGCCTCATCCAATTGAGTGCTTCCTCCATCGACAAAAAGGTTTAGAATAAATGCCCCCTAAAATAAGCACCTCCCGACCTTACCTCCGTCTCCTAGACGAATATTGAGATAACAAGAATAGATTCTTGTCTTCCCTATCACCTCAGTAATTGGTGATGCCTCTTTATAACAGAGAATATCTTTCTTTTCCTTTAAAATGTCCTCACACTTTTCAGGCTCATGAATTTTCTTATTGTTTCTTTACGAGCCAACTCTTTTCTCTCAATCATTTCTCGATTCCTACATTCCTGGTGATGACTGTAAACTCTCAAAATTATCTGCGTTCCATTCAATAGCCAAAATTTAGTTCTTACTATTCGAGCGTGAGGGCCATACTGAGGAATATTGACCCGAGGTCGTGGTAGTTTAAGTGGTTTATTGTAAGACACTTGGACCAAACTTGTTTATAATGAATTTGTGAACAGAAATACACGGCCTATGACCGTTTCCACGGAAACGTTCCGTATGGCATAATCCTGACCAAGTAAGAATTAATGAGAACACTCAGATTTATCTCAAGAATATTTTGCCATATAACAAAGTTGTTTACGCGTTATTGTTATTTTACAAAGAAAAAGGATAGTACCTGACTACGACTAGACCATTCTAAAAGGTTCGTTATTAGTTCTTGGTAACTGATGGCTTCTTCTTAATTTTGCCGGTTTTTCTTAGCAAACGGTACATGAGTGTTGTGGATCTTTATTTGAAAAAGTCTTCTTTCGCATTCTTCCTCGAAGATCAGGTTTTAAAGATGGCACGAATGGAAATACTGCTCAATAGAAGCTATATTGAATTAAGTACAGCGTCTTATAGATAGTCTATGACTGCATTTGCTTACTGTTGTACAGTTGTTAAGTAATGCAGTAAAAGAGCAATGTGGTGTAAAATGCAGAGGGATCAATGAACAGATCTTTTCGATGCCAAACTTGTGACAAAAGGAGGACAAGTTTGAATGTGAGTCTTTACACCAGTAGATTGACAGGCCTGGGACAGGACAGGAAATTAATAGAAAAGGTACATGTTTTCAATTTGCATCAAATGTATGTTCATGCAAAAATTCCGCCACTTTGTACGGTCGCATTCAACGTTACATGAGGCGATTAGGAATATTAGTTTTTTCTTTTCTGAAAAAGATTTTGGTCCATAGCTGGTGAAACTTACCGTCCCAGCACCTTGCTGCTACTCTTTGTTACTCCTGAGTTGGGAAAGGCACTGAGAGGCAGAAGACTGCAAAGCACTATGATTCGAACCAGTACTCAGGGTTAGCGACGATAGTTCATTACGAATTTACTTTTTTGATCATACCTGGTTTGCGTGCTAGAAGACAAGCTCGACGACGGTTTCATTACCAGTTTTCCTCCAGCATTTTATCAGCCCAGTCCCTCGCTGATAGTTGGTGGGTACCCATTCGTATTCTGAGATTAATTGGCTTTACAAAAAGGCAACGCACATAGCGCATTACCAAGACGGAGATAGGAGACTGGCAAGATATTCGGCACTGGACTGGTACGTTGTGGGTCAGATCCCAGAGGGCAGTGTATAATCGAGACAAATAGTGGACGATTATCAGGGAATCATTAAAGGTGGCTCGTCAATGTCAGTTGGGTTTGTCCACCTGTTGTATATGATTCGACTGCGTAAGACGTTAGACTGGCAGTCACGTCAAAGAAACTTACTTTTAGTGAATCGCTTAACTCGGTTTTCTGACAGGTAGACAGCGGATATTTGTAAGTAATGGTTTCATACATCTATAGCAACATGAAAATTATGTCACCACCTTAGGCAGGGTCAGTTGCCGCGTTTATCTAGTGCTTTTTCTCAACGAGTTCGAGATCAGCTCCGCGAAAGACTCGGTGTTGTTGAATTGTGGTTGATATAGCACTATGCCCCTCGAGTGCAATGGAATAGATAGTTCGGATCGTCGTGTGGTACAGCTTCTAGGGTGGTCCAGCGAACTTTGCACGTGCAAGGAGATTTCCATTCAGAAGGCAGGTTACGCTAAACTATTCCTTAAATAGATTTTATTCCGCAGAATACCTCTCTCTATATTTTATGCCATAATTTTTATGAAGATGGCAAGTTTACGTTTAATTGACTGACTGGCTTAATGGCTGTCTTAGGTTTCAGTACGTAACCCAGTAGACAAACTCAATAATATAGTGTCGGCCATGAGTGCCAAAATACAATTATTAGATCTTATGACAAAAGAAAGAAGCTTTTCTGACCACGTTCCAAATAAATACTTGACGTCAGCCAACGTGCCTTAGATCACTCTTTAAGAAAAGTCTCGTGTATTTTCCAAAGCCATCTGTACGCGAAATATGTTTCCTTTGTCTCTTTTAAGGAGTATTTTTTTCTTTTAATTAACGAAAGTGCTAGAGATGAAGACACCTGATAAATGACCGATCATATCGGAATCTGTTTTCCTGATTTTTCTTTTTTTTTTTAAGTGATTTTATGCTGATTATGGAATCGAACATTTATCATAAGACCCATGCCGCCCCGTAAGATGACCGTGCACGGTGGCGCGAGAAGGGCCGGACAAAGCTTTACGGATCCACGAGATGCGAGCTGAAAAAAAAAGAGTGAAAGATAATGCTGACGAGAAAATAGTTGGCGATTCTTACATGTCTACGTATAGCTAAGAAAAGGTCAAGAGGATGCCCTGCACATCAAAAATAAAACTACACTAACCAACAAGCATATCAATATCGAAGAGAAAAGGAAAAGGTAGCTTTGTTTGACTCAAAGAGTGAGTCAGGAAATCGGATCTATATTCGAAAGGGCGACCGGCTCTGCATAGCTTGAATCTGTATATATATGGACGATAAAAAAGGACCAAAATATTGCCTGTCTGTTTATTAACTTATTTCAATGGGGAGAACGGAAACCAGCGTGAATCGGGGCCTTCTATGGCTCGTGTTTCCCATTCTCCCTCAAATTATGGGAAAGGTCGAAGTTGGTTTAATTTCGTGTTTCTATCTTTTTCATTAGTAATTCAATATTGTCTTTTTTCACTTATTCTCGTAGTGAGTAGGACAGTGTGTATTTCTTTCTATTACATTTGGACAAAAGAACAATATTTGCGCGCGTTTCCTGATGCTGTTTGGGTGGTTTCCGTTGAGATGTTTGGCAAGTTTTCTTTGTTAATTAACGCCATAAAGTGACGAGTTTTTGAAAGCCTGGCAATTAGCAAGTTTCAAGAGTTGACTGAGTTTTCCTTCTTCATTTCTTCTAATTATGGAACTTAGATCATGTCCAAACACTACCGAAATATAAAAAGACACAAAGCCAATCATCCTATTGTTCTGGATCTTCTATCATGTAAAATTCCGTTAAGAGAGTTTAAGCGGTCGCTATCTGACCTTCGAAACGATAACTTTGTAGACGCCGTTTCTGGCGTTTTACGAGCCCTTTTTTCAATTTTTATCTCTGATTTCTGAAAATCTCGACGGAACATCTTTAAAGAAGTTAAACAAAAATTAGGTCAAGTGGAATATGAAGGATTATATTGTCTGTCCATTGTGTGGCCGACTTGTTAAATTGATATTTAAATTTGTATGGCTATGACTGAGTATGAAGTAACTAACTAGTGGTTAATACCACTCGAGTGGTTAAATTCAATATTTGCCAGCAACTGAGTAGTCATCAAACATTCACGGTTGATCTCGCTTATCTATAACGGATCTGTGTACGCAACTTCAAAAGGCCTCTAGGCTTGTTGTAAATTGATTCATCTGCATGACAATAAAACTGTCAGAAAACTTTTCAAGAACGCTGTGTTTATCATGAATATGAATTACTAGCCAGACCTTCAATTTAATTGCCCGCTGTTGGGTCCTTTTAACCTTATTTTTTACCTCGACGTCGTAGAATGTATAGATTAATTAAATTCTCTTTAATCCCGCCAAAGAGCAACAATGCAATGAAAATCACCATTGTTTCTGTACCAGTTTGGAAATATACTTATGGCAATATTCGCTTAAATTGGGCATAAATATTAAAGCAAACATGTTATTAACTTTGAAATGATTAATCTCACGGATGCCCAGCTGTGTTCTAATGAAAATGAGGTTTAACAAGCAGCGACATTTTTCACTTGAAATCAGACTTTCACTCGTCGCTTGACATTGTACAATCCACAAAAGCTTTAGAATTGAAGATGGACGCTAAAATGATAACAGTGATTGGAAAGAGCAATAGTAAAGGATCTCTGAAATAATTAATTATTCAAGTAAATATGTTGAATACTTGCTCTATTGTGTTTTGTCCTTTTGATGTTTGGAATGATTATGGTAATTAAAGATTTCTAAAAAACCCATTGTTCACATGCAACGCCAGAAATGTAAATAGCTTTGTCGAATATTGCACACGAAACTATGGCTTTGAACTGAAGGACAGAGCAGTTGACACGGCTTGCTACTCACTGGATACACAAGAGGGATAACACACTTACAAAGTTTTGACGCAGAGACAAGATAATAATGAGCAAGACGGATCCAAATCACATAAAAAGACCCATGAATGCCTTTATGGTTTGGTCAAAAGAGAAACGAAAAGCCATGGCCAAAGAGAATCCGAAGATGCACAACTCGGAGATCAGCAAAGTTTTGGGAGCGCAGTGGAAACTAATGAAGGACCAAGACAAGCGAATTTACCAAGAGGAGGCCAAACGACTACAAGAGAAACACAGTCAAGAACACCCTGATTATAAATACAAACCAAGACGAAGGAAACAGAAGCAGATAATGAAGAAAACGACATATTCGTTTCCCTACCCAGGAACAGAGCCTGCAGTCCATCCTGCCGCCATGAAATTAACGGCGTATCCACCATCGATGGCACCCGATAGCATGTATCCGCAGTATCATTATCAGATGGCAGCTCAACACGCTACTTACCCAATGTATGATATGGCTGCAGTACATGCTCAAAGACAAACTCACGCCTTCCCACCGGCTGCGAGTCATGCTAACAGCGTGCACGATTTACCCTATCCAGTCCGTCCCACTGAAATGATGGTTTCTCCAACAGGCCCTCATGGACACACGGCCAGTCATCTCTACACCAGCAATATGGAACCAGGACCCACAACAAGTGCCGTTTCAGCATTTTCCTCGGCGGCACAAAACATTCATTCTCAGCAAGTAACAGAGACCAGCCCACCATACCCGCAACTGTACACTCAACGACATGTATAGGTTTGATTAACGCGCCTTATTATTACTTTGTGTATCTAACGATACAAAAAGACAGCTTATCTTCCAATTCATGTGTCAAATAGAATTTTCCAACACTTGACATTCAATTACTAGCTAAGTTTATATTTACTCTTTTGTAAGGAACGATTGTAAACAGCACAAGTTTATAGGATTATATCTGTGGATCTGCGATCTGTATATGGTGAATATGAACTTCATGGATGATTCACAGAAGACCGCTAGGAGACACTTGGCACAAGATAACAAATGAAAAATAAAACCGGAGTTCAGTCTATTCAATTTAACGGAAAATTATTTGGATCATTTATTTTCTTATCTAACTGATTTACAGTTTACACTCTCGTAGAAGCAACATCTGCGATAATCGAGAGAATTTTTCTTTGTTTGAGGTATTTATTCAAGGTTTTCACACCTAAATCTAAGATGGCGGGTACATGTAGTCATGTTCTAAAGTTGACAAATTTTTCTCATTCTACTGGTCTTATCTTGCGCTCTTTACCTCGCCACTGATCATGCACGAGTGAAAATTTAATTCTTCATGTGAGCTAATGCACGCTGACGTGAAACTCGTTTGAGCGTTATCGTAGTAATAAAGTATGAATATTCTGTTATGCTTTTTGCGTGAATTGTTTGCGAACGATTCTTAGTTACCTGTACAAGGTCAAATACTATGATGCAAAATAACTAATAACACTACAGTGATTATGTTTCATTAAATAAGAGAAAAGAAGCGTTTACTTCAAGGGCAAGAACTTTGTAGACTTGGTATCCACAGGCAACACTGATATTCTGCCAAAAACGTCTCGGTTTCTTAAAAATAGGAGCCCTAAATTTTGTGGTTAATTATTGATAATTTAAGGAAAAGCTCAACTATTCCTAAACCACCGTCCAGTGATTTAGCATTTTCGACGAAAACCACGATAAAGGAAAGCAACCTTCAATGTCTAAGGTGCATTGAATTCCAACTTTGATATGTCTACCCTTTTGTTATGAGGCTATTCAAGTCAAATTTAATGGCGAAATTACTCGCTGCCAGTACAAGAAGCTATAAAAACTATACAATAAAAGGGTTATACCTTTTGAACAACACATTGTAAAAGTTTTCAAAAGTAAATTCAAAGGAATCGCTCAGCCTCAAACTTAACACTGTTTTTTTCTTTGTGAGTAAAACTTTGATAATGTAACTTCTTGTGGTGCGTATAAACACTCATTTGTTTGACTAAAATGGCGCCTATGCAAGAAAGCGGGTGAAACAAAGCGTTCTTCTCAAGTTTATTCTTTAATTTTTTGTCTCGTAAGACTCTGCACAAAGCTTTTTTGCTTTTTGACATTAAATACATCGTAAAAGAAAACATTAGTGATAAAACGGGAGACTGAAATAGCCATTAGCAACGAAAATTACAGCGGTAGCACACGGGAAAGTGTAAGATAAATGCTCGAGTGAACACTAACGAGCATCTGGGAAGGATATATTTAAAAAACCCACCTCAAGTCAGTTTAGCTTGGCGACAAATGTTTTTTAAACATTATAAAACTAATGAAATAACGAGTAGTGGTTTATGTCGAAGCCCCTTGTTAATGAATGTAAAATAAGCAGACAGTGAAGGTCACAGAACAACCTGCCGTCGTGTTTCGGCTTATTTTATTTTCTTGGAGAATTTGCATTTGCCCTCAAGCGCATAAATGATGAGGTTGAGCACTAGAGTACAGAGTGCAATAAAAATCAATGCCTCTGTTAGAGAACCATATCTGTGGATAGTTAGTTACGGTGGATTGAAAAGAAGTTCGGTTTATTGTATGGCAGTAAAGTGAGACACACGGTTCGAGGACGAATGATCTTTAAGCTTGGTTGGGTTCGCCGCGAGTGCGACATTTTTCAAACTATTGTGTGAAGTTACACCTGTCTTGGCGGACAAAACAGGAAACAGCTGAATACGAAAACTAAAGATTTTTCTAACGACAGTTTAATTTCTTCTGGACAGGTCACTTAGTATTCTTTCTTTAACTAAGACTGCAAAACAGAAGAAAGAGAACGCTTGTGTCCCGTCCACTGGATCCCAGCCACATGTTATTTACAACCTACTGAACTACGCTAGTTTAAAATCATTCCTTTCTCGACACGAGTCCGGAAAACTTGGCCAAATAGAAACAATTCTTATTTTTCTGTGCCGCACGCAGAGAGACTTATAGAAACACATTGAACCAAGTTGTCAAAACAAAGTGACAGCTTTTTTTGTGTGAATAACGTTAAAGAATGAGTGTTTTTTTCAGTACTTAGTTCAGGTTATTGAATTCCAAAGCTACTGGAATTGATAAACTATGCATTCTTAGCAAAAAATTAATTTGTATGAGACGTTTTTAAGTTTCCTTTCATCTTATTTGGATCAATGTCTTCTCTGCCTCCTAACTTTAATTAGGGTAACAGCTTCCTAACAACGTCACTAGCTGTATTAACAACCGAACCTTCGTTCGTATTTTTTTAGCTTTATTCAAATGACTTCAAAATTGTCAATTTACTTAGGGAAAGATGTACATAAAGTTTAAAAAGCTTTTAATGATAGTGGCGGGCTTTTTTCTTTGCTTGATTTTAGTCCCTCGGGCACAACATCAATCTCCTCCCACTAAGTTGAGTACGTTCATCGTGTATAAGCTACCAGTTCTGTCAATAACGTTAATCCACGATCTTTTAATTAAAAAAACGCCATTGAATTTGCCGACCGGAATTGCGATTTTCATCTTCTTTGTTTATCAAGAACCCATAGACTGTGGAGAAAAAAACCACAGACAGTATTCTCGTAGGATCTTCGCCAAAAGGTCGCGTTCAAATTATTCATCTACCATTAGACTTTAAAGTTCAAACCTGATGTCAAGCCACGAAATTTAACATTTACTGAGCCAAAATTTCTTCTTTTACGATCTAGATGACCCAAACAATATGACAAATTTTAAAGATAATTTGTTCCTATTTAGGCCATCGCGAGCTAGACAACGAAGCAATCACAGAGACCATAAGCGGAAAAGCAACCCACCATGACGCCCTTTACTTTCATTAATTTCCTTTGAAATTGTGAATAACTGGTGGTGTCTAAATGAATAGCTAATTTAGATTCAACTATAATCCTATGAAAAAGTATCTTTTTGCTAAAGAATCTATATGGATGTATATTTGCTTTAAGCCGTCAAATAAAGAGAAAGAAACATTTTATTTTGGGCTTTCATAAGAATATTAAGAGTCTTGTTCCAATATTTATGAAAAATTGCATGAGTCAATCTTTGACTCGTAAACAACGTGTCAGAAAAATTTGCATATGAATTTGCCAAAATGACAAAGTTTTAGAAAAATCTGTTCGACGGTCACACCGGTGAGGTATTGTGAGAGCGTTCTTTGAAGTGCTCAATTGACCAAACAAGAGTCGGGAGTTGCTTATAAATGTTATAGCTACTTTCTTTTTAAAGATTTCTAAAGAGACTGACCCATTTTATGTTCTTTAAGGAACTGAACAACAGCCCTTTAATTGCGAAGAGAATGAATACTATGGGAATAATGCTTGCAAGAGAATTAACCCCTAAGGACGTTTTAGCGTTAATTGCTTTCCTAATGAATTTTTGCTCCCAATGAAAGAAAGGGGTCAGTAACATTGAATAAAAGTTGATGACCCACCAACATTGCTCAAACAGCGTGTTGATTAAGAAAGTTTCGCGCAACGCGCCTCCCTGCTGTGCTTTTACACGCCTCTCATTGCGTTTGCGTGCATGAGCAAACATATTGAACGGTCATAGGAAGTAAGACAACATGTGGATTGCCACGAGAATCTTGTTTATACTAACAGCGCGATAATTGCCATCTGCGAATCCGCATTTCGAATTAATTTCAAAAGAAGTAGCAGTATTTTTGAAAACGTTTGCTTACTTTATAAAGTTGTCTGTTACATCTTTTCACGAGAGAAGGAAGATATACAAAAAAAAGCGAACATTTGAGATTTAAATAAGACGATTCAAAGTTCAACAGAAGGTGAATGAACAGTATTTTTATCGAAGAATAACTAATCAAAACTGCAGTGTATCTTTTAACACGTGTTTTATTATTTGTAAAGAAAAAATCGGCGAAGAGCTTTGTAAAGTTGAACAATATTACCCCTGAAGCTTTTATGTTAAGACAAACAATTTTCACTGGGATCTGTCAACATGGATCAAAAACAGAGGCTATACTCAATACAGTTAACTAGTATCATACAGGTTCACGCCTAAACTTGATTTGATAGAATCGACGAGAAATCATTAAAAAAATTGATTAGCAAATTCTGGAACATATAACTGGATAGTTCTCTTGGTAATTAAAGTGGTTTTCGTCAGTCTTTATTTTCGATGTAGAGGAACGGCACAACCTTAAGAGAAATCAAAACAAACAAACAAACGTATTTTTAATTATATTGCAACAAATAAGCCAGTTCTCATAGGCTCATTATCATAAAACATCACTTACACTAAGAATGTGTTAACTTTTTGATGAAGCTGAAAATAATAAAAAAGTTATTTCAGCCTTTATGTCACTGATATGGTTGATCTAAAATGACGGTGTTTTATCGCATCTCAAATAGATATTAATGCCGATTGTCACAGTTACTTATCGGTTAGCAATAACTGAATGTTGTTCCTTGAAAATGTCACGCCCAGGAAAATTATGTAGTAGATAACTAGTCATCTTGCCATTATTTTTGTTGTTGATGTTTTTTTCTCGAATAGTGTCTGTGTAGTCAATAAGAAGGCCAGTTTTGGCCAGCTGCCAGCCCACTCAGACACCAAGGTAAGGATTCTGACTTACAGCTTGAACGGAGCTTACTAAGTCACCAATGTAATCTGCGGCGATGAACAGAAGTATCAAGGAAGCCAAGAAATCACTTATTCTTGTAGCCTGTGCTTATATGTAGCCTGTGCGGCTAAACTGTAGTCTGAGCTAGATTGAAGCCTACGCAAAGTTGTGCCCTGTGCTTAGTTGAAGCATGTGCTATGTTGAAGTCTGTGCCAAGTTTTAGCCTGTACTATGTTGGAATCTGTACTATGGTGATTAGTATACAAAGCTTTCGCAAGGGATTATCACACTTTTGTTTCTTAGCGAATCTTCAAGCTTGCAAAAAATCATGAAAAATCTAGATTGAACAGTGAATTCAAATCGTAACCTTCTCTAACCTTGTTTTCTCAGTCTTCACAAAAACTATGTTGTTAGTTTAATTTTACATCTTATTCCTATTACATCTTCATACCTATCAGTGATGCAATCTGCTCGAGTTTTTGCAATACATTGCGCACGAGTGTTGGAAATCATTGCACTTGAGTGTTGAAATCATTACCGTGATATTGAAACATTCTGAATACATAAGCAAGAAGGTAGCTGTTGAATTAAGGAAGATGATTCGGCCACAGATGATTTTTCAGTGTCAACTGATCGAAGAAATTTATCTAGACGATCAACCGCGACAAGGTATGGACGGATAATTGCATTCTTAGGCAGAACTTTCATTAGGAAGAGAAGAATATTATTGGGCTTTTATATCGTGTGATTCCTGGGAAAATGATAGATATCTCGGAAGGAAAACTGCTCGACATCAATAAAAGAAAGATGGCCTCTTGTGAAGAGATCATCTTTTCAGTTCCTTCTAGTTTAGAAAACGGGGTATTTAAAAGGAATTATGACAAGATCTTCTTTCTCGACTAAGTTCTGCCAATGGGATAAAGTATCAGGTTAAAGGTTCCTCTGCCGCAATTGATAACGAATTTCGCCCACACAGAAACAATTCTGAACTTGAATGGAATAGCTGTCAAAAGAAGAATTAGCGGCATGATTGATCACATCTCAGAGTTTTGCTCGCCGCCCCGGCAAAGTCGGTCAACCAAATAGCCTATCAGTTCAATAAAAAGTGTTCCTGGGGGCAGGCGCTTATATTATTTACATGCTCAAGACTTCTCGATTCGTTTACATCAGGATCTACGTTACCTTTTTCCAAGGTACAATTTTATATTTAGGAATACCTGTATCGATCCCATCTTGCTTTCTTGCGTCAGTACTTCGAAACAGACGTAATCCAAGCCAGGGGCCCGTTTCTTAAAGGTCCCGCTAAGTTAACGGGCTGATAAAGCTATATTGTTCTCAGTCAAGATGAGGGTTTTAAAAGTTTTTAAAATTATACAGTAAAACTATCAGGTCAAGAAACAAAATGGAATGGTTAGAGGGCCAGAACCTTCTTCTCTTTTCTTTCTTTTCTTTTCTTTCTCTTTTTGATTTTTAAACATAATATGTCTTCGGGCCAGTTAAGAGTGAGTGTCACCAAAACATCTCGTATCTGACTCTTTCAGATAATTGAAACGATTTAGTTTTCGCGACGGAAATTCACTGTGAATCGTTCTAGCAGCAGAACATCATCAAATTCAGATGTAAAACTAAAAATATAACCTCTTCTTGTCTTTTATTCGAAGTGACTACAAAATTGAATTTGACGAACAAAATATGCGTAGTACTTTACTTTTTATTTACAAGGCCTTAGCATTAATGCAGTATGCTTAGAATTTCCACGTAAACATTAGCTTTAAAGGTGGTATACAGGAACAAGATATTTGGATTTTGAGTGGAACCAGCCCAGTTTCTTCTCACAAAAGTGTACCAGTGCCTAACAGGTACGCTCACTTCAATCTTCAATTATTTAATATTGTCGTGCCCTTCTCTCTAAACTTGACAAATAACCGTATGTTAATTTGCTTGAAATACGCCTCGATTCCAACTGAAAACGAATACGGGTATAAAGGGGTGCTTTGTTTCGAGTAAAGGAATTAATTATTTGCTTTTAAAGCTCCAGCCATCCACCAGAAGACGGTCACTGAAAAAAAAAATTGCCGATGTATTGGCAACACTAGCTAAAATACAAAGTGTACCCTCTTAATCAGCTATTTTACTTTGTGCCTGACGACATAATGTTGACGTCTATCAAAATTGTGTGCATTTTCTTTCTTCAGAAATGGACACAATCACCTTGGAAGCCTGTAATATTTCGGCGTATAACGTATTTCACTAGAAGTAGACAGATGAATGATTTTTTACTAAAAATGAGAGTTGGGCTCACCAGGTGGACTTGTAAACTGATATTGTGTAATTTATCTGGTGGATTTTGCTGCCTAATGCCAGGTGGTATGTCGGGAATACCATCTATTACAGGAATTTTTACTTTGCCAAAGTGCAACAGCCCATCAAAAGCAACATCCCCGAAGGTCACCTTCAACACCACGATGAGACAAATATATCTGTTTCTGTTCTCTTTTTTTGCCTTACTTATCACGTTGGTAGCCCCAATGGTTATCGGAAAAGGGCATCCCGAGAAAAACGAAGAGTCTCCATTTCCAGAGACAAACAAAACCGCTGCAGAATCTCATGATGAAAAGCAAAACCTTTCATTGAATCGTATCATGATCATCAAGGAAAACTACAGCCACGAGGAAACAAATTTACCCCAAACCCTTCGAGGAAAATGTAAGCTATCTTTAGATCGACTGAATATATCATGAAATTAATATAGTATGTGATCTCAGTATGGGGTATATACTAGTTCTAAAGGGAAAAGGCATCCACGTTTAACGTATTGTAGGATGGATAAGGGAGATAAGAGTGGAACTCAAGAGCATTCCGGATGAATTGGACTATCTGCTGAACTTACTTAAATTGATTTCAGACCATTGCTGGAAAGATATACTTAATGTTTTTAATCAAAGCAAAGAAAGTCTGCATTGTAAATGATGATTAGTTCTATCTTTTATCAGCATCTCCTGATACCAACATTAAAGTTCCTATCAAAGGATCCACAGCAAAAACAAAACATGATACCACATCAGAGGACAAGGACCGCGATTTTGATGGCTGTCGAAAAGAGGATATGATCGTCCACACAGCAGAGCTTGGCTTGCCAACAAAGTACATCCAACCTAAGACAATCAACGCCTATCAGTGCAAGGGGAAGTGCTCCCCCAAGCAGTGGAGAAAATACAGCCTTCACTCGCTGCTCAAGGCGTATTTGGAGGAAAAGAAAGGTATCGGTGTTGATAACAATGCATGCTGTGTGCCAACTAAGCTTCGACCGATGTCTCTTATCTATTACGACGAAAAGCTTGGCTTTGTGAGGCACATCCTTGACGATGCGATTGTTCAGGAGTGTGGTTGTTACTGAAAGCATTGCCAATTAATTTCCTCGAAATGGGGGAATTTAGAGTTTATTTGTTGAACGAAATTATACACAATCGACCAAGCCGTAGTATACGGTGCTACGTAGATTAAGCCCAGATGCATTAGTTAGAGTGACATGTTACGATTTTGTCGGTTGATTTTAACAGTTGAGTGCAAAAGGTAAAATTTTATTCCTAAGTATGCTTGTATCAATCCCGTCTTGCTTTCTTGCGTCAGAACTTCTAAACAGACGGAATCCAGGCCAGGGCCCATTTCTCAAAGGTCCCGCTTACTTAGTTGTTTTGAGTAAAGATGGGGGTTTTAAAAGTTTTGAAAATTATACGGTAAAAATATCAGGTCGAGAAACAAAATGGACTGGTTAAAGGGCCAGAATCTTCTCTTTTCTTTAAGTTTTGATTTTGAAACATGATATGCCTTCGGGCCCGTTAGGTTACCGAAATTTTCGAGAAGCGGGTCCCTGGGCTGCTCTGTAATCCTCGGTGTTTCCAGAATTTGAGGATCTTTTTTTTTTTTATTCGCAAAAATTTAGAGAGAGCAGTACATTTTGGTAGAAATACTTAAATATTGACAACATAAAAGAACTTGCTACATTAATAAATATTTTTTTGTGAGTCAGTAAATAGTTTTGAACCTGTAGTAAAAGTTAAGGGTGTGGTCTTTTCGTCCGCTTGAGAGTATTAAAGTGGACAGCTCTCACCGAAAGTGATGCACGTCTCGACAACCTGAACGGAAGCCGTCATTAGAATGGAGTTGTTTGAATTTGACCCGGGAATCAGGAGTTCCATGCTACAGGCGGCTAAGCAGCCATTGGTAATATTAAATATGTATTCCTACCTGAAGAGCGTTGTGTGAAAGCAATGATTTCAGTTAGAATTATGAATGATTATCCTATGAACCGCCCCCATGAATTCGCCCATGGCCGGCTTGTTGTCGTGTTTTCCTCTCTACGACGTCAGAGGGTATCATGCCCTCGAGTATTCTCAGACCACCTCGGTTGCACGTGAAAAGAGCATGACTGATGATGGCGTAACATTTAAAGCTTTCAGGTATCTTACGCTCCTTTACTCTTTGATAAAACTTATCGATAAATGTTCCATTTCTTTCTTCATCTGTTACCTTCGTTGTGCTGTGTTGCAAATCCCAACCAACTGATCCCTCCGGAAACAGTTCATTTCGTTTTTCTCGGCTTCGTCTAGGGTTAGTTTTATATCAGTAAAGTCCATGATGATAAAGAATAACGGAAGCAGATATACTGCGGACAAAGAAGCTTGTGTACGAAAACAAAAATGCAAAACAGACCTTAAGTGCAACAATATGATTGGTCATGGTTTCTACATTTGGGATTGATATTTACTGTTAGGAAGCGATGGTTTACGTTATACATGTAGCCCATGAAGCAATATCCTTTGTATAGAACATTTCTGGAATCAAAGAGGCATTAAACAAAACGAGTTGATTACATTCGAGTGGGGTCTTGCATTTTCTTGAAACGTCTCCTTCACTAATCAAGATTACTCTTTTCATAAAAAATTAATATACTGTAGCTTAGACGCGCTGACAGTGATAAAGTAGCGATAAATCTAAATGAATTAATTTCAAAGATGTAAAACTAGCGACCGAATGTTTTGTACTGCGACACGTCCTATTTTTATATTCCTAGTAATTGTAATACTGACGGCGACCCATGTGTCAGCCGCCGTACTCAATCATAGGGAATTGCAGGGATACTCATGAGGGATTATATTTAATGAGGACATATCTTAAACATTCCTTCCACCCTTCTACAATCTCTTAGCTATCAAAGGAAGTCTATCTCACGTTCATTACATAAGGTACTCAATGGCATATCAATGGCACGTTCAATCGACATTACAGCAGCTTATGCTATTTTGCGAAACGAAACGAAACCAGGCGAGATACAACGGAACTAAAGGAATAATGCAGTTATATTAAAGATATAAGTAATCTTCAGTCGATAAGGAGGATTTTTATTTATTTCGCAAAGTAGTAATTTCAGAAGAGTCACTATTATGCGAAATCGACTATTTTCAACCTGTGGTGACAACTTGACCTCTTTCATGTCACAAAAATACATTTAAACATTACAAATTAGAATATCACCAAAGATTTTGGCCTCCTCTTGTTCCGTAAACTGTATTAAAATATATTTCGCCAAATAGTAATTTTAGGAGAGATACTATTTTGCGAAATGGACTATTAGTTGATTTCGCAAAATTGTAACTCTTTTCAAATTACTACTACGCGAAATGAATAAAAATCCTTCTTGTTAATTAGTGATAACTCCAAAATCATTGTGAAAGATATCTTTACCATATTAATAAATGTATTTGCATTATTCCTTCAGTTTTGTTATATCTCGCCTGGTTTCGCTTTGTTTCGTTTCGCAAAATAGTATGAGCCCACCATGACCGCCGTAGAGACAAAAAAGCATAGATGGCCACACGAAGCTAAGAGGAACCACCAATTTTACAGAAAAAAGGGCTACTGATCAATTTAAAACTTAACCTGTGGTCAAAGTTACGTTAAATTCATATTTGTTTGAGTTCTGTTGTCCCTTCCCAGACGAACCTTGAGAACAACTACTCTTTGCAGTGACTGAATCCAGAACTTTGGATCGTCATGAGAAGTTTCATTTGCCTTTTAATTTCTCGGGCAATATCAAGGACCAAAGATTCGTAATAGAATCCTTTCCTGCAAGAATTTGTTTCCATTTGTAGCATTTTGAACTGTAGTATCAATAGATCTACAGCTTTTGACTGGAAGCGAAATCAGCCGTCCTTAAGAATATAAATATTTCATGGGAATTGACGGATGAAACCTTTGATATTGAAGATGAGCCGTATATAGCCATAAAAGCTTTCATGCACTGATGTGGATCTGATGGCAACAAGAAATTGTACATTGCCATGTTAGGAGAAAACAGATGAAAGCGACTTGATCGCTAATTTTTTCTGTTATCTAGCGAAGATATCTACTCTGATCCTTCGAAGCCATCAGGTTTATTGTTCAGTTTTTCCCCGACATGTGCACCCGTGTTAAATAATTTAACACGGGTGCAATGCGCTCTGCTTTGTCTGACCAGTGTTAGGTACGCGAATGTCGTGTATGAGCAAATGAAACTGAGTCGTCATTCTGGTAAAACCATTGCGGATAACAAATTCACAGAGCGATGGCAATTATTTGTGCAAGTATTTGCTATGATTTAGTAAGGGAGAATTGAATGCGATACATTATTATTAAGAGCAAAGGAACTATCTTCAAGAGCTTGAATGATCAAGGACGTAAGCGCTATATAAAATACACACAAACCTGCAAAAAGGTCTGCCTTGTATTAGCCACTACGCCAGTGTTGGTTCCAAAAAGGATAGATCTTTTTTCTGTTTTGTAGTGAGAATAAATCGTCACCTTCGGAAAACGACACATCATATCAGTTATGCAACCGGCATGGTGAGGTTCTTTGTCATTTTGGTGTCACGGACAATATAACCGAAAGCTTGGTCGACGCATTACTTATAGAAACGCAACGGGATTGTGAATGCAAAGTAGCTGCAGATGCAGATCAAACCACTTCTTCAAAATCGCAGCTTCATCATGGATAATATAACAGGAAGCTTGGGCAACACATCGCTTCTAGGAAAGCACAGGGATTGAAAATGCAAAGCAACAGATGCAGATTTTAAACTACATCTTTAAAATTACTGCTCCATCAAAACAGACTTTTTAAGCTCAAACGGTGGTTCGCTTAGTTTATTTGTGCCTTAGGTCAACCATCGTGACTAGTCATTCGAGAAAATATCAGACTGAACTACCATTTAACACAAGTCTTGTCTCATATTCCATACAGTAAACAAGCAGTCCAGAACGATTCCGTAAAATTGTACGTTTTAAACGCCTAGCGGAAGCAAAAACTTGCTACACTTCAATGCTCTAATGCTTCGTTTCGCTTTATCGAGGTTTTCTAGACAAAGATAGTGTTTATTTTACTTTTCAGTCATTAATTCGCAACCCTCATACATTCCTTTTTATTGCGATAGGTCTGCCATGCCAGTCGCACCCAATTCGGTGGCCTGCCTGTAAATTCAACAAGATCCTCAATGAGTTATTCACTAAGCTAACCAATTTTCTTGAGGTGTTAAAAATGTATCTTATCAGTCGAACCGGTCAAGGGAACATGTGCATTCTAAAGTCCAGTGCGGCTATGTTTACTGTGATGGAATTTCGAGTTGTTGACAGACGCGATTTATGTGACTTTCGATTTTCGTAACTTGTGGTCAACTTATGGGAAAAAAAAACAGATAAACAGAAAGCAAGCGTGACTGTTACTTATAGAATCTGTCAATTCACAAAGAAGAAAGCTTTGGGTTATATAAGCATTTGAATTCGGTTGGTGTACACACAGTCCTTCAAAAGTCGATCAGCAATGTTATTGAAAATAAGCCTGTGCTCTTTTTGAACCTCCAACAATTAAAATTTGCAAATTTGATCTTCTGCACTGGTAACGACTCTGTGAAACGATTAATTATTCAAGCAGTTTGAATAAAACAGACGTTTTCAAACATAAAATTTAAAACACAGCGAAAAAGGAAATAATGGACTTAACGAATAACACATTGGTTGCTGAGTTACTTTAATCGCACTGGACACGACTTTAACCGGCTGTGATTACAAATTACTGCATCCACGAGCGGCGTAAAAGTAACTACTAAAAACTACAGGAAATAATCAATTCTTATTTTAAATACTAATACGAATAGATTGCGCAAAACTTTTGCTCCCACACATTCCACATGAGCGAAAAAAAAAAACGGCGTTAAAAGGGAAAAAAACGGAAAACTTAAAGTGCTAATCAACTGTTGTTTGGATGTAACAATACCTACCCCTTTCTTAAACTTTAAACATTTTCAGCTACGGAAGCTTCCTTTGGGTCCCTCAAATAGCACTTAAAATTTCGAGAAATAAAATCGAATGTTACTCTTAAGACCAGTTCTTTAATTAAATTAAATTTGAAGAGGCAAAAGAGACGCAAATATGGTGATTTCTAATCATTCCCCTGCTTACCTAGAGTCCCAAAAGCACTCAATGAGCAATGAAAGTATCCGTGTTTCTCCGGTTATTCACGCGCAGGAAAGGTCTCGCATGTTTCAAATGCAGGTGTTTCAAGTTATTCATTCATCAACAAAACCATTCTCATCTTCATGGATACCCTACTTCAAGCACCGGCATACAGAAAAGATCAGTTGTATACAAATTTATCCCTACTTGACTCTGATGATCTTTTCCGCTCAGGCTGTCAAAAAATCAGTCATTTTATCAGAATGCACAATCAACTGCGACCCGAGTTGACCACAGATCTCAAACCAAACCTAAGCATGATAAAGATACATTCTCAAATGCGTCTACACCGGACATTTCATGGGCAATGTTCCTGCCAATTTTGATTGACACGATGATTACTTTCAAAACACGGCAGATAAGGGGTAATCTTCTAACGTGTAGCCATTTAAATGAAGACATTAAGACAGAATAATTTTTCTCAGATTTGGTGTGAAATCGCGATAAGTCACGAGGAACAGCCACAACGTTCAACAAAACTGGGCTGTTTTTGCAAAATACATCTCTCTTTACAAGACATAAATAAGGGAAATGATGACGCTAAAAAGGGACTCTAGAAGAAACCTAAGACTACAGCGTGTTGCAGCATTGAAAGGGGAATAGACTTAACCCTATAAAATGGCAGGAAAATTCAATGGCATTGATCTTAAACGTTAGGAAGCAAATATTTTTACGGCACGCACGCTAAACATATCAAAAAAACAAAGCTAACAGAGTAGCACCCACTTACCGGTAGCAATGTGTAAATAATTTAGCATTGTTCGAATCTGCTAATTGACTTTGGCAAAATTTAATATATTATAAGATTACTGGATGCCGAGGTCAGAGAATTTCAGACATAGAGGTCAGCCCATTTGGTCACAATATAACAGAACTGTGAGTTGAGGGTACGAAAAACAGAGCAAGAATTTTTTAAAAGTATTTTTAAGTTTTGCACTTTTTGATTAGAAAGAAAAGATATACGAGTTGGACTTGTATTGGGTATTAAAAAAAAATAATGATTGGGAAAAAAGGGCATTTGGACCTGATCCAATAGATATTTCTATTGTTGATAGAGAACGAACAGAAACTGGCAAGCAGCAGTGTTTCGTTATGAAAAATGCTGATCCACAGAATTCATCTCGGTGCGGAAACTATCCAAGAATGTTTATCATCCAAGAGAAAGAGATAAACGATGCATGAGAGTATCGATAACAAGAGGATAAAAGCATTTTATTTAAGTAAATTCGATATCTGATGCTGTATCAAATCACCTTAACTTATGAGATGGAAACTCCTCCCGGACCTCGGACGAGATTCGTTTCATTTTTTAAAAGAGACAACTGTAACTTAATTTAAAACTTCAAATGGAGGTCAAATTCCAGCAAAAAAAGCATATATTTAATTTCTTTTAGTACAGCGTGGAGGAACTGAAACGTCACATGAGAAATCAAGCGAGTGGATAATTGATGGCGTGCTCATAGTCGCTTGAAGTTACCCTCTCGTCGTTTATCAAAGAGCACGCATTTCAACGGTTTTTTGCATAGTTTAACTATTTCTCAAGCTATGAAACTTGCGTGATGGTATTTGGACTTGAACTTGAATCTTCTGTCATCTACAAAGTTAGAGTCTTGACGTGTACCGGCGTTGCGTTTGGTTGGGTAACACCCCATAAGTAATTAACGCAGCTAATTCTATAGAAAAAGAAAAAATCACATTTATTAAAAGACATTTTTTAAGTCAATACCTGTTGGTTTTTGTAGAGAGGGTTTATATGGGGGAGGGGAAACCGGAGAACTCGGAGAAAAATAATACCCAGGGAGCCAGGACAAGAAGGTACAACAAACTAAACTTGCATGAAAGCCAGGTCAAAAGGGGTGGAAAGAGAGTGTTCTCACCATTAATATATTCATGTTCCCCAAACATGGATAACAAGAGGGGAAAATAATGTGAGCCAGGGAAGGAGATTATCAATATGATCTTTGGCATGTCGTAGGTCTCACGATGGAGATGAAATAAATGATGTAAAATCCTTGCGATTTTGTTGTCATGCAGTTTTAGCATTGTTTTGTTAATTGCTATATTTGGCTCACCTTGGCAATTTAAAAATCTTGACTGTGTACATGTTTGCCAAAACTTCGACACACGAAGGCACCGTAATGATAGCACCACTGGTGATTGAGATTTTTAAACAAAGTCCTCTGCAATCCAAAATATGGAATCAAACTCTATATGACATGTAGTTCAGAGTTATCCGTTAGCAGAAGATTGGGCTTAGCTGTTATTTGAAGGACGTTTATAAAGAAAAGTCACAACAAACGACTCCTATATAAACAACATTCTCGATGAGAATGTCCTCCTCCATCTCCGTATGTTTTTTTTGTTCAAAACAGTATCGCTATTGTTGGTAGTCTAGGACTTTTCTGCCCATTCAACTCACCGGAGACAAAAGGCTCAGCTAGCTTGTCATCTCAAAGTCCTTTCGATATCCTTATTCCCTGTCAGTGTTTCCCCTTAGAGAGTAAGAACATTTTATTCGTTTGTAAATTCTATCACTTGAAACTAGTTTTGAAAAATGTTATCTGTGTGCCAACATTTTTTGGCAACTGATGCATTTCTGGATATTTAACTCACATATGTTGACTGTGAAGATATTTTTGGCTCAAACACTGCTGCCTCTAATTGTTGTTGTAATTTTTTACAGAAGACCATCTACATGTGGATGAAGATCAGAATTTGAACAAGACAAAGAGACGGACTCTTCAACTACAGCTAGAAAACTGTAACCTTCGCAACGAATTTACTCCAGCTGGATTGTTGCTTTTCATATCGAGTTTTTACCTCCCTTTTTCACATAAATCAAAGTGGAATTTATTTCAATGTAAGCTTAATAAGTGAAGCTTCTTTGAAAACTGTTTTCCATATATTTTTAAAGCAAAGTGAAATCCTTCCAAGAGACCACATCAAACATGTGGTCTCCCTATTTGATCTTAAAATAAGACCTTAAAAGAAAGCCTAATTACCTCGACATTTAAGCCTCCATCAGTGTTGGGATTTCAAAAGAATATGCTCAGGACAGAAAGGACAGCTTTCTGTAAGTTCCAGTCTAAGATGAGATAAAAATTTGGAATCGATCGAACAAACATAGTCAAACATTCCTCGGAAACGCCCTTGCGGTGTTCGCGTGAAATTTTTCCTGCGTCACATTTGGCCTTTTTCCAAAGGATAATCTGCTTTGTTTGACACCCTATCAAAGGTGGCTACATCTCGAGGTCAAATTGTTTTCGAATCGGACAATTCTATAATCCTATATACTATGCTTGATCGCAATTGCACGCAACCAAAACCTGGAGGAATCTCAAAGCTCAAAAGACGACTCTGTGAATGTCAAAAGGATAAAGGGGGTGAGTTTCGGAAGAAACTGTGGTGCTGCGTCAGTGGGAGGGTAATTTAGTGTTATTAACCGAGTTGAAAACGTAAATTAGCCACCGTAGAGAGTTTAAAGGCTGAAGTTTCGAGCGTCAGCCCTTCGTCAGAGCTGTGAATGTCAGCCATAAGTTTGTCCGTGTTGCCTAAGACGGAACAATTTTCCAAAATACTTACTGAATAAAATTATGATCAACACATGATGTGCACTGTCACAGTTTTTGGGGTGTCCAGTACCTAAGTCACCAGTGCTTTGGTTATCCCCTCTAGGGATCCCCAAAACGTAAAAAGTCATCTGGACAGCAGACTGGGGCAAGTAACATGGCCTTGTCATCCCCTCTAGGGAAAAGTGGATCAAATGAGAGACTGAGGCAAGTAACGTGAAATTAGTCTTTCATTTGTCGTGGGAAAAACCATAATTGCTTTAAGACGTCAGAAAATTATCATTTAAAGTTAATTCTCGCACTTGGGATTGTGTTTGGTGGAGAGAAGTGTTCTGTTGTTGTAAAGCATCTTGGAAAGAGCGATCAGTCAACAGTTTCAAGTGAGTTGCTTCGCATGTAGAGAGTTCAGCCGATCGATTTAAGACACGTACGGAAGGAGGATCTTTTTCACTTGTTGGGATTTTGCGTTTAAGAAAGGGACAGAAACCTTGTCCTTTGCGATGAGCTTTGAGTCTGAAAGTAATCATAACTGTCTGACTTGTTTAAATGTGTGCGTGTGTGTGGGAAAATTTCCTCTGGCTTTAGTGACCTTTGCAATATAATCAGAAATTTACTACGAGTTTGGACAAGTCAGTGGCGGATCAAGGGGAGGGGCCCGGGCCCCCCCTTCCTTATTTTGGGTAAAAAAAAGAAAAGGAATCGTAGAAGGAAGAAAAGCCGGCAGGGCAAGCGACAACCCCCCCCCCCCCCCCCCCCCCCCACCCAAGACAAGTACCTTGGCAGGACAAGTATCTTGGCAAGCAACTTGCGAGGACTCCTTACAAATAGATCCTCAAAAAAAAAAAAACCGAATGGAACACCATATAAATAAGGTTTTGGATATCCTAGTTTATTGATTGAAACACCTACTGCAAATGCTTTATCATTGTTATTGACATTTTTATCCATTTTTAAACAAGATTTTACATTAAAGCCATGGAAAATGAATTAAAGAGGTTATCTCTGGTCTATCCCGCACCTCATATTGACTAGGATACCCAAAAACCTTTAATATGGTGTTCCATCCCATTATTTTTGAGAATCTATTTTCAAGGAGTACTTGCAAGTTATCACGGTTACTTGGGTTTGATTAGAAATTCTTTGACCAAATGACAAACATAACCCTGAGAGGCTGACAAGTATCCTTTCTTCAGTTTGGCCTAAGGGAAAAAAGAAATATTTCTACTTCTTTGATTTAGGGCATGATTGTTTTGGTGTTCTTCTAAGTTCTTGGTCAACAGCTTCTCCACTTTTGAGCTTATTTACATACATACATACATGCATACATATGTACATACATTCTTTATTTGATAAAGCCGGTTGTAAGATGGCAGCAAAATGCTGATGTGGAACTACTATGTAACAGTATAAAATGACAAAAATATGTATCAAGTAAATATTACAATTTTAAGATGGTATGAGAGTAATAATGATAAAAAATAATAGAAAGAAATTTCAAACATTATGATTTTAAACTAACATAAAAAATATACGAAGGCATTTGTTTTGTTATTGGTTGCTGTTGAATTGGTACCAAATGAAATTTGGTCAACAGTCTTTGAGCACTAATTGTTGCTAATGCTTTTTAATTGCCACAGATCACAGTCATATAAATTGGGAGAAAAGAATATGATTGCTTCCCTAATTGAAGATACCAAGTACTTAGTGATGTGGGTAACCTTTCAAAGATTTATGTCAACCATCTAATACAACTAAATGAAGCAGGTCCAAGTTATAATATTGTGATACCAGTAGGGCAGTCTTATATGAAGGAATATCCATATGACTAAAGATTAATTGAGTTTCCCCTCCTCTTTTAAGCTCAAGGTGGACAAGAAATAATTTCCATCTTCTTAGTTTGCATGACACTGATCTTTTGCCATTAATGATGATGAAAAACAATAATGTCATGAGAATTTAGAGATTCAACAGTTACTGAACTTATGAAGGAATGCCCCTTTCACTTAACATTTGGTTGTCCCCTTATATTTGAGGTCCAGAATTGAATACAATAATTTGGTTTATATAATTGTGAGGATTTGGTTATCCCTCCTTTTTTTAGCTGAAGGTGGGTAAAAACAATTCCATTTCCCCAGTTTGCAGCATATTTCTATTTATACAAAAAATAGACAATGTAAAACAAAGGGTGAAATGATAATTAAAGAATACAAAACTGACTCATTGACCAGAAATTAAGAAACCACAGTGAAAGGGATACCCACTTTACTAAGGTTTTGGCTATCCCTTCCTCAGGTAGAAACACAACACATCTCTTTTATTTGGTTCACATTATCGTCCCCTACTCTACAAATTAAGTTAAGGCAATGTTCATCATAAAAATTGGATCTGCCATGAACATGGCAGGCACATTGAAAAGGATACCCAGATTAATTGGAATGTGGTTATCGTCCTCTCCTTCCCAATCTGATCTTTTCCTCTTCCTCTAGTTCACATTACTGTGCAGTAACTTGTATGATAGCTATAAAAAACATTGTTCATTACATGCAGCAGAAAAGGTGGCAATTCTTGAATGAAGTGCTCTAGTCAACAATTATAGAAAAGGCTTTCAGGGTACCTTCTCTGTGATTTATGCATCATCATTTCATATAGTATGATAAGAAATTACAACAAGAATTAATTAGAGAAATAAATCACAATGGAAACTTTCTTAAAGAGCAAGAGCAGAAACCTTAAAGGAAATAATTATTCATCAGGAATTTTCTTCTTTTGTTAACTCATTAAAAGTAATTATATTTATTCTGTTTCCTAGTGAAAAGCTATGTTTAGATGTAGATCACATCTATAGTTAGTGATTTAACCCTTTGCCTTCAAGCGTGCTTCTCTTAATAACAGCAATTGTCAGTATTAGATTGTACAATTAAATAAAGGTAGAGAAAGTAAAAAAATACATTGTTGAACAGCAAGTATTATATGACAGGGGGCAACTATATAGCAGCTCTCAATTTCTTAAAAGATATCCACAACAGTACCTGACCACTCTGTGGGAAGTGTAGCAGTCCTGCCAATCCATTTCATTGCTATTGCATGCAATTTATCATGTCTTCAAAATCCTTGTAGAAGCACAACGGTATCGAAGAGGATAATAAAACATCAGCGATTCGGGCTCAGGGATGCCGAAAACACTGGTATACCAAAAAAAGCCGAGAGCTCAAGTCCGAGTCTGGGCAAAACAGATTGGACTTGGTTTTGAATCAGAGGGGCATAAAACTCTCTGCTCCCCTAAAAAAATTAGGTCATGCGGTCGAACATATTATACGTATCAATCAAAGAATGCTTGTGGTACGACAAAAAAAGCCCTCATACTTATGAGGCTAGTGGAATCGAGAAAAAAGATATGAAAAACAAGGACTACGAAAAACCGTGAGGAAGCTTTACAAATGTTAAGCTATGTTCCTTAACGATCTCTCATGGTGATCCGTTTTAATCACACTTTGAGTGCAGTCGCGACCGAACCCCAAAGTATCACAACCCCATCACTAGACCAGGCCAGGAGAGACATTCAATAAGCTGAAATGGGAAGGGTGATCAAGCGTTATATATTTCTTTGTTTGTGTCCACCACGAAAGCTGCAACGATCCGTTGAACAAATACCGCAGTAATACATTCGGGACTTGAACTGATAGTGCTCCGAGTAGTCTGTCAGTTGTTATAGCCTTTTACCTGGCTCACAAAAAAAGAGAAAGTATTGGAGCTCCACGAGGAGCCATTGAATAAGAAGGATTTGAGAGACCAAAGAATACTCCGAAAAGAACCATGAAAACATATAATACCCTAAAAATAAGCGATTGCATCATTGATTCCTCTCTCTTTGTTCCTTATGAATCGAGCTTCTTCTGTAGATGTAGTTCAGTCCATAGAGTATTTCGCAGAGAAGAAACCTGGGTCCACGATTGTTTTTGTTGTAATAACTGAATATAGAAAATGCACTTTTATTTTCCAGAATATCTAATTGCAATTTTTGAACTTTTGTTCCACCGGAACTGTATTTTTTGTAAAAGCTGACAGAATACAATCTAATCTTGCCAATAGAGGGTCCTTAAAGAATTAAGACCGCTTTAGAAGAAAGGAACAGATTTTATTATTAAAGAGAATGGTTTGCCTTCATCACCTGCTCCCATATTGCAAGAAAATTTGTCTAGCTTTTAATTTTTCGTACGTGTCATTTTATATGGTTTCATACGCAAGTGTGGTTTATTGCATTTAAGATTGATTTTCAAAATGGGATATGAATTACTGTTGTCTATCTCGACACAATTAGTTTTTTCATCGAAAATAATCTTAAAAGCTAAGCCGAAAGTTGATGATTAGGTTTCATCTGTCATCGGTGATGTTTTTTCCTGATTAAGTATTTCGGAAGGCTGTTTCTAAATTTGTCAAATCAATACAGGAGATATACACAAAAGGGGAAGGCAACTTTTAAACCACTGCGAAAAAGTATGTCTAAACTACTGGTGGTATTTTTGATGAAAAAAATACAAATGTCAATCAGAAGAGGACGTGTTTATAATGAAGTGGCGATAAGCTTTTGAAGCTTTGTTGTCTTCAATACACCTATCTACATGTTTTATTTTCTGAAGAGAATTAAAGACGGGAAATGTAGAGCAATTTCAAACAAAACAAAACATTCTGCATATTAGATTAGAACGCCTTTTTTTTTCTTTTTAAACAAGGTTTTTGGTCTTTCCGTGCTTTATGGCACATTTCATAAATGTGATAGCAGCGAAATATCGTCAATTAATAATTGTTTCTTCACTGCGCTGTCGGGTTTCAATATCAAGATAGCGCTGCTAGTTGAAATATTAAAAAATATCCGGCAAATTGGAAAGGCAGATTGATTGGTCACGGTAGAGGCCTGCTCTGCTGTTAAAAGAAGGCAAGATTAATTTCCTCGAATTTCAACCAAAAACTGTGGACTGAAACATCGACGTTCTTCCTATTTATCATGCTTTACAACACTCTTTTTCAGTTATTTTTACGCGTGACTCTTTAGATGAAATTTGAATTAAAAGATATTGATTCTTAAGATCATTTTGAACTGAGAAATAAAATGATATAAGAAAAAAAGAACTTCTTGATTATTTGCATACGTCATGCCAGGTTTTCATTTCACAAAATAGTCCTAATGCAAGGAGGAAAAAATTTTTTTATCATATTATTAAAATTCATTGGAATTCTTTTCAAAAAGCTCTCAGCAATTTCAATATCGGTCAGTGAGTGGCAAAATAAACCAAATCCGTGTTGAAAATTAAATGGTTTTCAACATCTCATTTGCTGGGTTTAGCAAGATAATATAAACAGAACACTGCTGGGCTGGAGTTGATGATTTCCTTCTGCCTCCGGGCCAAGATTGAAAATAACTTATTACCGAGAAGCCAAATGCTACTGTTGTTCTGTCATAAGGACCAAGCTAAAAACTTAGTTGAATTTGCAACCTAAATGGTATGTTTTGGCCCCAGTTCGGGTGTTTATCTCACGTGTCCTGACTTCTGAGGCCAATCAATTATTCATAGAAGCCGCAGGGCTTTAAAAACTGTTGTTTGAGAAAAAAAAGAGAATTATCCACACAGAGCCGAAGGCAATACTTGGTAAGGAGTAGCAAAGATGTCTTTTGGCAACGCAAGTGCAGGAGAACTACTGTCTGATACAAATATGAGTCAAGGGACGAATTCTAGCGCCAAACAGGAAGTGTTTGGGGGATCTGTTTGTGCTCAAGGTTTCTACTGGCCGATCCACGCACCCTTGATTTTGATTCTCATATCTATTTTGGCTGCCAACTGTGTTGTTATCGTCTTGACGATCTGGAAAGAAACTTTACGGACAGTGAGTAATATGTTCCTGTTTTCCTTGACTCTGTCTGATCTATTGTTTGGTTTAATCGGAATTCCTGTCTTCATGTCCTGTACAGTCACCACCTCCCTTTTACAGTGTACGCTATCCGTGCTTCTTTGGCGATTCACTGCTGTTTCGTCCGTATGTCATCTTTTTATCATTGCTTGTGACCGCTACTTTATTATTTTACATTCTATGAAATACCCTTCAATCGCAACAAAAACCCGTGCCACATGCGTGATAGCGGTAATTTGGTTAGTGGCATTAGCGTCTTCATCCATTCAGTTTGCTTGGTACAAATGGAACAACGACCTAAAAGAACCCAAGGAAGACACAATTCAGATTGACAAAATTTATCTTTTATTGCTGATCATAGTGTTCTTTTTTTTGCCTTTACTGCTGATGTTCTACATTTACAGCTGCATCTTACTTGTTTCTTTTCGACACATCTTCGCCTTTCGTAGACGTCGTAAAAATCTCGACCAACCAGTGCCCTCTATTGCTCACGATTTACGTGGAACCTTTATTTTATTTTTTATGATGCTAATATTCATCGGTTGCTGGCTGCCGTTTTTTCTTCTTATTCTTGAAGATCACATTCTGGAGACTTTCTTTTATATCGTACCAGGATGGGGTTTATGCGTAATCCTTTATCTCCGATTCATTCCCCCAATGGCAAATCCCATTCTATGCGCGTTTTGTAAGCAAGATTATCGCCGTGCCTGGCGTGGTTTAACGCGACGGCAACAATGGCTCAGCCTGAATCTTCGTTTTTTCAAATTTCCTTCCGTCTCTGAAACACGCGACAGAACATGTGACAGAACCCCAACTTCAGTCACACTCGCCGAAAAAACAAACAACAGCGGTGATAGCCTAACTGGTTCAGTGAATATGCTTGCTTTGGAAGTTTATTGACAACGGTTGCTGATGTATGTGTTAATCTTAGATCAGCCTAAAAGGAACCAGTCATTTCATCTCAAAGCAGCTGGTTAAAAAATCGGTGAACTTGAAAGGACAGTTCATTTAAAGACTATTGGGCAATAGGTGGGTGACTTTCCTTAAACCCTTTAAATCAAGAGCTGATCGTAAATTCTCCCTTCTAACTGCTACACATTTCCTTTTAAATTAGTTACAAGAATTTGGTGTTAGGTCAAGAGATTAACTTCTACCTGACAAGTTTGGGCATTCTTATTACCTGTTTGCTGAATAGTGTATGGATATTATAGGGAGTTAACGGGTTAAGATATAAACCCTGCAGCTGTGTCAAAGAAACCCACGCATTTGAGTTAATTACGCGTGCGCAAAGTTTTGTACAGCTTTTATCATTTGCGTTCTTAAACGGAGCGAGGGGTTATCTTTTTTATTGAAGCGTTGGAAAGCTATTTTTCCCTTAAGGGATCATTCAGTCAGCAGGGTATGCAATGAAAGGGTAAAGGAGTAGTAATAAGGTAACTGACTGGTTTAAGCTTACCTCGAAGAAAAGCCAAACTTAATTCTTGTCTAAAGTAAGCAGAAAATTCTATTGAAAAACTGAAAACATGATCTAAAAGCTTTATCAAACTAACGTCAGAAACGTTTCTGCGGATGGTAAGGGAATCATCTACCAGTGACATGCACAATAATTATGGCGTTTGTTTTTTTTCCTTCAGTCCTACAAAAAAGCTTCTTTCTCTGACTTTGACATTGTTTTTCTTGAGGTGCATTCCAACCATGTAACTTGCTCTTAAATTCATCTTGGACTATTTTGGTCTGTCAATATTAAAAGCTCCTTTTGGAATGCACTTGAAGAGACACTTTCAATTACGGTGAAGATTTGCACGAGGCCTCTGTATCATTTTTTTTTTTTTTTTTAATTTCTTAAACAGACCTAACGATTCCTCGATAAACCGTAAAATACAATCTAAGATGGCAAACGCTTTAGCTGTAGGACATGATTCAAGTTGTATCGCAACAAAAACTCTTTCATACGCTGTAAAGGCCATTTTCGTTTCCTCAATACTTAATGAAATACAAAAGAAGCACGAATGAAAGGGGTTTGTGATGATGTAAGGGTCCGGTCATTTTGTTTATCACAGGGGGGATGAAGAGATTGGGAGGATTTTGGCTTTTTCGCGATAAGTCTTACCTGACCCCCCTTGAAGTGTAAAATTCCTTTTATCTCCCCTCATTGGTAGTTAATTGGTAGTCAATTTTAAATAGTTCTCACTTTGTTCTCCATTTGCGACCAGTTTTCCCCTCCGTTATCCCTGAAAACTATAGGGTCCCCCGTGTTAAGGATTATTTCTTGTGCCTTTTTACTAAAAGATTTGTTTGTAAGAGCGAACCGGAAGTGCATTTTTACCGGAAATTACGTTACCCGCGGGAAGATTGATTTACAGTTTCAAAATAAAGTCCCCGGATTGAGGGGAGGAGCGCTTACGCCATAGAAAAGAAATCTTGGGTGGATGTTTTTGTCTTTTTTTGCAGGATTTTTTTCAATGGGAACTCTGGACTTTTTTAGGAAGAGGACTGAAAAAATTTAGGAACCTAAAGAGAAACACCCCGAAAACCCCTTCGCCCCCCCCTCAGGCGATAGATGATACTGGGTCCTTAATACTGATGCAAGGTCCTTAATACTGATGTAACGTCCTTAATACTGATGTAACGTCCTTAATACTGATGTAACGTCCTTAATACTGATGTAACGTCCTTAATACTGATGTAACGTCCTTAATACTGATGTAACGTCCTTAATACTGATGTAACGTCCTTAATACTGATGTAACGTCCTTAATACTGATGTAACGTCCTTAATACTGATGTAGCGTCCTTAATACTGATGTAACGCTGTCGAAAATGAACTTCTCACAAGTTATCACCTCTGTAGAACGCTCCGGATTCGCAAACAGCTGTGTATTGTAGCAAAGACTGTTCAAATGTTAAACGAAAAGACGAATTAGCTCATAGATATTTTTGACATTATAATTTAGATGGTAAATATGTCCATGTTGATTATTATTATTTAAAACATCGTCCAAAGTAAGTTTATTTCAGCTTTTTAGATGGTGAAATCGAGAGATCATAATTGTGTTGTAATTGGTCATTTTTTGAGGGTTTCTTTCAGGGCGCAAAAATCAGCCATTCTTTAATTTGTTGATCATCACCTCAGAATTGCTTTGTTTTGCGGAAAGGCAGTTAGTTCCTAACGAACTAATTTCATTACTCCTTTCCTTATTTGCGGAGCCGTTTCTTTTGTATTACTGGTTCAGCTATTGAAATTGAAGCGTAATTTATATATCTTACTCAGTGTCAATCAAGTTTAAGAATTAGTAAAAATTAAAGTGCTAAAAAAAATCCTTTTTTTTTTGGTATATTTACTATGAGGTCCTTATAACTAGTTGGTAGCGAAATAAAAGGAATGGAGGAAGGCTGGAGGGGGGGAAGAAGAGGAATGAAAAGAGAGAGAGAGGGGTGGGTGGGAGGGAGGAGAGAAGAAGGATGGGATGGTTGAGAGAGAGAAAGGAAAATGAATAAGGCAAGGGATGTAGGGGGGGGGGGAAATAACAAATATTAGTTTTGTTGCTAGTTGTACTTTGTTACGTTGTGTGGGGCAGAGTGAGTGCAATAAGAGCGAATGGAACATTCTCTTTATACTGTTCACACTTCCAACATGAGAGACACTTCAACTTAACTACTTGAAGCTAATAATGGCGAAAGCTTATGTCCCCTGTGTAATGTACTTTTTGTGAACGTAACAAAATGAAAAAAATGAGAAAAGATGCCGGAGCTGACTCTACTAGCCAGCTAGTTTGACATAATGTTTCTGTTTTTACCAAGACGATGTTGGTAAAAACTAAAAAAACAAAGAAAAACTTTCAAGAGAATGTCAAACTTACATGTTTATGAGCGGAAGTCTTCATAGCCACAATATTGACAAATGGAGTCGTTCAAAAGATTCTCTCCCTGATTTTTCGTTGCAATATTGCGTCGAGTGCTGTTTACATTTACACATTATCATGATAATAACGATGACAATGACGATGATAATGACGACCATACTGAAAATGTAAATTATGACTTAATGAATAGCAAGGGTTGCATGAAATACCGGTGGCCCGGTGGTTTTCAAGTTTAAAATCAGAGAAAGCAAGAGAGGTTTAGAAAAAGACGTTAAAAATTAAATTGAGCTCCATCGATGAACACAATTAGAATGATGGATAGAATTGCTTCTGTAAGTTCTGAGATTCTCTCCAAAAAAAGTACGTCTGCATTTCGTCTACAAATTGTTTGTCTTGGATGTCCGAATTAGTATTGTTCCAGAGATTCAAAGTGTCATTCTGAAAAAATCCCTGTTTCGCCGGCGTACTCCGAATTTCAAATTATCATCATATTTATCCTTTCTGGTTTATAACTGTGATCGCGGTCGTCGTCAACAGCGGCCTGTACCTGTACCCCTGCAGACTGATTAGCTATGTAATATCTGTAGTTTTCTGGTCCTAACAGCGTCGGTGCCCTACAGGGAATCTGACTGAGTGAACTATATAACTGAATTACCTTGTGACTCGATCATCTCTTTTGAATTCTTAGTGGAAGGATAGACAAGGTCATAAACGCCCTTTTTTGTCCTTTTAAATATCCATCCGAATCATGTTGATTAGTCCGTGCTAGGTTTTACTAATCACCCATTCAGCAGCATTTAACACTAGTTATTTATCATTAAGGAGTTTTTGTAGCACGTTACCCATAGAGCCTTTATGCTACTTTTACTTAGCAACTATTTTATTTTACACCTTTGCCGCTAGAAGTCGGGCGCTTTTTTCAGCTTTTTCCCGTAATTCGCCTCGGAAATTTATTCGAATAACTCCACAGCTTCGCCTGTTATTGCAACAGATGTAAGTTTAATTCATGTACTGTGGTTGCCACAGTTAATTTCTTCAATTTCGCATATTTATTTTGTAATTTTACAATAATTGATATTTGAATATATGGGGATGGGATTTAGCAGTGGACATTCCACGAGGTGGCTCTTCTTGTCCACCGTTTCCAGGTTGAATTGAAATTGGAAATGTTGGTTTTGAGGGGGGAGGAAAATCGGAAGAACCGGAGAAAACCCCTCGGAGCAAGGAAAAGAACCAATAACATACTCAACTACATGTGACACCAGGAATCGAACCCAGGCCACAGCAGTGGGAGGCGAGCGCTTTTACAGCTGCGCCACCCCGTCTCTCCAAATAATGTGTAAAGAAGGCGTCGTTAAAATTTATTAGCATTGGAGCGTCGCTTATAATAGTTACAAGTTGATGTCTTAAAAGGTTGACGGTTGGATTTAAGCTCATTTGTTGGTGCATGAACACTCACATTATCGACCATTAGACGGTTGACGGTTATTTTTTTAATGAAACGACAGTTTATCTATTGTAACCTAGGTCTCAATAACAGTAGGATAAAATGCTGAATAGACCAGGCTAATAAAAACATTATTGACAAGTACAAGGAAACATTTTTATCTCGAAGACTGCGGCCTTCCCTGAAACACAGCTACGCACTTCGCACAAATATTTCTGATATAAATAATTTTCTTGTTTCTTATGCCCAGACTCCGCTACCTCAGGAGCCGAGTTTTACGAAATGTCTAAATTATTTAGCCTAGCTCCATTCTTGGTCTACGAAAAATTTCTGACATTTTTCATGGTGGATGGGTATATGACTTTCAGCTATTCGACAGTTGACGGTTCACCTTGTTCACAACCTCTTTGTAGTCCTGTCAGGTATTCAATGTAGCAATTACTTAAGGCAATGCAGCCATATTCAAAACAGGATTCTGTAATCACCATGTGCAGCTGCAGTTTTTACAAAAGACAATCAAATCATCCTTGGCTCTTGGCTCTTTCTTTTAACAATTCGGCCAGTAAATATGAGCTGCTCCAGTGTCTACTCAAGGTTAAACCATTTTCTTGAGATCCAGTTTTTAAATTTAAAAATTTGCACCAATGTTTACTTTTCTTTAACCTTGAATTCATAAAATATTCCATTGTTAGCCACGCAACTCGTCGTCGTGCACCTGTAGCTGGCAACTATGTAAAACTTGTTAAATGCGGTGGTGCATCGGTGAGGGAGTATAACAAGATAAAGCAGTAAAGAGTTTGTAGCTTAGATACTCCTTACGTGTAGTTTTAAACATGCAATCTCGTCTTCCGGGTACGTCGGTTGTGGTGACTAACGTTTCGAAAACGTCTGCAGAAGTCATCGTCAGAGTCAAGGGAAAAAGATGCAGTCATTTGATCCTGTTGGCGGAAACTTATTGGTCAATTATTCTGTGATGTTAGTAGCTGCAAGACTCAAGTTTCATAATTCGTTCGTGATCGGTCATTTGCGAACCGTCTGTGACGTTAGGTCATTGTTTGTATGGTGTCGCTGGTTATTGTGATCGGTTGAGAGAAGTCTGTTGCAAGCAAGAGGACCAGCTTTTTAGACCCTATAAGTCAGCATCGGAAACCAGGTTTGTGAGCATCGTTAGGCTGTAAAGTTTCAATGGTTGTCAGGGTTCAGCACTTTAGTCTTCTTGAGCCTGAGTAGTTTGCGCAGTTGAGTTCGTTTTAAAGCGTGGGAGGCGGGTCAGCTTGAGTTCTTTGTAAGTTTGTTCGTCGCTTACTAGTGCTTCTTTTTTATCGTAAAGGACGTAAAGGCCATGCAACTTTGTCCACAACAGCAGTAATTCCTTTTTCAGCTGTTAGGACAACGTTCAATGTCCTAATCGTGTTTTAGACGTCTTGGTGCTTGTTTTTCGTCCACAGTAGTCAAGATGCTGTCATAATATTTCAGAGATAATCAGTTTTTTGCGGTAATCGAGCCAGATGAGCTATGGACAATTTTGAAATAGTATCTTGGCCGTGAATTGTGCTTGCGAAGTAAAGGGTTTGTTTCAGTCTTCTACTTATCATGCGGCTCCTTGGCAACAACTGGTTTTAATGGTGCCAGCTGGTTGATTACCATAGTTCGGGGTGTTGTTCGTTTTAGATGGTCGGTTTTGCTATAATTTCCAACAGCATTGGGTCACGTTCTCCGGTTTCCCACCCCCTGCAGTTTTTGCTTTTCGTTTGGCTGAGATCATTGCTAGAGCACGTACAGTAATGTCCGACTAAAATTTAAAAAAATGAGAGAAATTGTCTTCCCGTTTTAAAGAGCAGAGCCTGTGGATTGAAAAAGTTCTTAACCCTTCAGCTCCCATGAGTGACCAAGAGAGAATTTCTCCTTACAATTTTATTATACCTTTACGCAGTCAAGTGATGAGAAAAAAGAAAAATATAAATTGGGGGATTATCAGTTGATCCAGTACCAAATTCTTCAGACCTATATCATGTGAATTGTAGGACAGACAGTAAGGGGAACTGCTAATTAGATCTTGGGATTGAAAGGATTAAAAATGTTAGAAGATAAGATAACTTTGCTTGCAAGGAACTTAATAGCATGAAAATAACGTCAGGTAAATGCAACAAAAAGAAATTTCAAGAGGATATTGAATATTGAGAAGAGCGATCAAAAATCCTTTTGGTAATAACAACAGATTTATTTGTCTTTTCCACATTCGAAGTACAGTGTATAATCTTTGTATACATCCTGCGGATGTGCGAAATTACTTTTCCAATTAAATCTTTTCAGAAGGAAAACAGATAACTGTTAGCATAGCTTAAATATTATGATCCCGAAAGCCGAGCGCCAGTAAGTAGACACTGTGTTCTGTTTTAAATATCCTAATTGAAATTCTTTCTATCTTTTTTTTAATTTTAATTTGGTTTTCTGTAGATGTTTTGTTCTTTTTTTTTTTTTTTACTTTTCTCGAGTTTTCCGTCTTCCTTTTCTTTTTTTTTTCCGCAAAGTTTTCAAGTATAGTGGTTACTTCTGAATCGGATATTGAATCAGAAAGCTAATGATCAAAAGCAACCGGAATGATTTTGCGGATGTCCAGTTGTCAAGGTTATGTTTCATATTTGATTTTATATTGATATTCTAACAGAGAATAAGAATATCAAAGCGTTAGTATAATTCAATCTGTTGTAATCCAATCGTAAATTCAAACTTTCATGTTATAACAAAAGATTCCATTTCAAATCGTGAGTAACATTTCTTTCCTAAGCTTGAAGAAAAGAAAGTTGTAAATTAGATGGAATTCTCTCCACTGAAACTCAACTGTGAAAGAAAATGTTAATTTTGATTCCTTTATCTGATAACATGTCTAAAAGGCATCACTCACGCTGCAACGAACAATCCATTTTAAATCGCACACTTATATTTATTTCCCAAACTAGAAAAAAAAATTGTTAATCAATGGTATCCTCTTCATTGGAACTCATCTGAGAAAGAAATTGTTAAGTTTGATTCGATTATCTGATAATATGTTTAAAAGGCATCGCTCACCCTGCGACAATAATTGACATACAGAGTCAAGTTGTAAGAATTTATAAGCATATTTGTTCACGGTGTACCACAACTGCAGCGGGCATATTCGTTTTCCGTCTCAATAATAATTCTTTTAGTGCTCGACGAAAATCCTTTTTAGCTAGTGTGCACAAAATCGGGTTTGATATGGGAGGAATGAGCCCCACAAATACCAACAGACGCTGCATATGCAGTTGCATGGTCGTATTTTCAGAATCATTCATGTGGTCGTTCAGCATCGCGACGAAATACGGCAACCAACAGCTTGCGAAAATTACAATCGCGATTACCAACACACTACGGCCCCGCCATTCATGACTTTGAGGTTGACAGGGCTGTTGAACAATGTTACTCATTTTATGATGACTGTTTTTACGCTTGACTGAAATGTAGAAAATGCGGCCATAAATGCTGCACATAGACAAAAGAGGCAGAGCAAAGAAAATTACGAGACAAGCTAGGCTGTAGTGTTTATTAAATTCATTTGTGATGTTTTCGGAGTCTGTAACAGCAACTTGATAAAAAATATACCAAGACAACTGAATGACGGAAGCCACCGAAGAAAAAAGCCAAACAGTAACAATGGCGAAGAGTGCTCGTCGTTTCGTTACAAGACCATGGTATTCCATATAGTGAACTATAAATATATAACGATCCACTGCGATTAGTAGAACATGGCAGACAGAGGAAATGGCTGTAAATCGAATGAAAATTGTAGAGGACACGCAAACGTCTATAATATCTGTATCCAAACAAATAGCGAAAAGAGGAATTCCTACTAGACCAGACAACAAATCTGAAATTGCCAGCGATCCAAGGAACATGTTGGTGCGGAGAGTTCGCAGTGTTCTCTTTTTGTGAAGTAAGAACATGACGAAGCTATTGACTATAACAACCAGCAGGCACACGAGGGATAAAAGTAGAATTAATGATAGAGGGAGAATCTCGGGTCGCTCGTGATCAGAGTTTGTCTGGAAGCTTGAATTACTGTCTTCACCACTTGAATTGCGCGCACTGGATGATCCACCAAGTAACAGCGACATTTTACAATTTTGCTCTGATCTGCAAAGCTAGATTTCCTGATTCACTTTGTAAAAATTAGATGCTCCAAATCATTTTTTTTCGTGCATGACAGGCGGGTAATTTAACCTAATCGCATTCCGCTCACGACAGATCAAAAGATAGGTTTTGACGGAAGAGGAACTAAATTAACATTTGTCAAAAACACTTCATAATGCCAGATGATAGACAATAAAGGTGGGCTGCTTAATTCAAATGTCGCCTTTTAGATAAATATATGCTCTCTTCTATATGATGCACTGCATGGGTCTTCTCTAGAAGATAACTCGGTTTGCTTTTTTTTTGTTGAAATGAATCTATCTTTTCATAGATCGCGAATTTAGTTTGTCAATATCTTTAAAATTAGTTTGCTTGAAAGTTTACATGACGTTGAAATATCAAATGAGGATTCTGAAAAGCTTCATACAATGATTATCATTGGAAATATTATGAAATTGATTATTTAGGGGAAATCATAAGTTGCCTTAATGTGAACAAACAAATTGTTAACATCCTCACTAAAATGGATTTTTTCGAACCATAAAGAGGAGTATTGCCGCAGGAATGAAATGTTTAAAACGTCCTTTCATTGCAGTATGAAGTAATATTCGTTCCTTTGAGAGAACATTTCGTGAGACAACATTTTGAGACATTCCCAAGCGCTGGTTAACATATTTTTCAATTTGCACGAGAGAGTTTTAAATCATTTATGTTCAAATGAAATATTATAATCTACTTTTGGCAGCACTCCTTGAATCTTGAATCCATTTCCGTCAAACCTTTCCATGTTTTAATTTTTTTGGCCGTTAATGGTTTTGTGTTGTGATGCTTTTACCGGTGTTAGAGAAAAGCTTCATCATCAAGCAATACATCACATTTAGTTTAAAGTATTCTTGATTCAATTATGTCGGAGTTAATTTTAATATTATGGCACTGAAATGATGAAATGCACCTGGAGGAGACGATAACATCAAATCCTGACGTGTCACGATTTGTTCATTAGCAATTATGCTTGTGGTGTGAATCGGTAACAATAAGAAAAAAAACCAAAATTTATCTTCAGAGGTCACTTTTAGGGAGGTTTAATGTGAGGGCTGAGGAAGCATGAAAAAACTTCCAGGATGACATTAAATTGACCAGGGAATAATAGAGCCCCTCTCAGGCTAAATTAGGAAAAGTATTAAATCAGATAGTAATTATGCAAGTAAGAATTTAGAATATCACATTTGATCAAAAGAACGACCGAGTTTGGAGTTGATGAAGGGATCATAACCAAAACTCTAATAATGCCTCTGTTGGCTTCGACGTGTTATGTTCACTGATGAGCTTAGTTCCCTTTGTCAGTCAAAAAAGCATATATTGGCCCGCATATGCAGCACAGCAGCTTCAAATAAGTAAACTTTAACTTTGACATCGAAAATAGGGGCGGAGACAATTCTCAAGGATGAAAAAAGATATTTTGATTCTAGTTTTTTTTGTTTTGATTTTTATTATTGTAGTTGGAAAAATAGATTAAGTCTATGTTGATGGAAAGTGGTTTAATTAATTCTAGCTTCACAATGAAAGGAAAGTAGAAAAAAAAGAAAAAAAAGAAGGGCAGGGAAAGAATACCAAAACAATCTTTCTTCAGGTGGACAGATCAAAGAAGATGGAAGTTAGATAGATATTAGACCTGACAAGAGATTAGAAGGAGCAAGTTATGTAAAAAAATCCTATTTATGAAATGGTAATTATTAACCTTTCAATCGGATGATCGAGAACCACGAAGTGACATGAATTTTACTGCAATACTGATTCAATTATCACTGCCATGAAAGCCGCAATTAAGCGTCCCGCTCAGGAAGAAATCTCCAGAGTAAGCTTACTGTGTTTCAGAATAGCGTTGAATGGCTACCAAAACTCACAGAAGTTTTTTGGGCGAGTGGTATTATGTCAATTTTCTTCTTTAGTGTTAGTGAGACAATTTGAGTGTGTACTTATGATACATTAGCCTGACCGAAATGACAAGAATCAATTCAATATCTGTAGTCTACGGTATACATTAACATTTTTAATAAAATGTTGGTACCATACAAAAATCGTTGAAAATAACACCCTTCACTTGTGAAAAATTAGATCATTGCCATAAGACCCAGAAAATATACATATGACAAAATAAAACAAATGAATGTTTTCAATTCCACGGGCAATATTTAAGTATTAAACAACAGTTCAAGTATCAAGCTTACTTCTACTTCATGCACTCTTCTACTTCTGAGAGACGTGACAATTTTGATCGAAGAGAATATGGTAGCCTTTTGACAGCAGCTCGGTTGAACAAGAACAATACGCTGATCATTAGCTTCTTCGGTATCATATTCACTGCTAGTGGACAGACGTCTCTCAAACAGCTTTTTATCTAAAAACTCCACTTTTCCTGAAAATTCAGTTCACCTTAGAAGCAAAAAAAGACATGCGTATATTCTTAACTTAAAAAGCACCTGTCTGCTGATTTATTGAGTTTGTATGCGTATCAAAGTTATTCCTGCCGATTTTAAAATATCATATCGTATTAATTTTCTTCCGATGACCTGAACGTGTTCGTCACGAGGTGCTCATTCATTGAGTTTAAAATATCGGCTTTTATCACGTTTCTAGAACTTCACATTTGCATTTACGACTCTAACATATTCGAGACAACAGTTGTTGGTCGATGTAATTTTGTCTGTGCGGGTTTTAAGGGATCGTGTTACAGCGTGCTTTTTTCCTTTATAGGTGCAAACATGAAAATGATTCTCCACAGGAGAGTTTCTTTAACAATTTGGAAATGGCATCAACTAATTCATTTTACTCAGTCATTGTTTGCTTTCGATTCAAGTGTTAGCGTTTCTTTTTTAAATGATAGCATTTTCAAGGCTTAAAAAAGCATCACCATGTTTAAATGAAGCTCTGCAGGGAACTTGGATGTTGAAGATCGTAGGAATAAATCCATTTTTCTGTTTTTCTAAACAAATTTGGCTTCAAGTTCCTTTTTAAATCAGATGAAATTGATTTTTTTTATTTAAGTATGCGTACATAGGATGTCACCCAAAGGTTTACTCAGAGATAAATTAAATAATAGGCAACTTGTTTCAGTTTGTTTCTTCTTCCTTTCACTAAACTCTCGCAGTTATTAAGCTTTTGAGGACTGTGTCACCGGAACTCAGGCAAAGGACCAAACTAAGGCCTAATGGATGAATTCATGTCCTGAAGTTTTTTTTTAGGAAGCCACTGTTTGTGTTTCGTCGGCCGGCGCTTCGACTGTCTTTGACCCGCGCGCCGACAAAGCGCGAAATCAATTTAAAGCATGCTGAAAGTCTAAACCGCAACTGTTATGATTTTTTGCGAGTTTTACTGCTGGTGGCATGGAGACAAAACACATGAAGTTAGTATTTCCAACCAATAGAATTCAGCTTTGATAGGCAAGAATTATATTATTTACAACAATAAATATTCATAATGAGAGGCAGTGCAGAAGTGTTGGTACATTCGGTACTTCTTTATCATCAGAAAAACAAAACTGCCGGAGTACTCAAAGCATACACTGGTAAGCTAAGCTTTTGACCGATGTTAGTTGAAATTACTTTAAAAGTCTTTGAAATATTTCAAGTCTTTGATAGTCTCTACCAGACTCAACTGTTTTGTCACCTAGTATTTCCTTTCTGTGCACAATATCCCGTAAAAAAAACTCAGTTTAAGGAATTTTCCACGTTGTTTACGTTCGTGTCAAGTTTTACCTTTTCTCCAAGCTGACCTGCTCCTTCCACTTCACATTTCAAAGAAACATTTTAAGCTGAAGTAAAACGAAAGCATCATCTCAGCCGGTTTAATATCTTCGACGCTATCCAGATATTGTCATCGACAATTTTCCCGAAATTGTTAGTTTTTATTCAAATCTCATAAACCTTGTGTCACAAACTGAATATGCTTTTTAAAGGGAGTCCAATTTGTGGAAGGATAACAGGTGAATGAGGCTTTTTGTAGTGAGGAAGAGGTTCATGTGGGCAGGCTCATGAAGGTAATAGGCGGTATGTCAAAGCTGCCTACACTCATGCGATTGATGATCAGCGGAGATGCAAAGCTTAAAGCGTCCAACTTGAAAATTAATGAAAATTAACGAGAAGTCAGTCCCAGTGCAACTACTCAACTACTTATGCAAATACGGTCATGGCAGATTTACAAGTGTTTCCTATGTTTACAGCTCGTGCCTTAGGGTCGGCGTAAAATGACATTGCATATTTAATGCTCAAATTTAACACTGCAAAACTTTTATTATTCATAGCAATGAGCTGATCACAAAGAATCTTAGTCAGTCCAATCAATATCGATATTCAGCGAACAGACGACCAGGTCTTATATCAATAGACGAATGAGAAAAAAAAAGTGCTAGCGTAAATCGAGCTTAAGTGAAACCATCGGGCCTTTTGCTAATTAGCTGCATTTTCTCTCAGACAGAAATAAGTTTCATAAACCTTAATTTCGCCTTGAATGATATAATGGATAAAGATATGTCGGAAAGCAAGGAAAGAAAGTGTATTGCTTGCGTTTATTTACCCAAAAAAGTGATAATTAAATTTCCTTTTAACTTAACACAAACAAAACAAAGCGTGAACAAATAAGACCGGATCACCTCAAATGATCTTTACAGCTAGTTCGTCTTGGTTGCTTTGTTAACCTTGGCATGGTTTGACTAGTTGCTATGTTAACCATTGAGATCGCGCTGGGAAGTCAGTAGTTGAGGTAAAAGTATTGTTACTTATCTTTTGATCTTTTGCTTGAATCATGTTTAATATGATATGGCTCGTAGGTAGTGAAAGAAAGGGTGTTTGGTACAGTTATTCTTGAGCATTGAGCTTGAGGGTAAATTTCAGAACGCAAAAACAACAATAAAAGACATCCTGCTTGCTGGTTTAATATAAGAATACGAGCAATCCGCAAAATGCCGCTTGCAATACATGTTAAAATATCGAATAAGGAATTTATTATTCCGCCATTTACTCCATTTTCTCGTATTTTGGCTTCTAGTATTAGAAATACATACAACCGAGAATTTTCTTGAAATCGTATCGATTTGATAAAGTGCGCGCGGAAGACAAAAACAACGAGATCGAAGTTATCGAAGTGTCCTTTCTGAAACGAAAAAAAACATTTCGTCTATAATTTCTTCATTTAATAAAGTCGAGCCTTAAGAAGGTAAGCTTGGATCGTTTGGTTTGGCCATGTTGTTGCTCCGCTTTCTGTCCGTATTTTTTTGCCCTTTTCTGCAGTGTAATAACATGGCATATTCTGCACGTACTGTTGCCCTTTTATGGTAAAATGGCATAAAAGTGGAACAATAAACTACACAAGTGCAATTTCATGCATCAACCGCAAAATCGCGCTAAAAGCGATAATAGACAAAACAATCCAGTAGGTGCTTAAATAAGAGCAGATGGCAAGCTGGATAAATAAAAATAATACTCTCACAAATTTAATGGACGGGCAATAACACTTACAGGATGAAAGGGAAATAGAAAACAGCTCAAATATTCATACCTGGGAAAAAATTATTAGTAAGGGTTCTGTAGTAGTGACACGTGCATATACAGGTACCTAGGAGTTCGGTCATAAGAAGAATCAGTGCAATTAGGTCATGGAAGCTATTAACTTTTAGGAAAATGTATTTAGTTTGTGTTTTTACCTTACAGAAGTAAAGTTTAAGTAAAAAATGTCATATGTCACACTATACTTAACCTTGCCAATCATAGCTAGAGAACTTTATGTTTCAGTGTCATGAGATTTCAGTTTTTTTCCTTTTGAAAGAAGCGAAAAAAGAGAGAATCTCATCAGAGTGATATATTGTTTTATTTTTTAAGAAAATTGAGCACTTTTTTTTTTATTAAATCTGGGAAATGTGGTGATGCCTTAATTGAAAAGCTGAAGGTCATGGAGCCACAAAGTCTACAATTCCTTAAATGATCGGAGGGCAACAGACAGAATCCAAAAAAAAATTGACCTTATTAAGATTGAAACCCTGAAGGTAAGCAAACTAGATTCATATTTTCAGTTCGATCAGACAGGCAGTGAAAGTGGTATTTCGTTCTTGTCCTATAATTTCTCTTTGATTTTGTTGGGTAAAAGGAGGACTTTTCTGCTGAGAGCGTCAAGTAGAAACCGTTTTCTTGACCAAATTTTAAGAACGCATTCATCGCTTCCGAAAACCGCAAATAAAAATGAATGTTCCTAATACATGCATGTCTCCGTGTACTTTTAGCCATGATTCCTTAATAATATATCAAATGACACGTCAATATCACCACACTAAATGAAGGATCAGGTCACATGGCACATGGGTTAACCCTGGAAAGCCGGTGATGAATTATTCAAGATATTTTATCACAATAAGGTATCCACAGAGGAAACCTCACAATTCATACCCTGCAAAACATGATGCTTGCGTATTAAAGATCTTTAAACGATTTACATACTCCCTTTTATCTTGTTTTTCCTCTTGGCCAGAAAATGTCGTAGAAGGAGTTAATTAAGTTACTTGTCGAACCGGTTGACTTCAAAGAAAAACCGACCATACTTATTTTTACCTGAGTCCAAAGACTCAATTAAAATGTTGTAATTGTATGTTTCAACACTACGTACAAGCAAATTAACTCTTATCTTCATATATTCCATTTTCAAATTTAGCTCTTAATAGTGGTTTCATATCAATGCAGCCCTTTAGAAAGTTTGTTATAGTGTCATGTTACATATTCTTATAAGGGCCGTTCTTTCCCACCAGTGATTGATTAACACGCCGAGCTGAGAGGAACAAGAACTGTATCATTACAGGATTACGTGGTTTCTTCACTAACATGTCTAACGTTTCCTCATCGCCCAGCGAATTCAATTCAAGTTTGGTCGGGAATGCCTCAACCAATGGAACTGAACCTGAAAATGAATTCAAACTTCTGACTTCACCACTGATTATTTTGATGTCCTTCATGTGCCTGTTGATTGTTTCCGAAAATGGTCTCATAATCTTTTTAATGTGCAGAAAGAAGATATTGAGAACACTTACCAACATGTTTCTTACTTCGCTGGCGCTTTCAGATCTTACATCAGGTCTAGCGAGAATGCCTCTGCTCTTCATTTGCATGGAGATGGACGTCAGTATCATTGTCTGCGTGGCCTCTGCTGTGTTTAATCGATTCACAGCCATCTCCTCAGTTTGCCATGTCTTGCTCATCGCTGCAGATCGCTATATCTTTATTGTTCATGACATGAAGTACCGTGCTTTTGTAACAAAGAGACGAGCAGTGGTTGCCACTATTGCTGTGTGGCTGATTTCAATTCTAGCCTCTGTCGTTCAGTTGTCTTGGTATATTTTTCATGGATTAGAGATCGGTGATCGAAATGCCTTTATGGATGATCTAAACAAGCAGTACGGCCTTGCTTGCATCGTCCTGTTCTTTGCTGGTCCTTTTTTGTTGATATTTTATATCTATGGTCGTATTTTTTACATTTCCTATAAACTCAACCAAAATGACCGTAAGAGGATCAGAACTTATAATTATAAGCAGCCCAGTGGATCTCTGCGTCATGAGTGGAGGGGTCGTAGTGTGTTGTTGATCACGTTGATAATTTTTGGCGGCTGTTGGCTGCCTTACTTCTTCGGCGTATTACACGATCACATGAGTTCCTCAGAAGATTCTACCCTACCAATATGGTCTCAGCGTCTGCAAATTTGCCTTGGTTTTATTCCAATGATGTTAAACCCGATTTTGTGCACTTTGGCGAAAAAGGATTTTCGTCATGCACTCAAGGAGATTGTAATAGGTCGTAATTCTTTGCGTCATTTTAATCAAGATATTTCTCTACAGACAACCCGCGAGAGATTCAGAACCATAGATAGCGAATCTGAACGAAACTGACAGAAACAACATCTGTGGGTTTCACTCTCCGAGCAGTTTACTTAACTTTGACAGTTCTGATCAGAAACACTTACGAATATGACACCTTCATTGTCATTTGAAAGAAAAAGGGCGCAAACAATATTTCTTTTGTTTGCACAACGATAATCCTAGCACAAAACAGCATTTGAGAATCATTTTAAGTAGATATAATTATCCTCTGGAAATTGATATTGGTGCTGCTAATTTTTAGGCTGCCGATTCTGACGGGACGAAGAAAATTAAAACGATAACATATTTCAATTGACAGAAAGAAGAATTTCCATTGTCAGTCGAATACCAGACCTTAAGTATTACGTTCGGTGAGAGACTGATGACTCAGATCCTCTGACCACTGCATGAACTTCCTACGTGCCTGATAAGAATTGGCAAAATTCAGAAACGCATCGCTGATTAGAAAAAATGCGACTTTCTGGACACGTGGATTTATATATTGCCTACAATCATTTAGAAGATGATAACGATGTACACCAAGTTTCCTTTCCAGTGAAAAATTGTAAGTTAATCATGTTCACCAGGGCAATATATCACTCATATTACCAAGTACTATCACTTGGTAAAATTAAACTTCATCTGTTCACGGTTTTTGGCAATAAACCCTCAGTTTTAAAACTGTATAACAGGTTACCCATCTATTGTACGTTTTTTCAAGGTTACGTGGCGTATGAAATAATTTTTTTCCTTTTCTTCTGCCTTCTTCATTAATTTCTATTGTGTTTGGAAAGTGCGAACAACATGATAATTTAAGAGGGAGTGTGAACATAAGATCGATCAATTTGTGAGATATAAGATATCGTCCAGTGGCATTATTATACGAAGCATCCATTAGTTACTCACTAACTCTGCCCAGGTCATATGTGCTTGATTCTTATTCCGTACTTTACTTTTAGTTCGCTTTCAAACTGAGAATTCCCTATTGTCATTTATCCCCCCTTCCCCCCCCTCCCTCCATACAGCTTTGCTGGTTCTGGTGGCAAACAATAAAGATGGTGTTGTATGTTATGTAGAATGTCGTTTGATGGTGCTTTGGATTATGTTATAAATGAAGGATCAGAGGAGCACTTTACCCACGAGTTTAAACCGAAACATCGAAAAAAAATAAGAATATATATAGAATAATAATAATAATAATAATAATACTAATAATAATAATTATCGTACTTCATTTATATAGCGCCATTTCCAGCGATGTCCAATAGCGCTTAACAAAAATGTTCAAAATGTTACAGATATCACAAGTATTGATCATAATATTTAAAAATTACATTGCGCCGCAACGGCTAAAATATAAAACAACCAATTAATAAAAACTTAAAATATAAAGCTGAAATATCAAAGGGCTAATATTATATAAAAACGACTAAAATATAAAAGAACTAATTTAAAAACGCTTTCCTAAAAAGATAAGTCCTCAGTTTTTTCTTGAAATCGTTCAGACTTTCACAAGATCTTATTCCTAGTGGAATGTCATTCCACAACTGTGGTGACGCTACTGAAAAAGAACGAAAGCCATAGTTGCGCAGATTATATTTAACATCAAACAGGTGATGGCCATTAGCAAATCTTAAGTTGCGCCTAGGAATATACCTCGTAACGAGGTCAGACAAATATGAAGGCGCTATGCCATTTAGACGTTTAAAAGTCATCAAAAGAATTTTAGAAATTATGCGCTTTTCTTCAGGAAGCCAATGCCGTTCCTGTAATACCGGTGATATATGTTCATGTTTGGATGTAAGCGCAACCATTCTGGCAGCTGCATTTTGAACATGCTGAAGCCGCTTGATAGAAACCTTAACTTAGTAACGGAAGACACAGTGAGGATCCAATTCGTCCAATACCAACCGCTGTTATAGTGACGCTCTACTCGCTTTTAACTCCCATCTCACCATATCAATTCTTTGCTTTATCTAAAGGGGGTGAGTTTCGAAAGAAACTGTTGTGCTGTGCGAGTGGAGGTATTACAGGATACTTTGGTTTTATCAACTGATGATGTAAATTGGCCACCGTTAAGAGCTTCCAAAGCTATTTTTTCGAGCCAACGCCTGACAAAGGGCTGACGAAGGGTTGATAGAGGACTAACGAAGGGCTAACAGAAGGCTGACGAAGGGCTGACGAAGGGCTAACGAAGGGCTAACAAAGGGCTAACGAAGGGCTAAAGGAGGGCTGACGAAGGGCTGATGAAGGGCTAACGAAGGGCTAACAAAGGGCTGACAAAGGGCTAATGGAGGGCTAAGGAAGGGCTGACGAAGGGCTAACGAAGGGCTGACGAAGGGCTATAGAAGGGCTAACGAAGGGCTGACGAAGGGCTAACACTCCAAACGTCAGCTTTAGAAACTCTTCTCGGTGGCCAATCAACATTTTCCACTCATTTGATTAAACCAAATCATATCTGCATTATCTACCAGGCATTTCTTATAATTCTTAAACTGAGACTGATTTGTTGTTAAAACGAACACTATCTCTACCTTTTTTTCATCGCCCTTCTCGGAATTGTTAAAAAAAATTCTTCTTTGGTCAGTCTTGGGAGTGGAACAGTTACCCATAAAGCCTCGCGAAGAGAATATTACGTTTAAAATCTCTTAGCCTCATAAGTTAGTTTTTTGGTACTTGAATGAGTTGTATTTATAAGAAGCTATTTGCGATGGTTTTCTATGTACTAACGTGCTACAATCCGAAATCACCTACGACTGAGTTGCCTCAGTATCCAAGTTGCCGAAATTTCGTTGAATCGCGCTGGGAAATAGTGATTATTGATTTTGCATAAGTTCCATGGATGAAAACCGTGCAGTCTCAGGAGTAGGAGTAGGGTTGGTTGAAAAACTTTGGACCTATTACGGAAGACGAAACTGAGTTACTACTCAGGTGTTCCCCATATGGTGAACTATGTAGAGGAATCTGCGTACCTCTTGTTGTAGCCGTGGATTTGGTTGTTTCTTCTTTCATCTTTTCAAGTTTTCGAGAGAGAGAGAGTAGAGCTTTCGAAAGAGAACTTAAAGGGAGTTATTCGGTGCTGAACCAATGTCGTCAAATTTCATCATTTCATCAGATATTTTCATTATCCTATCTTTTTTAATTTCTTGCAAACCTGCAATCTTTTGTAATCTAGTTTGTAACTTGATCCTAAAACTAACTCGAAATAACTAAGGCGTGAAAGTTTCGTTGCGTTATACTGCACTGCGACAAAAGCAATCAGATCCAAAGATTATACTTTTATATTTCAGACGAGCTGTAATGATTAGCTATGATTCCACAATCGTCGACTACGTAACTTCCGTTTTGAGTTAAGTGTCATAAGTTCAATGAAATTAGAGAGAATGTCAGTTGTCCTCGGACGCAGTCGATTAAGATCAAAGTTACAAGATTTGAGGCAGAAAAATAAGAAAAATTCTACCGGAGAAAAGAGGTATGATTTCGCTTTCGTAATTTCTATTCGCATGTTTTCGGATTATGTTTGTTATCTTGGTTATTGCGTTAATTAATTCTAAATAGTATTATGGTGTACGCCCCATGTGTACGAGTGATCGCACAATAGCACATGCTATGTATAGTTTCTAACTGCTCCTAATAGCATGCTATGCCGTAAATTACCTTTTAGTTTTTACGTTTTCAAGAACCGTAATCAAGAATAAAGGATAATCAGTTAGATACAAAGATGAGTGCTTGAAATCAGTAAATCTCTACTTCCGATCAGATATGTTTACACCTTGAGAACCGAAACCCGCTACACAAGCTAAATATCTTAGACCTCCACATTAACATCCACCAACTTCTACCACAAGTACTACTAATTCATTCATCAGTGCAATAGGTCTGTCATGAATAACGTCCTGAAATTCAGAAGTATGTTATCTTTTTCAAGGTTAATTAAGTGCCATTAGTTCCACAAAGAGGATAGAAGGGAGGCTCCAAAGCCAAACATATATTCCTGTACAGTTTTCCTTAGATGTTGCATGAATAATTTGTTTGAACAAAAAAAAGTCGTTGGAACCTTAACACTGCCCCCACAGTTCGTAATCGATTTGTGGCAACGCACATGTAGGCAGTTACTCACTCAATGCTGCTTATTTGTACCTCTGCGGTCGTTCATGACTCATCCGTGGGTAGAATTTACATTACTGAGACCACCGATGTTGTCAGGTACAACCCGGCTGGTAGTCTGTTAACAACTGCAATTAGCCCGGTTTTCGGATTAAGAGTTTTGCTAAATTCTTCGCTTATAACTGCATTCTTTACAAAGTAAAAAAGGATAGCCTTAAAACCTGCCATTATAAATATATATCACATCAAAAGTAATGCCTTTACAGCAGTTTATATTTCGGCTCTTGAAGATATTTAGTTCGTCCATTCAATAACACAAACCACAGGCCGCTAAACATCACACATCAAATCTCATCGCAGAATCACAAACTAATCAGCACTTGTTCACAAAATAGTCGCACCGCAAGAACGCTGACTAAAATTAGATTTAAAAACTATCATTGGAATAGGGGTATGTATAGGGGATAAGTTCTCTCAGTTTATATCATCTTGTTTAAAGCCCTTCCAAATGTTCGCTGAAGTGATCGCTCGTTTTCTTTGTCTTGAAGAAGTTTTTCCGATTTGGACTATTATAGACGCCAGAACAGGTGGCTGTGTTCCTCACTTTCTTTGTGACAGGTGCACCTCAAGGCCGCAAGTCTGACGAATGTTTCATCTGATATAGTGCAGGAGACATTGCGGAGCAGCAGGCAAATAGGTGGTCATATTTATGAGATGTGATTCAATTTCTTGTGACAAATTTCTATGAACGCTTCAATTTCCTTTGGATTATTTTGCGAGACAGCGATTGTTTGTTATTTTTCCTTTGAAATTTTAATCTGAAAATTAGCGCGTGGGCTACCAAAATTGACCTATTCGCACATGCCTTATGTTTGACCGCTGTCTAGATGTGACCAGAGATATGATTACTTCAGTGTTTATCATAAAACGAATAGAATGGCTAGAAACTAGCGCTCCGTTGAAATGTTTCAAAACCGACAAACACAACTTCCGTGCAAACACAATTCGCCGTTTCCTTCACATAATGACGAAGAATCCTCGTGCCTTAATTGCTTCCTTTTCTTGGTTATCATCATCGTTAATAGACAAAAAAACTTTTAAACATTGCATCTTACTTGCCAATATCATTGTTTGTCTCTCGTAATTTGTTTCTTTCGCTCAGACTCTGGTAGCCAGCAGCGACACCATTTCGCAGGTTTTGCATCCACCAGACTCAGCGTCCTCAAAGGTTTTAGACTCAAGACTTGCCACTCTTGACTTCTCCACTACCTTCCTGTCAACAAATTACAAGGTTGGTGCAGCGAAGTGATGGAGATAGATTTTCGCCAATAAGTATTTAGCAGCTAGTCGTAAGATACATGAAATGATCAAAGTATTTCCCGTAATTTCTGGGCATTTTGATTTCAGTGCTGACCACGGACGTGCAGGTACCTACTAATTTTATTAGTCGTCGAAGGACATCCCCTCTCCCTGAAAACAAACTACGACGTTGGTGCTTAAATATACGAGCGTCATTGAAGTCTGGATGCAAACGCATTCAAAATGCATTTAAATTTATCGCTTATCAACTCCAAACGTGTTTCAAGACGTTGATTTGGTTTTACTGTAAAACTAGGCTAAATCCAAGTTGTCCAATAAAAAAAAACACGGGAGATTGCCGGCGAAGGTCTACGAAATTGTTTTGTTTTAGCCACCGAAGGCTCGTAAACTGTCTCTGATTTCGGTAGCAACGGATTTGCGATCGATATTAAGCATCATGGGCGAACTTAAGGGATATCTCGTGAGAAAACTTCGCGAAATTTCTCACGAAATTTTTAATGAAAAAAAGAAATTACAAGCTTGATTGTCGTTTGCTTTCATCAGGCTTCGATTCTAGTTTCATGATAGAAAATTCAACTTGGAACAAATATCCTATATTCAACCATCTCTTAAATAATTTGATTGTCTAAATCTTTTTTCTTATACAAGACGATTATCAAACATGAGACGGAGTGGCTCACACGTCTTGATTCTTTAAAAGATGTAAAGATAAAAAAGTTTGCCCGAGGGCGTCATCAGTGCATCACGGAATCTTAAGAAGGAGAGCAGATTTAAAATACCCGAACTGAAGCAACGACATGACAACCCACTAGTCAGGGATACATCAAAATTGAGTCTCATAGCCAACAAGAGAATTCGCGCCATTGCAAGTTCGCCCCCCTTCCACATAAATATTCATTTCCTGTCCTAATCATGATATTTTTGAGACCAACATGCAATTTTTACAGTGAAACCATAACAAGGTTCGATCAACCTGCAAATTCCTAGCCGTGTTAAAAACGCACGACAAAGGCACGAATAATGCAAAGCTCAGTACCACATTACTCCAGTCTTAACTTATCTAACGGGTTTGACACAATTTTGTGCCTTCGTTCGCAGAACATTTTTCAGAACTAATTATCTCGCCATATCTTTTAGCTTCGCGCTGACCAAACATTACATAAAATCACTCTTGGCAGACAATTTATTGTTGCACGTTTCTATCGACTTAGAAGCTCACGGGGAAAGCCTCTCGACTTAATTTGGTAAACAGTTTCATCTCTGTTCATCGGTTATAACTCTGGAAAAAACTTTTTCATAATTTTATCTTCGCACTTGTGTGTCCAGTGTTTCAGTGTGAATATTTAAATAAAAAACGTTGAATGATTTGGGGTTGAACTGGTAACGGTGGGGGCGACCTAGTTTTAAGTCAGTTACAACTAGAGACTTAGATGACAGGTTTTGAAGACCGTAGGAACATCGTTAATTTGGAATGTAAGCTCTCAAATTTTGTTGTCCAAATCCGATCAGTGTTTCGCTTGACAACAGTTCTCGATTTCCATACGGGGAATAGTTGCTGTCTGAAGCCAAAATGTATCTTCCAAGCCAAAACGAGTTCGAAATCATCAATCATATTCTCCTTAGAATCCTGTCAATGAACCTGTTCACTGAGTCAAACTTGGTAAGGCCAATTGGGGTATCATTGATTTGAATGAGACTGGCCGTCAAAGAGTGAGTTAAACGAATGAATGTATGAACCTACCACTTCATATTGCTACAGCAAAGGCCGGATATATCTGCATTTTAATTTTACAATATTAATATTTTACACTATTGAAGCTATATTTGATGAGGTAAGGCTCGAGCGAATTCAATTGTTCCACCTTTTCATTTTCAGTGAATGACTTCGATATGTCCTTTATTACACGATAAAGTAATTTTCACGATACATGTTGAATTTCATTTCGTACTGGCAATTTTTAGCCTAATTTCTGTCCATGCAGTTGCATGATTTATTCTGCCTAAAGATAGGAGAGAACAAGACAATAAACCAGTTTTAGTCAACGATATCTGATACTTTGGGAACATACTATTATGAAAAGATATAAGGGTTATACGATTCTTAATGTTATATCGAATTTGGTCAAGTAAAATCTTAGATGCCGCCATGCAGTTAGTTGCAGAAGACTTCAATTGACTTATTTAATTCATTTTTGTCGAGCGTGAGAAATCTTTCCGCTTCACAGCCGGCGCCTCAAGCGTTCACTCAACTTAGTGAAATGCTTCCGACTTCTTCAAATAAGGATCTTCTTTCGATGTTGATGTATCAAGCGTCCCTTTAGTCACTATAGAGTGCATGATCCCCAAAAAGTTATGTTGTTCCATAGGAAAATAATAAATTATAATATTATAAATGATAATCAAAACAAAGACAAGAAAATCTCGGGGAAAACGCGCGTGGGGGGAAGTTTCTGCTCTTACGATGCCTTTTCAAGTGATGTGATTGACAGAATGGTAAATCCTAATGGATGCTTTCCGCTCCGGATATTTCATGGCGACTAAGATGGCACCTATAACACAATTGACTCCACTCAGTAAAATATGTCCATTTTATTTCGCACAAATTTAAATTGAACTTTATTCTTTGTCTTCACTTCACCAATGCGTTATCCTTGGAAAGTAAAGTACGAGTGACCGTAGTGAGGAAATAATCTCAAGTTCATTATTTGCCAAGGATGGGATTTGTATTTATGCAATGCGCATGTTCTTAACTTTAATTTCTAATTCGCTAATTTCTCCTTTCGCAGATTGCTGCTTAGAAAGCGTTTCCTTTTAATATAACTTTCCATTCGCCTTGACATTAATTGATAAAAGTCACGTATCAGCTATTTCCAAAAATAGACGAATCTGCTCACCCAAATAATTTAAAACGCAGAACGGAGTCCACGGATTTTTCATCTTCCAAGCAATGGAAGCGTTTAGTGTGCGTAACTCAAGCTGCAAAGTCAATGATTCACGAAATGAATCTTCTGAAACTGAATATGAAGAAACTTTTTTCCCTTGGCCACTGACTGTGATATTGTCCTCCATGTGCCTGCTGATTAGTGCGGTAAATGGTTTGGTGATCATCTTAATTCACAAAAAGAAGACGCTGAGAACACCTACTAACATGTTTCTTGCTTCTTTGGCCACGTCTGATTTGTTATCTGGTCTGGTGGGAATTCCTCTCGCTCTTATATGTTTAACAAGAGATTTTCTCATTGTTTGTGTGCTGTCTACAATCTTCATTCGATTTACAGCCATTTCTTCGGTATGTAATGTTCTGCTTATCGCTTGTGACCATTACATTTTCATTATTCATCAAATGAGGTATCATTCTCTTGTATCAAATCGCAGAGGAATTGCTGCCATTGTGGCTGTATGGCTGATTGCATTTGGAGCCTCAACTATTCAAATGTCTTGGCACAGTTTTGATGAGGAAACATTGACAACAATTGACGACGAAACAGAAAGCATTGATATCAAATACAGTCTGGCTTGTATAGCGTTTTTCTTTGCATTTCCTCTGATACTGATGTGCTATATCTATGGAAACATATTTTATATTTCATTTATGCGTCATCAAACAGATCGCAAATTGAACAAGGATCTCCGGCAGCGTTTTCGACCACAACGTCACGAGTGGCGAGGACGTAGTGTTTTATTAATAACATTAATAATCTTCGCTGGCTGTTGGTCGCCGTACTTCCTAACAGTGCTTGATGAACATACGGAATCAATCGATTTTCAACTGCCACTCTGGGTGCAGCGCCTGCTTGTGTTTCTCAACTTCGTGCCTGCCATGTTCAATCCCATCCTGTGTACATTGGCCAAAAAGGATTTTCGAAAAGCATTGAAAGAAGTTGTTTTGCGAAGAGAATCTTCATATCTAAGTGATGCAAACGTCAATGTTCACGCTGCCAGCCAGCGAATAGCTAAAAAGCGTGGGTAAATGCAGAGTGCCATATGTATTGTCGAGAGGCTTAACGTTTTGTGTATAACGAAAACCATGGAGTGCTTAGAGGGTGCAATTCTTTAACTAGATAAAGATTCAATCACGTGCAGCAGTAGAGAAACTTCAATGAGGTGAAGAAACAGCTTTTACAGACGAGTATGGCGTTTGATCATTTTGGCTTTGGTCCCACATAGTGGTCCAAAGGAGAGCGATCCCTTTAAAAAATCTTGGCCTATGAAAAGGATTTTGTACCATACTCCAATACAAAGAATTCGCTTCAAGAGAAAAATCGCATTCGTAAATATAATGACACTGCTTCGCTTAGTTTGAATAATTACTTGTCATTTTCGCCATAAGAATCTTAATCAAAACCGTAATAGTGTTGCCACATGGCTTTCTTACTTGCGGCTTTTAAAAACCTTCGAAGTGAAAAAACCCAAGCACTCCCATTAAGTCAGTATTTCGTCTTCTAAGATGAAAAATCAGTGATTATGAAGCCGAGAATACTTGGACAATGACTTTTCTCTAATATCAAAAAGTTAGAAAGCTATCAATATACTTTGTACAGGGTCGTGCTCTGTTCCTCTCTCTAAAAAAAAAAAAAAAAAAGGACATTACACAGAATTTTGAATAGTGAGCAAAAAAGGGCATATTCAAATTTTAAACAAGAGAACCTGGAAAGAGAATAAGGAATGAAACATTATTATCATTTCAGGAAATGAGCCATCTTATTTTACAAATAGATTGAATTTTTCACAGGGTAAGTGGAAAGATTATCTTTGTTATTCACTTTAATTGAAACTATCGTGAGGTTTCCTCAGCCGGACCGGCTGATTAATTTAGGCCTGACAATGACACAAACAGAAGGCGTAAAAGTCTTTGTTGTATCTCAGAGCCATTGTCGGTAAAGTATACCTATTTGGACAGGTGCGTTAACCTTTCGTTAGACTACTGATGAAATACGTTGAATTGTAACATTGGTATGAAAGGCAAAGGCGTGGTTATGGCTCGGGTGGATGAAATGAGTGTTTGAATACAATTGTATGAGTGTAAGAAAGAATAAGAAAAAAGGGAAAAAAGCTTTTTCAATTTCAATGTATTCTATAGATTTTCATAGTAGTCTTTGAAGTAATAAATTACATCACTTTTAGAAAAATTATTCTTGACGTCTATGAATCGCGGTGAATCAAAGACGTCAAGAGCAATTTTTTGAAAAGCGCAGTGTTTGATTTCATCAGATATTACTCTGAAAATCCAGAGAGTGCAATGAAATAGAGACGATTTGCCATTTAGACTTATGAAGAAGACACTAGCCTACATCCGGTCCTCTCTCTTCTCGAAAATGGCCACAACATGACACACTTTGTATCTCATAAGGGAAGCTTTTGTCAATATTTAAAGGTTAAGACATTTTCCGTGACGGATGTTTGTTTAGAAAAAGATGAGGTAAAAAAAAGTTTGACACTAAAGGAAGGGTATCCCATGGGCTTCCATAACACAAAGCAGCTTCAATACGTGAATAATAAATGAATAATTTTATATTTGATTTGCTAAGAGTTAGGAGTGTAGAGAAATCGAAAAATACAAAGATACGTGATACGTGAATAATAAATGAATAATTTTATATTTGATTTGCTAAGAGTTAGGAGTGAAGAGAAATCGAAAAATACAAAGATATAAAAAGGCACCTGTCATCTACCATTGATGCTTGGAGATGAAACAGAATATTCGTTAGGCCTTAATATAAACAGTGTTAAAACAGAAGAGATCAGATAAAGAGCTTTATCCCCGAGACATGCATGGCACGTGTAATGCATGGGACACTGGGGAAAATTGCTTTATTTCTTCAAAAAGAGTTGCTACCTTTTCTTTTTGGGTGGAAGTTTTAATCCTATTCACTAGAGAGCATGAAATTCTATTGTAGATGAGTACAGCCGATTAGTATTACTGGTATCCAGTTGAACGTGGCGGGAGGTTGGGGGGGGGAGTGTGACACTAATACGGATCATTAAAAAGTGATACAGCAGCAACAATTTTTTCATCATTTTTTTAAAAATCTGTTTCGTTGATTACGTCCACAGTAGCTTAGAGAGGGATATTAACTCTATAATTTAGCTATCAAAATACCTCCAAAAGAAAAAAATATAAATCTATATTAAATGAATAAGATAAGTATAAAGGTAACAGAAAAATGATAATGATATAAAACTTAAGAAACCCAGGTTTATTTTGATTGTACTCTTAGAGAAACACAGTTTGTTAAAAGAAACACCACTAAGAGAATGGAAGTAACTAAATAGGCCATGTGCACAAAGGCAAAGCTTCCAAAGCCAAAGAGGGGCCGTGGAAGAACAAACAATGCAAGTTAGAAATCAAAGCAAAAATGTGGCATGGGAATATTAAAACTTACCATGAATAGGGAGAATTGGCTTGTATTCGGCTTAAAAGAGTTGTTGATTGGTGACAGATTGGTAAAACTTGGTCAGAGCAGTACCGACCCAATTTCCAATGCACTCGCCGGGCAGGTCAGATCATCGGCTAAAATGAAGTATGACAAGCAATTTTCCACAGGAGAGGGGTGAAAGGCGCACAAATCCCAAGGGATGGGTGGTCGGACATTGATTGTCGCGTAGAAGTTGTTCGGAGATAAATGAAGTTAAAAGTCTGTCATTTTATCGTGAGTAAATCAAATTCATATCAATATACGAACGTCATTCAAATTCAAACTAAGCTAAGGTATTCTAATATTTCATTTTGTTTACTCTCCCCACCGAATTCAATCAAACATACATAATGCTCGCACATACACAACAGGACTGTCTACATGTTTTTTAATACTCTTTTGTTGAAGGTGAAAAGGTCATCTGATGATCTAGTGATTCTGGGTGTAGCAGTGTACGTCATGATAGGTTTATATGGATAACACTTCATCGCCACTTAAATCCAAGTATCTCTTTCAAATTCGTCGCTAGTTTTAAAGGCTTAAGTAAATAAATGAGTTGTTTGACCTTCGAACGACCTTCTCAAATTAAAGTAGTTGCTTGTTCCGTGCTGTTCAACGTTAATTTTGTTGCATAAAGTTGTGCCCGTACACTAAGCTATCTTGTGCATGAACAGCAGCACTTAAGATATCAAAGCAGTCAGAAATTCTTAATTTAGTCGTCACTTAAAATAGACTTGTTTGTCAAACGTTTTGTCACGACAATCAAATGTTTCTAAACGTGGAAACCGGCGCATGCACTGATTAGTGATGTACAGAGCCAAAGGATGTATTTTGTGGGTTTTCTAAACTCGCTCAATATCAGAGATGATCTAGATCACGATTTGGGTGGTTGTCTCGCAAAACAAACCAAAACATTTCCACTTTAGGTTTGGTATATGCCATGCGTTTCAACCCTATCTATCGTTACTTGTTTACATAACTTAATTGTAACATTGGCTCTTTTAAGTGTCAGCACCAAAACCAACTCTTAATGAATAAAATCATATACTATATTTCCCATAACTAACAGACGGTCGAACACCTTAAATCTCACCCAGGATAGGTCGACGTTTCAATGCAAAGCTACTTATAGTCTCAGACACAATTAATAGCACAAAATTCTGTGTGTCTGATGATTAACGATGTCATTCGCTCCAGTTCCACGAAACTGAACGTTTGGCGAGTTTTTCTTTCTTGTCATGTATATGAACGTTATGCGCAAGTAATTCAGGATGATTAGTTACCTGTGACCCTTCGAAACAACGAGCCATCGTGGAATTAAGACTGCCGAAGCGCTCACTTTTAACGATGACATTACATTTTCATCAATAAACTGAGGCATTTGTTCGAACTACTCCTTTAAGTAGAATGTTTACAAATAAGGAAAATATTTGCTTCGAGTCCAACCTATGATGACTTTGCATATTAATAACTTACAATTTCCTCTAGCCTTGTTTTTTCCGTTACCATAACAAAAACATGCCTTCATTCGACAGTGTCTAACGTAAGAAATATAAATACAAAATTTTTCTTTCTAGCGAGACAGACATGATATTATTAATACAAAAAAGAATCTATTGAATTAGAAAGTCTGATTTATTCGTTCATAAATCATGGCTGGCAAGATGCCTCTTTACGAGCTGACATTAGTATAACGAGGTTTCCCATTTGATATTTTCTAACAGTGAGAGTAATGAACTTAAATCCATTCTGCCGATTTTTTTAAAATCAAATATCCGTTGTCAGAATAACCACATAAATTGTTGCATTTTATTGGTTGTTTTGTCAACACGTCTTCCCATGTTATAGAATTTCTGCCTTGTCACTGTGACGTGTGTCACGACGAACATACGTAACTGTCATAAAATCGCGTGTTGTTAATATATGCAAATTTGGCTAGGTGACTATAAAAGTTTACATTTCTGTATCTCGGTTTCTTATTGCTTCGACGGTTTTTAAAATGTTAAGACCGCTCATTTTCCTGTTGCTAGTAACGGCTGTTTACTCGCAGCTCAAATGGCGCTTGCTCTCAGCGACCAATGACTCAGACCCGTTTCCTAAGCCTCGGAGAGATTCGTCGATCGGATTTGACCGAAAAAAAAATCGCTTGATTATTTTCGGTGGCAGAGCGGGTCAGGACAACTTTGCAGATACCTGGAGCTTTGATTTAAGTTCTAACGAATGGAAAGAATTAATACCGAGCAGCGACGACTCCATCCCTGAGAAACGTTTCAGTATGGTGTACGGCGCTGAGAATGGACGAGGCGCTTTTTACATATCTACCGGTGAATATTCGGGAGAAGGTGATTCTTCGAAACGCCGCTTCTTCAATGATATTGCAAAGTTTGATTTTGACACAGGAAAGTGGACAAGGCTCAGTGATAACTCTAACATAAAACCCCAAATGCGATACGGATCTGCTGGAGGAATATTTGACGACGGCAAAGGAGTCAACGGATTTTACATCACGCATGGTTTCTCAGGCACTCGATACTCCAACACTCTGAAATTTGACTTGGAAAAAAACCAATGGGAGGAGAAATTTTCCGGCTCAAATAATTACAATCCAAATTATCCACATGCAAGATGCTTACACACAGGAACACTGACGAAGCCTGATGAGCTAGTAATGTATGGAGGTTGTTTGGGGTAAGTTATGAAAAGTGTAATTGTAGTTTTAAAAATAAACAGAGGATAGTGTACCGCTGAGAAAATGTATTAACATCGAAGTTCAACTGATTAAGAGTTTGGAAATGGAATATTTATATATGTCTCTTTAACACTATGCTAATTGGGTGACGCTGGTTTACCAGGATGAGCCCTGCTTCGTTTGGGTCGGTAGGATTCGGCAAATGCTTTTCAAGACCTGTTGTTTTCATTTATGGAATCTATGCATGGAAAAGAAAAGTACACTCATTGGCCACTCCTTTCCGTTGTCAGTACTCTCAATTGATTAAAGAAGGGCTTAGTTGAAACAATGAGACACAGGCTTGTAACATGCAAGACTTTTAGAGTTATTCCAAACAAAGGAAGACAGCGTGAAAACTATTTTCGTAAATTTTTAGCGTTGTTCTCTGAAGCTCAGCTGTTATACACAAATACACAAATTTGAAATGCAAAGTACTTTCATGGACTTAACAAACCTTGGCAGAGTCTCAAGCTTACTTCTAAATAAAGAAGTGAAAGCATTCCCTGTTCAAAAAAAATAAGCAAAAGTTGTTTTCTTTTTAAACGATCACACAGAGTGCGAACAAATTCTTAGCCGTGTTAGTGTTGCGTGCATGACGTCATTTTTGTCGTCCATACTTCATTGACTTGTCAATTGGCTACGGGCCTATGAGGTGCGAGAATTTAATTTCTTAAAAAAAAAATGCATGCGTTAAATATGTATTCCCTGTACATTAGGGAAAATAAGGCCTGAGTGAACAATACTCATGGTTATTGCAGAAATTTTTTTGTCCTCGATGACTACATTTCCTTCGTTGAATTCCTCTTAAACTTTTTACACTCTCATTTTGGCGATAAAAGTTATTTTCTTTTTTACGACTAATTTGATTTTCCTTCAGAGGTGGGATGACAGGTGGCTCATGTCCTTCCAAAGATAACTGGAAATTCGATGCAACCAAAACAGAGTGGACTCGCTTGGAGGAATGTTCAACGCCTCGAATGTACTCCGCAATGGCCATGTTACCACCACTGAATGGTAGTGAACGTAGAGCTGTGTTGTACGCTGGACAGGAAACAAGCAAATCTGTGTTGGTGGTATGTAAATATCAAACTTAAATAGTTGCATTTTTACTTTTTTTATTTCAGTTATCTTTTTCTCATTTTTTTTGTTGCAATTAAGTTATTCACTAGTGTATGTTTTTTTTCCGCAAAGGGGAGAGTTAATGACGATTTAAGGGCCACAGTTAAAGTGAAATTATCTGTATTCATAGTTGAATTAGGTTTTGCATTCTAAGACTGTAATTCTGCTTTCCTAACAATAAAAAACTGCTCATATTCGCCATTCTATTTAGTTATAACTAGTTTTGGTAAGTCCTCTGACTGAGTGATCTTAATGATAGAGTATTTTCCTTTTCCATTACATGTAGACGTCACGTTACGAGGCAAATGAGATTGCTGTCTTTAATCCTGATACAAATAAGTGGGAAAGAAAAACAGTGGAGGTATGTAAATCTATCAAATGAATTTGAAGTAAGACCCTCGAAGAGCCGGTCTTCCCCTACAAACCAGTGACATTTGCGTCGCTGCATAATGAAGTATGGTGTATTTTTAACATGAACAGTTTCCCTACATGTATGTCCTGCACAGGGTTCTCAACTGGTCTTAAGGGTCCATACCTGTATGATTGTGGAGTGTGACTTTAATTTTGGTATACCGTATGGAGAAGGAGATTAAATAATTTGTCAGTTTTTGCAGGCCGAATGTTGTCATAATATTCATGAAATATTATGGAGAATATGGCAATTTTTCCTGAAATATATATCTATCCAAGTCTTATCCCTTTACTTTTTCTTTGAAAAGAGACACCTTCCTAAAGCACTCGTCCTTTCATTAAAGACCGATCTTAATGTTGCTCTCCATTTCTCCTTCTTCCGTCCTCCCATGGAATGAGTTGTAGAATACGAATTATGGTGATTCTGCTTCGGCAGAACCTCTCAACCAAAAAAAAATTAACCTAGGGAAGAGGGAAAAACCTTGTTTCTAACGGCCAGCATAAGTTACCTTGGACAGGGAGTACTTTTTCTGCAACAATTTCGATAATTGTGAACTATATGCAATTTTGCAGGGTACTCCACCGGCAAGAAGAGTTGGTCATGTGATGACGACGACTGATAGCGGGATTGTGTTGTTTGGCGGTTCGGGATCCGAGTAAGAAATTGATTTATCTGGATTAATTTTCGATGCAATTTTTATAGTCTGCTCTCTTCTTTCCGATAAAATAATTTCCAGAGAAAGTCAGTAAGTATTTTTTAAACCATTTTAGTGTATTTTGAAAACCTCTTTCCACCTCGTACCATCTTGCTCTTTTCATCGTTCTTCAATCTTTCTTCATTTTGTTTACCGTCTGTTCACTAAAGAACGAGTTATTTTTTATCTCTTTTGGAGTTTTTCTCACGGAGTTTATATCCAATAATTAGCAAGATAATGGTGCAAATGTAGAGCAAACTGGGGTTAGTCACGAAGAGGTAACCTCTCTCACTTAAATGTTACAAGGGCTTTGAATTGTACTCTTTACTTAGGTCTGTAGTGTTTTCGTTCCACTGCAAGTTCGCTTCCTACCACCTTTACTTTGCTCCATAAAGTAACAGAAGTTCGCCCCCATCTTTACCAGTTCGCCCCGATAAGTTTCTATTCGATTCCTTAGCTCAGAAGGTATTAATTTTTTCAAAACGTGATACGTTTCCACCAACATACGTTTTAACAGCGAAACCAGAACGAAGGTCGATCAACACGCAAATTTGTGGCTGTGTTAAACCAATGCACCATTAGAAACGAGTTGAATGATTTGGGGGCGAACTGGCAAAGGTGGGTGGGAAATCCTTTTACATCAGGGAGCAAACTCGCAAAGGTGGTTGGGAGGCGAACTTGCAATGAGGCGAAATCTCCAGTTACCCTTATATACAGTCATTAACTGTTAAATTTTTTCTTTAGCGGTGATGGTTTATTAAACGACATCTGGCTTTTAGAGGGAACAGCAGCTGAAGCTGATAAAAACCCATCTGCTGGTGGATGTGGCTCGTCAGATTTCAATCTGGTAGCGCTACATGGTATTTTCATGTTCATTGGTTGGGGAGTGCTTCTTCAAGCCGGAGCCTTCATTGCACGTTACTTTAGGCACAAGGACCCATGGTGGTTTAAGATGCATCGCGGTCTTCAGGTAAACTACAAAAAGCAAAAAAATTCTTGCCAGACAAGATTTGGAGAATGTCTGAGGAAAAGGGAGTGCTCTTAGCCCTAAGCTCACTCATGACAGGATTTTCCTCGACTTAAGCTGTTCCCATGATCCCTTACCCTCTTGGTCCTCTTTCAGAGCACAATATAGGTCGTCAGTGCAAATTTAATACAAAGGAGTTGTTTTTCTCTGATTTTGAATCCAATCAGACTTAAAAATAACACAAATATATCCTTATATATTTCAGGTGACAGGTTTGGTGTTGACGATTGCTGGCCTTATTTGCGCTTTTATATCAGTTCCATTTGATCATCTGAAGTTCGCTCATGGAGCACTGGGTATAATTATTATGATTATTGGAGTGGGACAACCTTTAAATGCCGCTGTGTAAGTATCTTTGAACGAGCAGTAGGTCATAAATGAAAATATTACAAATGGTGACTTTGCTCGTCATTGAGCAAAATTACAAACAGCTTTAAACTGTCAAGGCAACAAAGACCGAACGAAGCACTATGCCTTACCTTCAATTCGCAAGTCCCAAGTAATTAACAATTACTCACCAAAGTGAAGGTGAATATTATTCGCCATTCACCTCCGCACTAGCCAGTCAGCGCGTGCGAAAAGCGATATTTACTTCTGTGGTATACACTTATGTCTGATAGCACTCGTTTGGAATAAGTATTGGAAACGGGAGGGTGATTATTTCTCTTGAGAAGCACAAACAAAAATTTAGAAGAATATTTATTTTATGACATGTTTCTTTCAGGCGTCCTCACAAACATCCTGATGGCTCGAGGTCGACTGGCAGAGTCATTTGGGAATTAGTCCACAAAAATATCGGTCGTCTTGGTCTCATTCTGGCCCTCATCAACATCTCTCTGGGCCTCCTTCTGGCCGTGGCCCCTGTTGCAGCATGGGCCGTTTGGTTCGCTCTCCTGGGGACCTTTGTAATTGCGTACCTTGTCATGGAGTTCCGTCTAAGGATGAGTCAGAGGACTTCCAAGACTGTGGCCATGCCAATGAAGTAGATCTTCACAACAATGAAGAGGGGGGAACACATCAAAGACAGAAAAAAGGAAAGCAACGCGACAACCTAATCAGCTTAAGTATTTTACCGGAAGCATTTTAAGACGACGCAATTTCGTGCTTAGTTGAGAAAAGACTCAAACTGACTTGCAACTGACGAATAATTTAGGACCGGTTATTATTTGTTGCCTGGGGGTAGGGGTTAGGGGGTAAGGGGTAGGGGGTAGGAGGTAGGGGGTAGGGGGTAGTGGGTAGGGGGTAGAGGGTAAGGGGTAGGGGGTAAGGGGTAGGGGGTAAGGGGTAGGGGGTAGGCAGCAAGGGGTAGGGGGTAGGGGGTAGGGGGTAGGGGGTAGGCTCTGCAATAATCTTATGACCCCCCCCCCCCCCCATATTCATCCCTTTACATTCTGTTGACGACGATTAATTCCCCCTTCCGATACCCCCTGAAAACCATGATCCCCCTCAAAATCATCCACCCCACTCCCCTCAGACAATAAAAGAATGACTGGTCTCCTAGTATTTTAAGACGATGCAATCTCGGAATCATTTGTGAAGAGATTGAAGCTTACTTGCAGCTGACGTATCATTCAACTGAATAATTCCTTTAACACAAACGTTAAAAAGGATGTTGTACAATATAATTTGAAATGTAAATGTAATTTCATACATTACGTTAATCATCAACTCATTTGTAGGGTGGATATATCATAGAGGATTTCTTTATTGTGGTCATGCGCTGTTGATCATTTTGATACTGCATGTTATTTGTGCACTAGTAATTATTTTACGATCAACAGCATTTAGAATCATACTTGATAACCGAAGTACATCCAATCATTCAACCAAATGTGCCAAATGTGTTTTACAAGAAATCTCAATTACAAAAAAACATATTTAATTTTTCACACCACAATTAAAATTTTGTATCTTCCTATAAATTTGCCTGTTTGCCGAGGATATGGCCAATTTAACGCAAATTGAATGAAAACGATGTGAAAATAAAAGGACTGCGACTAATTTGTACTTGAGTCTATATCATAAGTGTGAAGAATGTCCGCATTAATGGCGCACCTCATGGAAACCATTCCAAAGTTATCCGACAAGTGAGGTTTGTTGCTTCACTCGTCTTTACCGGTTACAGCCACATCACCGAGTCACCTAATCACAGTAATGCGCATGACGAGAGCCTTCCTTTTTTCTCGTCAGCAATTATCCCTCTTCACCAGTATGCATATTCTCCATATAGTTCTCGGTACATTTCCAATGATGCTGATAAGGAGAATTTGTTTATCAATCGGGAGCCTTTCGAGTTTGCGATCATTCCTTCTATTCTCGTGACCTTAATGTGCGCTTCAGGGGTGATATTGTAAGAAGTTAGCATCTAGACACACTTAGAAGAAACCAAAGATCGTTCACACTTGTAATTTAATTTAAACCTTTAAACAATCTTAATTGCTACAGAAATAAATAACGATACTTGAAATAATTAATTACTAACAATAAATAGAAATAAATAGAAATAAATATCACTAACCAACGCTCACTCACGCAAGTGGAAATGTCGAATGATAATAATCAATAAATTACGGTTAATACTCAATGAACTCTGAGTTCTTCATAACTTTTAAAATTTAAAAACTAGTTTAACCCAAAATAGGCGCTCATTCTTCTACAACCTACGTGCAAATAAATGACATCAACTTTTGCAATGTATAAAACTTACCACTTATCCTAGAAATTCAGCAACTATTTTTTTATTATTTTGTAATATTTCTGAAAATGAACTCTGCACAAAGCTTCTTCTGAACCTTTCATAGCAAAAAGTCTATTTTTTTAAATATTAGACTACTCTATACATCTTAAAAACTATCAGAACGAAGTCAAATTGAATTCTTAGCGGACATTTTAAACACTTCTGGTAATATATTACAATAAGAATAAGAAATTATTTTTAGAATATTGAAAATTCGAGTACGTTGCATCTCTTGCAAGTATATTCAGATATAACATCAATCACACGAAAAGTCAATCACTACCTTCATTTACAAAATTCGTTCGAAAACAGAAAGTGAGAAAAACAACTCATTTGCCTCATAATTCAACGCGTTTTAGGCAATGACAATAGTTTATAGAAGTTTACAACCCCAACAATAAAATACAATTCACGTGTTTTTTTTTTTTAACCTTGAGTGAGGGATCTATTAAAACTGGAATGGGTGTTTTTCCATCAAAAGGCACATAAATCCGAAAAAAAGGAAAAAAAATAAATACAGTTTTGGTCGAAGGAGTCTAGATGTACTGCACAGGAGGTTAATTATTTCATGCAGTTTCCTCTAAGTTTAGACTTTTTTGGTTGGGTTTTTCCTTTTTTGTTTTCGATTACACTGTGATGCAGGTTAAACGCTTACTTAAATACAAATGCCTCGAAACATTTACTTTCAGGAAATGTCTTTTCATTTTCTCTCCGCATTTCTTTCACACCTGGAAAGAGAAAAGAGTCGTCCGCAACTTTGATAAAAAAACAAAGTAGAAAAAAAGTCTCGAAACTGTTGGGAAATAGGCTTTTTCATTCTTTAGACATACACGAGATACAACAAAGGTATCATTCCAAGTTGAAAACGAGAAAAGTGCTTTGGGTTGGAGCATCAATTCAAATAAAGTTTTGCAATGGTGACAAGATGAAGGCACTGTGGTGATTACGTCAGAACTTACCTTAGAGATTTGCGTCTTTCTTTCTCGAACTGTGTTTCAGGTGCTTCACATTCATACGACATCAAAGCTAAATCTAAATATAAAAATTTTAACACTGATCAGGGACATCAAGTTAAAACAAATAATTGAAAGAAAACTTCCGAAACCTCATCTACTGCCAACAACAACAGACGAGGCCGCTCACAGTGTAAGGTGAGGGGATGATTTTCAAAAAGTCAAATTGCCACATACAAACAGCGTTGGCGATGCATTGGATGCACCAAATCAAAAAAACGATCAGTAACCAAAGACCTAGACACGACAAAACATCGCATTCACGATTCTGTTGTGAGCACACTTGACTAGTGACAGGATCAACAACTAATTTGCAAATAAATGTGTAGCAGCCAGAGGGGAGAATGAACAATCAGACCTTCGGACTTAAAGGGATAAGAGAATACGAAAGATAGTTGATCTCTCTCCCAAACAACCAGCTGAAAAACAGGTAGATTTGTTTGTAACTTACTCTTTTCAGACAACACTGGGACAGTCATCAAGTAATTCAAAACGGCCCTGCTGCGGTCATATTTACACTGAGAATATAGAAAAAATATACGAATAAACTAATTTCTATCATCTCTATGGCTTCACAGTTATAGTTCCATTAATTACTTTTGCAAGAGAGTCATATCTCTGACAATGAATGTTCAAATTAATTATAGAGTGATTCAAGAGAAATAAATTGATGAATAGGAGGAGAGGGAAGAAAAAGGGAACAAAGAGAAGAAAAGCGAAAAGTGACACAGGGAGAGGAATTCATAGAAAAAAAAGAAAGAAAGAAAGAAAGAAAGAAAAGTGACTTACAGCTGCCTCCTTCCATGTTACAAAATTTGTTATCAGTTTCGATAGCTGCCAGAATTTCTGCAAAACCAGAAAGCAAAATTAAATATAAGGAAAAACTTACAACCGTGATAACCACGAGCGGGACTGGGGAGAGTAGCAAACGACAGAAATGACGACAGTATAGAGGTTAAAATCTTTAGCTATTGACTTTGATATACATGTAAGCAAACTTCAAAGTTGATCTTCCCACCGACTGTCTTCACCCTTTGTACGTTACAGTGAAAGGAAAAAGTACTGAATATATAATCTGTGAGTAACTTTTTATCGATTAGGAGGCTTTATGGAAAGTAGGTAGGTGAGAAATGGATACAAATGATGTCTCTACCTCGAAATTTATGTGCCCATTTGGAAGTCTGCGAAGGAATATTGAAAGAAAAGCACCATTAACTATTCAGTTGTGATAAATAATTACACATACAGTAGATAACGATGAAAATCACGTTGGCAAAAAGTATGAATTGTGTACGTTAAAGAAACTTATTTCAAACCTGTTTGAGTGGCCCTCGTTGAGAAAATAAACATCTTTAACAAACAGGCTGAAGAAAGGAATGGAGCATTCAAACTGAAAAAAAAAAAAAAATCAGGAACAACTGCTCAGATTCATCGTTAAGGTAACCTATTGGCCTCTCTGCGTAACAAAGACAAAATGCTACTCACCCTACCCCCGGTGCTCTCAACAGCCATTTTGAACATCGCTCGATAACAAGCAAAGTTCGAAGCCGGGTTCATCTCGCGTTCAAGTCTGTCAAACTTTCTACACTTTACTCTGGACCACTATAAACGAGCACAAGTTTCGTTAATTAACCCTAACATCAGAATGCATATTCACCATACTGTACCCTTTTATTTTCTAAGGCACTGAAAAGGAGAATTTGTTCAACAATCAAGAACTTTTACAGTTAGTGATCATTTCCTTTATTCTCTTCACCATTATGTTTGATTTAGAGGTGATATTGTAAGGAGAAATTAGATGCTAGATAACTAAAACTTTACGACCCTGTTTCTTCTACTACAACCTTACTTCTGCACTACTAATGTGATCATAAGTAAGAAACTCGAAACTGATCCGGAATTACCAGCTGTTAGAAGTCAAAACCGAAAAAGTAAAACTAAGTATTCAAGAATCTCACCGTCTTTTTTAATCTTGTCACAGGACTCATGTTCAATCCGGCTAAGAATGAAGGGGAATACATGAGTTCGTTTTGAATATTTCACTAATCAGTGAATCGAAACAGCGTTTCAAAAGTCATCATTGCTATGAAATCATTGCATTTATAATTCATTATACAGGTAAGGAAACATTCAGAAAACTTTCAGGTATAATTGCATCCCCAACAAAATACCGTGGTAAACGCAGGCAGAAATAAATTACGTATTGGACATCAGGCAATACACCAAACGAATAATTTTCTCACCAATAACGGCCATGGCTGAATTGAAGTTTCCTTTGTCATAACACTCGGTGGCCACGTCTACAAAATATTCAATGATCTTGGCCCTGATTTTCTTTTTGTTTCCCTAAACAAAGTAATCAATATATCTTTATATGATAAACTGAAACAAAAATGCAATTTGATTGGTTCTTACGCATGATCTATCACAGGACAGATGCAAAGATGACGTCACCATTAACAAAATGTAGCTTTTTTTATCACAAAAACAAATAGACTGCACATTGACGTGCGTCTTAACAATAAAAGGTATCAGAAGACGTCTAAATTTCGTAAGAACATCAGTGACAGACTCGGCTGCAAGTGATGTGCCACTTCGTTGTTTTAACCAGATTTTGACCTCATCTGTGATGGATTACTGAACACACGCACTGCAAAATGGAATCTATTTGTATAATAGAGTAGCAAAAACGCAATTACAAATGAACCACTGAGGATACAACTATTATGTACTTATTGACTGAGTCGGAGGACAGGTCGGGAAAACAGACCAAACACAACGAGGTCCGTATGACCGAGAGCCAAATATTTTCCCGTCCGGTACGACCAAACTCAGTTCATAGGAATTTTATACTTACCAAACAAACTTCAGTTGCCACTAAATAACCAAGTCGATTGAACCATTCAATGTAGGCTTCTAAGTTGCTTGTCCTTTTGATATAGCTGAGAGTTGACTGAAAGAGGAAAAAATTAATGAATCAAGGAAACGAATGGGAGAATGCACGAACGAAAGGGACAAATGAAGATCTGAAAGAGAGAAAAAATGAAAAAGAAAAAAAAATCTTGTTCACACAATAAAAAGAAAATAAATAGACAGCTTCCCAGACAAGTTGATCAATCTTACTCTTAAGTCCGCTTCATCTCTTGGAATAAAAGTTTGCACAAACTCCTCTGGTCCAATATTTGCAAGTCTTTCCTGTGATAGAATGTAACAGTTTGTTAGTACATTGAAATAGGTTACCTAGTATAAAACGGTCAACTGTAACAGTATTCCAAAGATTATTACAATTCTCAACGGGTGAAAAATGCGAGACTGATTTAGTAATAATTACCAACTCAATGTGACACAACTGTTGAGCCATAATCACTGGATTAGGACAGACCTCGAGAACGCTCTGTGGGAAACAACAACGTATCAAGGCAGTTACATCTCACCACTGGCGCTCACATCGATTAAACCCTCACGCCCTACATCAATATATATATATATATATATATATATATATTCTCCATACTGTTCACTATACTTTTTCTAAGGTGCGGACAAGGAGAATTAGTCTAACAATCAAGAATCTAACAATCAAGAACTTCTCTAGTTGGATCATTTCCTTTATTCACATGACCTTAATGTTTGATTCAGGGGTAAAATTGTAAGGAGAAATTAGATGCTGGTCACTCCTAAGGGCCAAAGGGTTAAACACTCAAATACTCACTTTTTCTTATCAAACATCACTCATTTTTTATGGAATATGATCCGGAAAAAAAACTTTGCCAACTTACTTTGTACTTGCTGGACCCTGTCAGCTTTCTGTCTTCAGCAGCCGCCGTTGCCTTTAACAGAATCTCTTCATATTTATTCAACAATGCAAGCTGCAATAGTGACAGATGATCAAACCACGTTTTGGATTTACAAATGAAACTTATCGAACACAGCATTTTACAAGTGTCCGGCCAGGTTCAGTCCCAGTCCCACAAACTATAATGATCATACACACTAATGATAAAAAAAAAAAAAAAAAAAAGAATCTGATTAAATCATTGGCATTGGCCAAATTAAATCAAAAGTCAAGTTCTCAGTTTCAATGGAAATGACTCATTCCTCAGCAACCCTCTTAAAAAGCTCAAGCTAGAAGAATCAGTTGAACTCAGAGAGGAGTTTCACTGCAGAAGAGAAAAGGTTCTAAGTTTCTTGCAACAATAGCGCTCTCAATCCTAAGATCTCATTAGTCATTCTCCTTATTATCCGCCATACCATTCTTATGATGTTGGTTTGGAGAATTTGGTATTCGAAAAATTAAGAATCCTCAAATCCATATTTTTTCTTTATTCCCATTACTTGTCTGTTTGATAATGTATAGATATTGAGAGGAGAAATTCTGTCCTGGTCACTCCTCAGTGGGAGTTAAAAGGTTAACAGTGATACAGTAAAGTGCTTAATTTAAGTCTATCTTAAGCAAAAATTTTATTAAAAAGTTTTGGCGCACCTTCTGAAAGAGGGACTGAGTCATCTGTCCAACCATGCTTCTTAATTCCTTATGAAGAAAGTAACCAAAATAGTTAAATGAAAATAAATGTAATGATCACATTATCGTGTTACAGAACACCGACCACTGTTGATGGTCTGTGTCAGGGTAGTCTTGGCTAAAGTAGTGACTGACATTGGAGCAACCTAAATTACTTCTCAAACTACTTTAATTTGTTTTAAACAAAATTAATTTCAACAAACAAAGTTTTTGATGACAAAAAGGAACTCATAATACATTGGTATTATTATTGTCTTTCACAAAAGAATCTATCTTTATGTTTTTCTTTCAATTACATGTACCTTTCTCTTCATTGTTTTTGTTTTGTTTTGTTTTGTATTTAATTTAATACAAATAAAGGAGTAAGAACAGAAGGGAAAAGTTTGCATATTGAGGGTAAACTTGAAGAACAAACAGTGACATACCACAGTGAGTGATGCACAGTAACTGGTGATGTCTTTGACATGCATCATCATCACTTCATCTTTAAAGTCATTTGGAAATGTCTCGGTCCATTCACTGTATAGATAAATTACACTGTAAGGGGCGAGTCATCATTTGTTCCATTTGAAGGAACTCCTGAGAACAGAACTTTAACACTTTAACTCCCAAGATCTGATTGTTAATTCTCCTTTCTAGCTGCTTAACATTTTCTCATAAACTAGTTATGAGAACTTGGTGCTAGATCAAGACAGCAGCTTCTACCTGATAAGTTTGAATATTCTCATTACCTATTTGCTGATTAATGTATGGATATTATAGGGAGAAGGTTCATGTTAATCACTTCTGGGAGTTACAGGGTTAACTAAAAATCAATATCACAATTTAAATAATAAACTTAACAGAACTGACAGTTTTATTTTTGTCCTTCTCCTGTTCAAATGGCCATTAGTGAGGGTTCATACCACAATTTTGTCTCAAATGACCATATTGAATGAAACTGAGCTTTTCCCCTATTTCTAAAAGGTGTTTGAAAGTTTACCTCAATAGTTGCACCAAATTAAAGGCAAGCACCTTGGTCTGAAATTGGAATGATAAAAAAAAAAACATTTAAAACGGAGCTGAAAAGTTAATCCCATCAATTATCAAAAAAAAAAACATTTATAATTGAGTGGAAAAGTTAATCCCATCAATTATCAAACCAAAAAAAAAAACATTTACAATGGAGCAAAAAAGTTAATCCCATCAATTATCAAACCAAAAAAAACATTTGTAATGGAGCTGAAAAGTTAATCCAATCAATTATCTAAGAAAAAAAAACATTTATAATAGAGCTGAAAAGTTAATCCCATCAATTATCTCACAACAATTCAGATAAAATATAACATTCAAGTAAAAGGCAACTTGCAATACTTGGTGGACATAGTTCCACTTTAACTAACAACACCTACATGTTAACATCATCTTTTTTCAACACAACAGATCACACACCTCTTCAGAAGGGGCTTTCTTTATCTGCTCAGCACAAGACTACAATTTCAAAGACAAATGGATTCAGATCAATCATTTACCTGTGGTTACTTAACTATCTACATTGAGCTAATTGATTACTTTCTGCCATGACAGATTTTTTTTTACCTTTGAAACTCTTGACAGCAATTCACTGGGAAGAACAAACAGCCTTGAGCAGAGTAGAAATGCAAACACATATGTCCTCTGAGAAAAATAAGATGACTAGAAACTTAATATCACTTAAACTGCAGTAGTAATAAAATATTAATATAATTTTATTGTATAATAAATTTGTTGAAAACATGCAAGACCATTACTTACTTTGAAAACTCTTGAAAAATAATGACATGTACCTCACACATGACTGTGCAAAGGACCATTTGTAAGAATTGTATACTTACATGTAGCACACTATTCCTACAATTTGCCATTTGCAAAGTGCACTTATATAACTGAAGTGTTAAGGATATTGAACAAAAGAAGAGTTCTTTGATTAGTATAGGTAATCACATGAGGCCAAGTACTATTAAGGATTAATTGCACGAGAGTTTTCAAAATTTTCCAAAATTGCCCGAGTCGCAAAGCGACGAGGGCAATTTGGAAAATTTTGAAAACTCAAGTGCAATTAATCCTTAATAGTACGAGGTCTCATGGGATTACTTGTTTATCAATAAAGGGCAAAATTTATACGAAGGAAAATCGCGCGCACAGTCTATTTTTATCTGGGAAGCAACGGATTAGCAATGCAACGGATTAGCCAATCATTAACAGGTAATCATGCCCTCTCTTGATTACTAAAAATGCCCTCGATTAAGAAAAAAATGCCCTCTCTCAACCAATCAGCGCTCAGTAATTTTGCCCTTTATTGATAAGATCAATTATCAATTACTTTGTTTGCCTAGTTACGATCGTAGTTACAATGTTTATCTTTTTCCTATTGGTTTGTAATCGGATCTTTTAGCGTCACCACGCGCATATAAAAGCTAAGTTAGCGTCCCTTTAAGCCAGAGTTTTGCAAGATTTCACCTTGAACAGCAGTACCTTCATTCTTTCCTTCCAAACCTTTGGCACAAGCGGGACCGATATGTAAGTGATTTTGTTAGTTTTATTTCAATATGTTTAAGTTTAGTTTTTCACCTTAGGCGATAGCACATGTATGTACTGTGTTGTAGAATAGTACAACTAATTATCTTGAAATCAAAAGAGTAATTTGAAATAACTAGACACTCACACAGCAACTCGAATCTCGAGTAGTTTTAATTTAGCCTTTTATTATTTGTTTATGTTAATTCACGTTAATTGTTGCAATTTTAATCGCGTTATTGACATAGGCATGTAAAGCATTTCTTTCATGCCTTTCGCACCAATTCAAGTAGATTCATGCATTCGTTATAATATGATTGTAATTTCAGTTTACGATCGTGATCGTGATCTAAATAAACACTGTTAATCGTCATCTTGGTTTTCGTGGTTTCCCTACGACCGGTAAAATAGTCCCCACATCAGCGACACTTATAAAACACGCCTAGCGATACCCCTCGAAGTTTTGTCTTTCATGGCAAGCGTCACATGAAGTAAAGTATTTGATAAAGTCTGCAAATAAAATTACAGTACACCACAGGTGGCCCAACTGTACAACATGTATGTGTGATTTGGGGGTTGAAAAGTCATTACCAGGAACATCTAATAAAGGATTAACTTTTAAGTATATATTTTGAGGGGGATTCAAATATCAAAGCACATCTGACCAAATAAATGACTCTCCCAGCATATCAATAGGAAGGTTTTTACTTTTGCCCCATTGCAAAACAACACCATCTGGGGAGTCGCTGCATGTAATTCAACCAGAGAGCTTAGATATTTAAATTCCATAAGAAGACCATATGCAATCAGCCCAACAACAAAGCAAATTAGTCCAAATGGGTGATAAAATGGAGCAGCTCTCATTACAGTTGGTATTTGCAATTCACTCTCCCTGGTGATAATTTGAGGGAGATCAGTCTACTTTAAAAGTATTTGTGGAATTTATTGGCCTCTGCAAAAACAAAAAGTACGGTACTTACATCTGGGTAGTAATTTGGAAGAGGAACCAAGAGCTGAATAAGACCACTGAGGGTACCAGCTGTAATATGTCCATCCTCAAACATAACATCCTACAAAAACACAAATAACTGACTCAAAAAAAAAAATCTTCAGAATATTCCCCCATAGTACCAGATGTACAGCATAGGTGAATATACAAAATATCACTTGATTATTATCATCCAACTACTCAAAGTAGAGTACAAATAACCCGCAAATAGAGTAAAAGTATCCTACAATTTATTGTACAGTTATTTGCCATGGACAGTTGTTTTTTTTGTACTGTAAAAAAACCTGTTCAACAAGTTGGCAGCAGGTGCTACACTTCTCTATCTGCTTTGCTTTACCTGCCTTATGAGAAATAAACAGGAAGACTCGGCAGAAAAAAAAAAAAAAAGTTGGATAAAAAAATAACTGATTACTTGTTGTATCTACTTTGACTTGCCCTACAGGCTCATAAAAATATGGCACAACTCATAAGAACACTCAGCGATTATATATTAATTATGGTAGGGTTTGCATCTGATACTCTGTGGGTTGACAAAAAAAGCAGTTTACATGTAAATCTGAAGGCATACCTCTGAGAGGTTTGAAGGGAGAGATGGTGTTCTTGATGGCGTAATACTGATCTTCTTCACAGACTAAGAGAGAGAAAAACAAAACAACCAAGTCAGTATTGAATAGGGTGATAATACTGATTCAATAGAGCCCTAACCCATCAAGAAACAATTACTTAACAAGTACTACTTGTTCTTAATATCACAATATCATTATCATTAACATTCAGCATTATACCGAGAGAAGTTTCATTGTAATTCATCTCACATTGTATTGTTACTGATAAAAACAAATATTCAGCTTTAATATTGTACTTAATATAAGGTTCTGTCAACAAAAAAACGTCATGTAGTTTTGATCACAACGTTAATCCATAGGCAAGCTGATTTCAAGCTGTAATGCTTCAGTCAACTTGAAAACTACAGTTTCTGCAGCAATAAAACTGGACATGTATTGTAAGTCTATAATTCTTGGTAACCTGTGTTTGGTGGTCATGAAGCAAATCATAATGTGTTAACTTCATAACTTAGTTTATACAGTGAGATAATTTAAACCATTTTCATTTGATGCTTAATATATCACTTCTGCTCTGACATTTTTGTCAAGAATATTTTTTCTTTGTTTCTTTATTACTTATTCTTTTATTAATATTTCTTGAGATGAAATGAAATCCCCCCAAAATAAATATCATTCATACTGCTACAAAAGGGGTGTGATCAGAAGTTTTAACACATTAGATACAATTGAAAAAAGTGTTTCCTTTTACTGGTAATTTTTAGTGACCAGTTCATAATTTTTGGCAACTAAAAGGCAAGCCTCTGTATACCTGTAAATATCAAAATGATTAAAATTTCAAATTCTTTGAATTCTTACAGATCTATTGTGATTTTCCCAATCTTCATCCACCAGATTTCCAAAGATGGTAGGCTGAAAAAACAAAGTGAGCCATATCTAAGCTTCATTCACCTCATTACTATTCACTTTTCAGGTTAAAAATTTGGGGATAGGTTGTTTAACATCAAAATTGTTTTAATCATCCTTGCTAAATGATGATCAAATAAGAACTTCCTTAACATAGAAAATAATGCTAATACATGCTATTCATCAATGAAGAGATTTGATGCATTTTGCTTAATAACTATTAAATTCTTAAAAGAACTTTACTACAATTAACTGTCTACTACATGTGATTTACTTGTAGTATATGTGAATAAATAACAATACTCACAGCTATAAGTTTAAATTTAACAATGCCTCATGAAAGTCTAGCATATTTACCCTTGCTTTAACAGTTTGCTTAAAACCAAGAGATGGAACACTTCTTGAAGACTACAAGAGAAAGAGAAAAAAAATAAAATCAAAGGCGAGAGGAATATTTATTACAGTGTTCTTCTTACTGTTTCCCTCCCAATTACAATCACCTTTTTTATGTTGAAATATAATACAGTCTACATGCACATTTCCTTCTTTATTTTAAATCAAAGTATAAAATAATAGTGTATAAAAAGGCTAATAAAAACATTTAAATATGATAAATATAAGGATCAAATAATTGATAAAAATAGACAATGTTTAATGTAACAAAGTCACAGTAAATTTTAAGGTGTACAATTACCTTTCTCTGCTTGGTTGATCTTCTCAACAGACCTCTTGCAGCTTCCTCGTATTCTTTGGCAAGCTGGTGATGCTGTATTGACAAGCGTCTGCACAGATGTAAATACAAAGCTAAACTATACAGCCTACACCTGTATGTTTTAGGAATAATTATTATGCAACAGTCTGCAAGTTTGCACAAATCCACAAAAATCAACATTTTAAATTTTAGCTTAACCTACGGAGTCAATGATGCAATGTAAGAAGAAACACCACTTGAATGTGTTACTTCTAAAATCCAAATCAGACCAATAAATACTGAATTGAACTTTACTTACGCATAGTTTGATTTTTGGCGGGTTAACTCTTTTTCCTTTAAAAAAAAAAAAAAAAAAAAAAGAAAAAGAATCATAGGTACTGCTTTTACTCTTTGAAAAAACTTCAAATAAAACAATCTATCCAGAACAGCAAGAAAATTATTTCTTGACCGAAATCTCTGGGCCGCTTGGATTTAAAAAACTGCAAGGAGATTCAGCACAGGGTTACCTTAAACTTGATAATTTGACCCTATCAACTGAGTTAATGATATAAATTGGCTGGCATAAAGGGTTTTAAAAGCCGATGTTCAATGCCTTAACCCTTTGTTGGAGTGAAAGATAAAGGGCTGATGCTGGAAACATCAGCCTAGGAAACTCTGCATAGTGGCCAATTTACATTATCTTTTGCTCTGACAAGGGGCTAATGCTTAAAATGTCAGCTCTAGAAACTGACTTTACCCATACCAATTTACATAATATTTTGCTCTGACTGAAGGCTTACCCTCTTAAGTGTCAGCATTAGAAACTGACTTTATGGTGGCGAATTTACATCATCAGCTCAGTTGATAAAGCCAAATTATCTTGTTTTCCCCCTGCCAATGCAGCACCACAGATTGTTTTGAAACTTACCCCCCTTTATTCATTTATCTTAAGTTAAACTTACCTTCTCAACACCACTTATTCCACTTCCTGATTCTTCAACAAGATGTAGCTCTAACTGAGTTAGTTTCTTCTTCTCTGCTTCCAGCAATTTTTCAGTCACCTAACAAAGGTCAATGCAAATTAACTCATTTTATATTAAACAACTAAAAATTTTCTTCATAACTATAAAAGAAATATCATCAGTGGTATAAATAATGTAAGTCACCTCCAATTGAACGCCAAAGAGTCCCTGACCAAGGTTCTCCAAAGTTGCAGTACTTCCATCACAAGTTGCCATGTTAGCTGTTATCAGTAACTTTGACCATCAATTTTTTGTCTCTCTCTACTGGGCCCAGCCAAGCCCATGACATTCTTAAAAATCAAGTATCATCATTGCAAAAGTAAGTTTTAAACTTGTGCATATAAGCCTCAAACAAGACTCACATTGTAGGCACCACAAATTGTGCTCTCCAATGCTTTTTTGGATAATGTTTAGTCTGCATGTAAACATGTTTAAACACTCCCAGTATTGAGGCCTGAAAAATAATTATTTTGCTACAGAAGTTGGAGCCTGAGGTATGTTTCATCTTGGATCTTAGAACAACTTCAGCTAAAAATCAATCAAGGCCTGCTCATCTTGAATTTTGGGTTCCCATTTTTTTACTTGGTCGTCCGTCTATCTCCACATCAGCGAGTAATCAAAATAACAAATAAACTTGAAAAATAACAAAGCCCTTAGAGGAAGACATGCAATTACAATATTAACCTCACTTGGTATTATCTAAGAACCTGAATTATTTTAAAACTAAGTTCCTAACAACCATAAAAGGTAACCGAATACAGATAGTGCATTAGTGTATGGTTCCATATAATTTACATATAAAACCCACGCAAACTAACCGAAATAAGCGAAAACTTATATTAAAACAGTAGAATTTATCTGTTTAGAGAAAGGCAGTCTTCGACAATTTTTAAGATATTGCATTTATCTCGCTTATTTTTTAATCATAAAAATTTTAAATACCCATCGAGTCTTCGCGGTTTACGCTTGTCAAAGAGTTGGACGATTTAAAAGTGGTATATTTTCGTGGTCTATTCGGATAGGTGTAATTTTGAATTTAAACCACATTTCACATCTATCGAAAATGAAAAGTTTCATCGCTTGAAAAATGTCACCTTCGAGTAAAAGCACAAAACAAGGCGAATTACGTGCAATGTTTGCCAAACAGTGTGAAGATCGTGCGGCGAGGTCTGTCTAAAACAATGAGAGCGGAATACATTAACACAATTGTCAGCTATATTATAATTACTAATGTTTTCTCAAAAGCTTTACACAGTAAATGCAAACATTGCCAATAGTATAATATCATTTTTGGTAAAATAGTATCGCTCATTTCTGTTTTCAACAATCAAGACTTTTCCCACTGAGCACTCGTTATGAATTTTGTAAATGGTTTTCATTATTACAGTCGCAAAATTCACCGAAGCGAATGTTATCAACATCGAACACAATGCAGAGACGCTCTTCTTCGTTCAAATAACCCTTGTACATTAAAATTTCTTGAGAATCCTCATTTATCGCAGCCATCAAAATGAAAATAAAATACTTTAAGTGAGCTACAATTAACCTAACATAAACAATCTGGCGCCTTTATCGTAATATCAAGCCATGTTAAATTGCATCGTTTGGCTAATTGTTCTAGAACGAAGACCTAATTTATACCTTTAGTACAATTTCATGTGATCACGGATTCTTTTGACAGTATTTCAAATCCATGACTACCACATGCGTGCATTTTTTAAGAATTACTTTTCTCACCTTAAGGAAGCAGCAAAGTTCTTCACTTTCACTTAAAACGCGGAAACTCTTAAAAAAACCCTTGGCAATAAAAGGAGGACTGGGAACAAATCATACAGTGAAGTATACGTCCGCAATGCATACGTATTACATGACTGCATGACTGCAAAGATAATTGGAGAATTAGCCCCGTTGTAAGTTCGCCCCCTAATGCAAAACTAGCTCGCCCCCACGGTTTACAGTCAAGTGACCCAAAAGTCATATCGCCAAATGTCATGTGGCCCGAAAGTTCTATTCATGTCGCCCAAAAGCAAGAGTCATGTCACCCAATTTTTTAACACCACCCCCACATTTACCAGTTCGCGGTCAGATCACTCGTGTAGCTCAGATTAAACCAGAAATAACTTCAAAAAGTCGTCAAGAATGAAATTCAGTAGAAAAAAAACTGAACAAATGCAGCCAAGTTTGACAAGAGTCGACAAGGTGCAAGAGATCTTGAGATCTACTTTCATGAATGAATTGGCTGTCAGCATCGTTAGTTTTTGACCTTGCTTAGAATTTGTGATAGTTCTTTCACCACTAGTTTTCACTAAAAACCATCGTTTCCGGTGAGTAAAAATATATTTGTGTAAAAACAATAATTGATCAACCGGATCGTTGAGAAATACATGTAGGAAGAAAGTAATGTTACGTCATAATAGGAGCTAGGTCGCTAAGCAGGATTCAAAGTGGCGGCGTTCAATGTCTCAATTCTAAAGAGCGTTTGATGACAAAACAAGAGGTTAGGTGTTTCGTTTGAATCAAAGTTCTGAGAGATTGAAATATATCGTTATTGAGCTTACTTCTCCTTCGATCGTTGTCTTCAAATTCTCGGCAAGGAAGCCGTCCTTTTCTAAAACAAGACGTATGTCAAACCGTATTTCTTGTGGATGGATAAGTCATTATTAATATCAGAAGATGCATTACGCATACATAGATGAAGAACCAGTAATTATTAATCGCCCTGGGGATGGGGGTGGAGGATTTGAGGGGATCACATGTTTTTCAGGGGGAGGAGGGATGATATCGATCAGTCGTCGCCAACAGAGAGAACTATACAAAATTTACTGCCAATGAACCGCTAATGAGGGGGGAGGGGGACGATCGTAAAAATACAGATCCTTAAGGGGCATCAGGTAAAATTTATCGCGAGACAAGCAAAATCCTCCAAACCCCTCCCCCTCCCCGACGATAAATCGAAAAATTATGACCAGTCCCTAAATGAGTGATACTACTTTAGATCTTGACCAATATTGAAATTCTTTCACTCTAACAGGCAAGGCAGGGTTATTCATCATGCTTCCAGTTTGAGCTTGCAGGCAAAATACGATTTTTATGATCTTAAGAACTGCTCGTCGAATCTCAGGAATTCTCCAACAATAAATCATCGGATTTATGGAGCTACACACAAAAACAATGGTAGAGACATAGATATAAGCCTCTTTTACAGGTCTTGTATAACCAGTAACTTTGTGAGTAATAACAACAACGATCATAGGCGCATTCGAAAGAATGAATAACCCAAGGATGTAAATCATGGTAACTATAGACTTTCTGCATCTCGCGATTCCGATAATTCTCACGGATTTTTCCTGATCTTGGATACATCGATGATGTCGTTTGACTTGCGTGTAGATCCTGGAGTACGACCAGATTGTAATGATTAAACTTGAAAACAAAATAGGAATTGTTATCGTGTTGAACTTCTTCCCGTCTTTCATTAAAAATCTTGCACCCGCTACGAGAGTCATTGTGGACCACAGGAAGCCCACTGTCACTAAGGTTCGGAAATTGGTCACAATTTCGTTGTATCGGAGGTGAAAATACACCGCGAAGTAGCGTTCGATGCTTATTGCTGTTAGTGTCAGAATTGATACACCACTAGCGATATACCCTGAAGTCTCTGTAATAATCCTTGTGGCACAATATATGTCGAAATTACGTTGAATCTCACCTATTTTATGGGCGATGAAACTTGGCTGCGCAAAAAGTCCTACGGTAAAATCAGCTAAGGCTAAACAACAGAGGAGCGTATTGGCTGGACAGTGAAGAGAAGGTGTTCTTTGATATGCCGTAATGATGAGAAGATTTCCAATTACAGCCGTAAGGGAAAACATAGAATTTACAACCGCTGTAACGATGTTTGTGGTATACAAGGCTTCGGTGTCAAAGTTGATATCAAAGTTGGAACAAGAAGAGTTCATTTTCGTATGTAGAACTGCTAACTGAACGTGACCTCTTTAGATGGGCGATTTCGATGTTACAAGGTTTCGTACAATACACCGGCTGATTTTTTAAAAAGAGAATGAGAAAGTTGAAACGTGATGCTTAAATAAACAGATTAAAAATCGTATTACGTACACTTTCTTTGAATCAGAAGGCGAAATTTAATTACCCAGGAAACAAGAGCCTCAATTTTATTTACTTTCAGTAAAATTTCCGCTTTCAGGAACAAATTGTAGGTCGCATTCGTGTTATACTAAGGGAAAATCAGCGGAGGAAAAGACAATTAGTTAAATGCTCATGAAAATTGTTTTCGAATTAAAAAAATGCAACAATCTAAGTTTCGGAGTGTTAGAGAAAAATCTTTAAGTCAATCGGGTCTGGTGTTATCGAAGTTCTAATGCTATATAAATTTCTTCGACTTACATCTGAGTTTTTTCACGCAGTATTATCTGATTTGTGTTTTCAGTTTGATAAACGTTGTCTTGCCAAAATGATTGAACAAAAGAAATAATCTGTCAGTTTATCGCAAGAGTCATTCTCCGATCAGATTATTAGTTAAACGAAAGGTTTTTTATTTTTCATCAACGGAGAGTCATTCACGTCGAACCCCTCATATGAAAAACTACTTGAATTTTTCAAAAAAAAACAAGAAACAGGCATAATTAAATATGATTACAGCACAAATAAATAACAAAAAGGAAAAACCGCGAACGTATTTGGGAACAGTGTAGAAAGGGTAATAATTGCAAGGTTTTTGTGTTTAACTTGTTGGTCGTGACTGGTCTAAAAAGATGGCAACGTAACACTCACGTTTAATGAACAGTCATTATTTGACGCCTGCGGGGGGATGGGAAGAAGAGGAATGTACTGTGGGGGGATCATAAGGTTTTCAGGGGGAACGGGGGCTGAATCAGTCGTCACCAACAGAGTATAAAAATGGGCGAGTTGGGGGGGGGGAGGACTTAAGAAATTGACCACCAATTAACTGCCAGTAAAGGAGGGGGGGGCATTTGGATATTACAGAGATGGGGGGGATCGGGTAGATTTGATCGTGACACAAACAAAATCCTACAGCCCACCAGGTGATTCAAATTGACCGCTCCTTAATTCTCTCGTGAAGTCAACACCACCACGACATCTGGTAACTGGATGACACTTTTTTCGTATGTAACGCGAGTGGTCATATTGAGCAACGACGTCACGATTGCAGCCTTCTTCAAACTTTGCTGAATGAACTTGGTTTGATCGTTGATTGGAATAATGGCCGCCTATTGTTTATGAAATAAAGATAAATTTCACCTTAGTTCGGAGATATGAATTATGTGTTCCTGTGGCAACTGACAATATCTTGCCACTGACAATATCTTGTCATATAAAATATATCTTGAACATAAAATTCATAACCACTCGCCACCGTGTATTATCCACCACATAGTGTTTGTTTCTCGAGGTTAGTATAGATTCAAACAGTTTTTCCTATCTTTTTTAGGAAAGTGAAATACTCGTTTCGTCATCGAAACGTGTGCTACAAATTTGAGACTTCGTGATTCTTTTAAAAATCGCGATTCGTTCACTGCTTTTTCGATCAAAAGAAGACGTAATTTAAGGTTAGCTGAAGCTGTAAGACTCTAGCATTGGATAATAATTTATCTTCAAAAGTCGATGGTTCCAAAGTTAAAATAGACGCCGTTGTTTGAAGTTGTTTGCATCATGTTTGTTTCCCTCAACTTAGCTTGCATAAAATTGAGACTGGAAAGAGGTTATTGAGACTAACTATATTAGCTATTTGGGTAGCCTAAAAGTTCCCGGAGTTGAAATTTTGATAAATGTTAACGACGTCTCAAACATGCAACTCCGCGGAACTCTACTGGCCGACAGTTTCTGTGTAAAATCTATAGCGATACTGAAACATTTATAGCAGCTCGTCTAACCTACAGCCTCAGTTCAGAGTGTTTAAGGGCGTGAGTGAATGAAGGATTCCATATTCTTTAATGAAGTTGTAACATTACGAGGTACACCTCTCCACTGTACAAAGGCATTGCACGTACATAACTAGCGCCAGTTGTTGACTACGCACGAAAAGGTAGCTGCCATAACATCCATAAACAGATGGCGGTAGCAAAGTTGAAATACGTTTATTTTGACCGATATTCGGCACTACAGTGAAGGGAGTTTAGTATTCGGAGGGCTGGGAAGAGAAAGGGAAGAACGGGCCTGGTTACCTTGTAACCAGATCCACGCTCCTATTAAAGTTACCCATTGATCGCCTAGACAGACGAAGTTGATGTCATGTTAGCTGAGATACGTTTAAAAATTATTAGTTTTAACTTGATATTACCGTCAGGGACGGATCTAGAAATATTTGAAAGGGGCCGGAAGAAGGAAGGAAGGGATTATGGCGAATGTGCAAGCAATCTTTAAACACTTAACATAAACCAGCCTGTATAAGCTGCCCAATTCAGATCTTTAGGGGAAAAAAATAATACCTGGAATTACAAAAAGAAGGAGCATTTGTTGAATGAGTCACTTTGAGTAAAACAATTTCTAACCAGAAACTAAAGCGACCCAACGTCGTATCGTAATGTTATGGGGAATGAATTTCTAGTCGAACTTATTGAGAAATTTAATTTGTCTTTTGCGTCATCAGTAAATAAACAAACGTTGTAAAATGCAATTAGCAAGTCACTCAGATTCTTTAAAACAGCCTAATATGATGCTTCTTTATAATTAGTGTCTCCCCAAAGCAGGTGGTTGTTTCAAGAGGCTGCATGTGATTACTGTATCATTCCCACCTCGCAATCGACACTTGGTTTTAGCATACCGGTAACTCTAACCAGTCGTGGTTCCCCACCAAGAAAATCTTTGCTAATCATTGTCGTCTTGACCTCGAAACGCGTAAAATCATATAAAATCTCTTGTTTTTCTAAGGATTTCTCAGTTTTCTGTAGATTTAAGCTGTTATTAATTTTTAGTTTGTCAAGCTTAAACATGGGATGTGACAGTAGGCTTAGCTTGTCCCATCATGATTGTTTGAGAACGGGTCTGCTCTTCAAACAACACGCACGTAGTGACGCAGTGGTAATTAGCCATATGTTTTGATACAAATTTATTAAACTGCTGAATTCTTTTTTCGCTTATGAGGAATTCAGAACCACAGAGCAGAATATAAAAAGTCTATCTCACCAAGAAGACTAGGCCAGACAAGATACTGGGCGAAGGTTAAAAAAAATATATCCTTTTGGGAATAGTATTTTTGGGTCGTTTGAATTAACATAGGTAAAAAAAAATGCAGAAAATATGTGCTCGATTTTAAGATGAAAAGCGTTCTTTAACTTGACAGATCTTAATAACTAAACCACAAATGTCTAGATGTTATCTTATAATCAAATTAGACCACTTCATCGTCACAATAATTTAGATAAATGCAAGATTCTCAGTCTTGTAAATCAGGCCAAGAAAAACCCGTAACAAGGTAATCATTGCCTTTAACTGCAGATAATGTCTCTTGGATACCGATGGAGTAGAATGAATTGTGAGTGAAAAGGCAAAGCCTTCAGTTAAGAGAGTTTTAAGACAACAAAGAATTGACTCGCAGGTGGTGAATATGAAATGACTCGGTAGACGATTTAGGGAAAATTACTAAATCATCATTTTCAGTGCTATTTAACCTTTCACTGTATGTGAAGAAGGCTTACCTAAAACTTTCCCAAACAACTGCTTTTTAGGAAAAGCACGTAATGCAGAATTTGTGAACTAGCATCAGACCCGATGCTGATCAAATAAAGGAAAGCTTAAGTGAGTTGGATGACATCGAAGTAAACCTGTCACTGTCGATATCATTTCATATAAGATATGTTAGCCTCATTCACTGGTATAAAATGTCAAATCGCCCTTTTTAAACATAAGCTTTTGTGAAATATTGGGAAAATCTCTTTCAGTGTTTCGGCTTCCTTTGTTTTGACCTGACAATTCTGCATTACTTATTTTAATTAATTTAAATGTCCCCTAGCAAATCTTGTAATAAACATCATGACTTATTCTTTCGCCCACAGGGAAAATTCATTACAAACCGTTTTTTAATTCTAAAAGTTCGCCCATTGAAAAGAATGAAAATGCTTTTTTCAGACGAAAAAACCATCTTTGAGGAAACACAATTTTTGTTGCGAGGATGAAATAAGACACTAAATCGATCGATAGATAATTTCTGTAAAGTTTCAAACAAACGAATCTTTGGGTCATTTCCTGTATGCCATATTCTGGCGAAACTATGAAAAACAATTGAAACATTAAAGACAGCGGCTTTTTCGAAAGACTGGCAGCCTTTTTTTTTTCTTAATTTTCTTAAATTAGTATTTATATTTTAACAACAGCAAGCCTGTGTGTGATATATTAGACAACTGGGTGACTAAATTAAAGGAGATTAAACTGAATGCAAAGCATCGTATGAGATAAAATGAACCATTTGCCGTTGGCTGTTGTAGATAAAAATAAAAAATAAAGATTATTTGATCTGCCCGCCGGCGGGTACAACCTCCATTTATCCTGAACTTGCATCAAAGTCCTCATAAGTTTTTCAATGAGTTGGAATATTCAGTAAATAGTTATGGAGCTTACGATTCTCTTACATTCACTGCCACTGATGTTATTTGTTCACTTATATTGCCTTAATTTCCCTTGTTCTGACAATTTAAGCCATGATTCTTCGTACAGAAACTGCACTCCGCATAATTCTGAATTTAAAAGATAGGATTTTATAGATTTTTCTTCCTTTTTTTTTTCGCGTTACTTGACACTCTCATGTGGTGCTTCGGGAACCGTTTTACAGCCAGAGCCATAATCCAGCCTTTTGGGTGGTAATGGATTGAAAGTCATCGTGCTTTGTTCAGTGGCTCCGGGATTAACCCCAGTATTTCGTTTGATCACCGCCCAGACGGCCTGCTTAATTTCTTTCATTCTCCAGCAATATATAAACGGATTCAGAGAGCTGTTGATACAAACCACAGTCGAAAATACATCAGTTGCAACCTTCACCGGTACTGTAAATCCGTATTTGAGTTTGGCCACCATCACCAAAGAATAAGGAACATAGCAGACAAACGACAGCATAAATACAATCACCATTGTGAACGTCGAACGCTGGTATTTTTTCATGTTTAATTCGACCTGTGTTCCAGGATCAAATCGTCTTTGACACTGTATTTCTCTGGCATGACGACGCACTATTTTGTAAATTTTGATGTATGCCACAGAGGTTATCACGATGGATAATACTTCAGAGGCTATCACAATTGAGCCAAACACGCTCCTCTGTATAAAATATAGTGAAGTCACTGCTATTCCCAGCACCCAGAAAGAACAGGCCGCTATTAAAATCCGTTTTTTTGTTACTACTTCTTTATAACGCAAATGTAGGTGCAATGCCAAAAATCGTTCCAGAGCGATGGCAGTTAGCGTGAGAAGAGAAACTGCAGTAATACAGTAACCAAACACAATATACACAAAGCGAGCGTAACAAGACAGCTCTTCAGCTTTGAAGATTTCAGCCATCTTGTGACAGACGAAAAGTGTCTGAACGATCAAGCCAACTTGAAGATCGGCGAACGCCAGCGTGGACAGTAAGATGTTTGACGGAGAACGAGCCAAATGTGTTTTCCATATCGCTAACACAACTAGAATATTTCCAACGATGGCTGGAACGGCGAATAACGCGTTGAAAATGCAGGTCATTACATTGGAAATGTAAACAAGTTGGTTTTCCTCCATACTAAAGTCTATTACATTCGCGAAAAGGCAAGCATTTTGACTTCGATATTCATCCATCGCAGTAGAAGTTCCTTCAAGGTTTTAAAAGAAACAAAAAAATTGAATGAGTTGTGGTAAAAGACGCAGTCGATATCTTGTGACCCTGCTTCTTTCTTGCTTGTCAACAACCTTGAAAATATGGCTGTATTTGTTTCTTAGTGTAAAGAAGAGCTTTCTGTTTTAAGCTCAAGTCTTTCTTTCGGAAACTCTTTCTGGGAAAAATATTCAGCGAATGAGATTTTGCTGAACTTTGGATAACCTTTAAGGCAATTTTGTTTTATGGAATATCCGCATAAATATTCATGGTATTCAAATAAAGGTCTCAGGTATTATATTGGGGTGAATTGATTAGATATGCTTCACCTTTAGGCAGCTACGTCGATTTGATGGTTTGTACAGGCGCTCAACACAGCATTAACACAAATACCGTGTATTTTACAAACCAAACAATCTCAATCGATGGTCTTGGAACCTACATTCTTGTTTAAATAGTGAAACTTTCCATATTTCATCAGGTGAAAGAGAGAAAAAAAATCAACCTAAAATTTCACTTTGCATTAACCGGATCATCTTAGAAATGACTAGAAGGTGAATGGTTTATATTATCTTGATGGGATTGGAGTGTTTCTGAGCCAAAGCCCTTCCGCCGTCAGAATATTTCAATGATATTTCCTCAATCAATTTTTTTTTTGAGAAAAGATAACAAAACAAGTTCAATAACTAACCCTTTAACAAGTCATTTAATTTGACGTTTTGCGTCAATGCTGAAATTTCATTTCGTCCGATGTAGCTTTATGTCAATGCATCATAAGGACGCCGCTCGCCTGTCCGATGGATCTTCGACTTAAGATCACACTCTGGAAAATGTCAGTTTTGTAACAAAATCCGCTTGCCCCCGCGTTGCCTGGTTAAATTAGCCGATAATGGGAAACAAAATACGGAGCTTTGAAAGTGGACGACCATCCTTTCAGCGATGACCACCTTAATCTATTCAATAATGCAAATGAGGAATGAAATTTAATCAGAATGGATAACTCTTATTTTGTCAATGATTATGTTTCTGACAATTTTGTTGAAATATTGCTCGTAAGAGGGCATTGAGGAGTTAAATTCCTCTTTTCATGGATTGTAGTTTTGAGCAATTCAGAGAAAACAGAAAATCAGTTGCATATTGAATAATGAAATCGTAAATCATAAACTTGTGATGATTACGTGTCCAAACACGGCCGAGTGGCGAAGTAGAGTTAACGAAATGCACTTAAATTGAAAAAGTGAATTTCAATATATATTTCAGTAAATTCGTTTCGGATTAAATCTATTTACAAAAAGTTCAGTTTTCATTTTTTCAGGTGAGATAAATGTCTAGAA